CATGTGCGGCCTCAACCGATGCAGCACTAAGCACACGAACCAGCTGGTCGATATGATTTCCATATCGGTTTGGCCGAGCCTTAGGTCCATCTGAGCAGCCTTTACCAGTCATGTACCAGAATCGCCTTGCCTGGATCTTCGTTCGCGCGGACTTGTTCCGAATCTTTGGCTCGGGATTCACTCCCTCAAACCTCGCTTCTCGTCTACGTCAAGTCGATCCCCTTCGCAGCTAACGCGAGGGCTGCAGCGCTGTTCTGCTCGCGTGACAAGCCAGAGGCATTTTCCCATCGGCTCCTACACCATTCTTCTCCGGCGTCTCACCCAAGTATACATCACTACGGTTACATCAGCGCCTTACAGACGGAATTCATCACAAGCAATGTGCACACAGCACTATGGTTAACCATTACCCCGGAAGGTTACTCTTCCGAGAGGCTATGTTTAGCAATGAGGGGCTTGCTTAGGCACATGGCTCATTTATGCGACCTGCTGTTAGTCCACTCGATCACCATTTTTGGGACAGTTGAACATCGGAAGATGTTGGACTGATAGTCTCAGCGTTGATAGAGATGGTTTGTCTTGCGGCTTCTTCCGCTACATGTATGCAAGGACTCAACTCTCCCAGCTAAGCGCATTCCATGGCTGCTTCGATGTGAGCAGGCATTACCTTCACCGACATACACCCCACCCACCTCAACGATCCCTCCACTAGGCCACTTGGAGACCTCAGTGACTCAAAGGATCTGCATTGCAGATTCAATATCTCTCCAAGCTTGGATGCCAGTGGAGCTGGCTGGCACACCCCTCTTTCCACTATATGCCTTTACGCACGAAGTTGATTACTGCACTACCAGATCTAGCTGAGGCTATATCATTCATATTCCGTGTCCGACAGCCCTTCACGTACCAGCGAACGCTTGTACAGCTGAGCAGAAGCACCGCTGGCCGCCCGATGGTTGTTGAACCCCGCATGTCGTCAATGACTAGTATCTAATCTCGTCTCGTCGTGGTCTGCTCCGTCTTTGCGGATGTTAGCTACGTGCTATCATGGCGTCTTTTTTCGTTCAAAAACTCGTCGACTTGGGTACGTGTCTAGAATTTCCAAGTACACACCAAGTACACACAAGCCCGTTTACACTATGGGCAACCTTTCTACACAGCATCCTCTAGCGGTATCAGCGTCATTTACCGCCACTTGGCCCTCGAGAACCGCGAGATATCAGATGCTCGGAAAACTATTCCGAATCTCTAATGTAGTTACAGAACGGTCGCGCCATCTGTACTCGCGAATCATGAGGGACCTTCATTTTCCTGCTCATCCTGTGTTATACCTCGGGTCTGGAGTTTATGATATGATCCACTGCATGCTCCCGCAGCTAATAACACATTCCCCAGGGCTGACAAAGTACGCTCTTCCAAAGGCTATCGTAGATGCTCGACAAGACAGCGCCAATCAGGCCCGAAGCTTTTCAAACCTAGCGGTTAGCGGTCCGGCGCGCGCGGGCGGGTAACGCTAGTTACGGGAGTATAACGTCATGGATCGCAGACGTCGCCGACTTGAACATCAGACGATTGGATGTAAGAAGAAGTGGTTGGGACACGCAGCGATGCATTGCATTTCTGTCCGACTATATGTACGGCGGAAGAGTCGAACGAGGCTGGATTCCTTGGTAGCGTTGGTGCTACTCGGCACTGTTTGCATGTGGATACGATGGAGACATCAGAAAGAGACGGGGAAAGGAAAGGGTAACGCGGAACGGTCCGACTAAGGTACTCTTCCGCGAATGGACGATAGGCGGCGAGAGGGGACTAGAGTACAGTTCTATCACGATACGTGTTCTGGCCCGTCACGACCATCATGTGAGAAGCGGACGAGATCTCCAGCTCAATGGGAATACTGTCACACATCGTGCGGATAAATCAATCCTTGTTGGAAAGCGGGCCGCAAGGGAGGCAAAGCGGACCATGGAGGGCAGACTAGCGAATACGACAGTAAGGCGTCATGAAGAGAGCATATGAAATGGAACCGAAGAAGCAGGATGAACATGACCATAGGGTCGGCATAAACGGCCGCCAACTGCGGGGTACACTAACGGGTGGGGACAGGACCGAGGAACGACAAGGTGGAGAAGATTGAGGGGCAGAACTAGAAGGAACCCGTGCGAATGAAGCCTGTCGAAAGGTAAGGGGGAGCGGTATCGACTACCTTTGAGGGGTGTGGTAGTCCTCTTCTGCTGCTCCGTACTGTATGCTGGCTGATATGCTCTAAGCTCCGACGGCGTCGGCATTCACCTACTGTGGTAGAACACTTGCCGATGATAGGATGGGGATTTCGAGTCGGAAGGGTGGGCCTCTCGCGATTTTTTTCAATGGTGAGATCTGGATCGGGAAGGGTGTGCGAATAGGTCCGCTGCCGACCGATTGATGGGTGGGTTGAGGGGTAGATGCCCTCATCATCGTCACTCTCCATTTTTTTATAGCGGGTGGCAATCGAGATTTCCGTCGGTGCGGAACCAACAAGGCATGACAATAAGAATTGGGATCTACGTGTCGGTGGGTTGGAGGTTGGGTCCGAGGTCCGTCATTTCTGGGCCCCGGGAAACCGGGTGGCAAAAGAGGGGGTGGGGGAGTTGGATACGTGGGCATTTGAGCCTGGAGGGGATGGCACTGGGGGGGGAATGGGTGGATGAACAGTGCATGGAGGATAGGGAGAGAGAAGGGGGTTGGAAGGAGTGGCGCTGTGGCGCTGTGCCCTTCAGGGAAAGGAAAGACAGAGGAAAGGAAACGTAGAAAATTACAGGTTGATGACAGGAAGGAGAATTAAATAATGAGTGGTTGGATGGAAGGAAAAATGAAAAGAGGAAAAGGAAAGGGAAGGGAAGAAGAGGACAAGAGACAGGAGGGAATACGCAAAGGACACACAGACAGCAACCACTTAATCGTAATTTGACATTTCCACGAGATTCAAATCCTTCATCTTCTCAATCCGACATTTCCAACAACAAAAAGTGCAATGGTAGCAGAAAGGGTTAATCTTCTTGTAAAAAGAGTGATTGTGCTCCTTGTCCATTCTTTCGATAGAGTGAACAAGATGTTCGCCCATCTTCAACCAAGCACATGACTCAGCCATAAGGGGTCTCTCACTTCCTTCTCCCCTTGGATTACCCATTATGTCGCACCGTTGCGGAATGATTTGCAGTTGCAAAGTCAAAAGGCTTCGGTAGCACACAGCCTCCTTGCCCAGGTTCTATACAAGTCTTCGAATACATCACCGACACAAAAAGTACAAATTTCCCCTTTTCAATAGATTTAATTCTCCCTCTCGCACTGTTTCCTAAGTATCTACTACCGCGCCTCTCCTCTGCCGTGCAAATGCAGTGCAGCTCCTCGCTTCTCCTCCCTCTCCCTTTGTCGAGGCGCCAGACGCGGAAATTAACACTCCCCCCGTGCAATACAAAAAACAAAAAGCAAAAAGCAAAAGCATTCCGCCCCGCCCCCCTCCCCTCCACTCGGTTCCCCAGCGCATCCAAGGCGCGAAACTCCAATACAAGCAGATAGCCTCCCCAAACGAACTAGGTATGGTTCGACACATAGACCTCCCAGTGCACCGCCCAATGTACTCTTTCGCAGTGGTGGTAATTAACAGCAGAAAGCCGGCCGAAATGAAACAGCAGAGCAGAGCGCGAGAAAAGTGGAACGAGGTAGCCGCCCACCAAATCCCACCGCCGTCAAGGCTGGCCTTGGATTGGCCATTCCTTACCCATGGACGAAAAAGATGGGTGCAGAAAACAAGTAGCCGAAGAGCCAGAGGGAGAGAGGAAATAGAAAAAGGAAAGGACAAGGGAAAAGAGAAAAGGGAGGAGCGGCAATCAATAGCAATAAAGACAGGAAAGCCATCCGCCCTTGTTTTCGACGTTCTCGCAGAGAACACTGAACCACAAGGGCGGATATACTGCACACCGAGGTGGGATCGATCTCGTGCGCGAAATAACCAAGGGAAGTCGTGAAAGAACCCGAGTCAGGCCCAAGTAGCCTCGGAGATTAGTGGCCCTGTCGCCGAGATACCATTTCCATTCTTCGTCCTGCAAGCCACCTCCTTACCATCTCCAGCACGGAAAGGCCTCTCTCTCCCGCGAATCATTTCTGCTCTCTCCTGCAAATCATCATGCTCTCGAATCCTCCTCCTACGGACGCTTATTGAGTCTATCCAGCATATTGGAATCCGTCGGATTCCTCGCCGGACCACTGTCACTGACAAGGTCGTTGATGCGCATGCCACCCCTGCTCGCAGGCGGAGCCGGTGGCGCCGGCGGGGGTGGTGTAGGCCCCTCGGCGCGAGGCGGAGCCGGTGCCTGCGTCGTCGGTGCGTGGGTGACCGAGGACGGGGCCGGAGGTGCAGGCTGCGCAGGGACGCCATAGTAGGAACTGTTACTACCGCTTCCTGGCGTGTCCCGGCGCTCCGATGCCGTGGATGGGGAGTAAGGATATGCGGTTGGCGGATTCGATGGGGACGGTCGACGAGGCGGTCCATTGCTGTAGTAGGGCGGTTGAGCTGGTGCATAGACGGAGCCTCGAGGGCCAGCCGAAAGCGGAGGTTGCTGGTAGTGGTAAGCAGGGCCTGGCGTGGCACGACCGGGTTGACCCGACATGGGCGGAGGTGCTGTGGCCGCATGAGGCTCCTGATTGCGTCTTCTCTTGCCGTGTGGGTCGTGATCGCGGTCGTCATACGCAGCCGGTGGGTGTGCAGGGTATGGATGCGTTGGAGGAGGGTAGGGAGCTGGCGGATGAGCCGCAGGACTATGGGCGTAGGGCTGCGGGCCAGGCGGCGGAGGCGGTGGTGGGGGACCTTGGTAAGCCTGAGGGTGATTATGTGGAATCGGCTGGCCGTAGGCACCATAGAGGGGCGGGGGTTCACCGACACCGCGCCAAACCGTGTGGGCTGGGACGAAAGCCTGGGTCTGGGCAGAGACAGGCGTGAAGATGCAATCCTGATTGAAGCGCACGCAGTTGCTGCATCGACCGTCTTCGGTGTTCTCGAAGCCCGAACAGCGGATCTAAGGTGGTGTTTGTTAGCCTCGGCTTGACCGACACAGAATCAAGCCATTTTGTGTACCTTTCTCCTCCGGCAATACCGGCAAGCAATGGCTGTACGCTGTCGTGGTGCCGGTGGCTGGTGTGCATACAGAGGGGTGGGCACATTAGCACCCGTTTGCGGAGGGGTCCTATAAGCATCGTTGGGGTGGGGGGGAGCGACGGAGACGGTGCGCCATTCGGGCGGGTAATAAGAGCTGCCAGGAGGCGGCTCGGTGCGATATTGATGAGGCATTGGAGGACGAGAGGGATCTTGAGGGTTTGACGGCGGTGGAGGAGGAGGAGGAGGGGGAGGAGGAGGAAGATGACTGTTGGGGTTGGGGTTGGGCTGCGAGAAGAAGTCAGCGGGCCATGGTTATGAAGGTGAATTGAGTACACAGTAGAGGGCCACGCCCAACAAGAACGGATAAGACTTACTTGAGTCGGGCGATCACGGTCGGCGTTGTATGATCCGTTGGGAGGGCGTTGGTCCGTGGGAGGTTGCCAGTAGGGGGGGTACGGGGGGTCCCCATCTCCTCGTCTGAAGAGCGTCATGGTGTTGGACACTCGTCAACGGCCCGCAAGGAACGGCTGCAGGTGAGATGGAGAGAGAGAGAGAGAGAGAGAGAGAGAAGAAGGCAAAAGGAAGAAGAGGAGGTTGAAGAGAGGGTGAGCAAGAGGTGGTGGGTGTGGAGGATTTCACGGAAATGGAAGGCGGTCGGGGGATGGTAGGGTGTCCCGGCAGACAGGAGGCGAGGCGGGCAGAAGGGAGGGAGGGAGGGAGGGAGTGGCCGAGAGTGGGAAGAAAGAGAAAGAGGGGGACGCAGCGCGGCAGAGGGCCTGGCTGATATTTGGGGAGCAGAGCAGAGCCAGCAGCGGCCAAGCCAGCGTCAGAGCAGAGCAACACGCGGAAAGGAGGACAGGCAGCATTTGGCACTAGTGTTGACCAGTTGCGGCAACGGGAACGGGGCGAGCAAGGGAGGGAGAGGAAAAGAGCAAAGGCCACCTGCAAGGCCACCTGCAGCCCCATCCATGGCACGCAGGCCAAGGGGTAACAGGAAGACCCCGGGGAAGGCCAGGGAAAAGAGTCAGGAAAGAGGACCAAGGGCCGCTGGAACCCACTTTGCCTCCAGCTGCACCCAGGATTCCTGAATCCGAAGCGCCTTGCTGGGATAACCCCTGCAAAACGGCCCCGGGTGAGATGCGACAAGGGTGTGGGGCAGCAACAATCACTGATGCTTTCACTTTCACCCAGCCACCCCACCCAACTTGCGGGCCGGTCAAGGCGGCCCATAGCCACTAGCACCGCATACCGTTAGTGACTTGACGTTGCAGCAACTTTTGACCCGCAACCGGCATAGCGCCCCGCTCCAGCACGCCGTGTTTCGCCGTACCGAGGCTCCTTATTTTGGTTTGATTTTCGCTCCGTTGGCATGGCCGCCAAGAACGGGACCAGCCGCAATGCCACATGGCCATCTGCTGCAACCCGTCGACTGGCTGCTCTCCCATGTCTCTCTCCTCTCGAGTCTCGTGTCCCATGAGAACAGCAAGAAACAACCCAAAGAGCAATGTCTGGTGTAATCATCTTCCCATGCCCCTTCATAACACTTACATAGGTACTCCGTACATGGCGCGACAATTCCCTGCAACCCCGGAATCTTTGCGCCCCTGTGCCGCATGCCCGCAGTACTGTGATGGAAAGGGCCCATCTGTCGCCAGCGCAGAGAGCCTCAAGACCTCAGCGGGGGTGGGGGAAAAGAGAGAGAGACTGGTCTGCGCCGCATCCGCTGCATGTGCTTGTGGGTACATGTGCGTCTGCAACATGGCAGCTATGTGCATGCAGCTGTTGAGTGCAACGTGACCGCCTGCTGGAAAACCTGCACATACTCGTGCAGATTGTACTCCGTACACAGCACATACTAACTCTACCTGCCGACCGTGTCCGGGTGCCCTGGTGTGTTTGATGGCCATGACAATCATCATTATCCAGAAGCAGCCGTCATGGGCTAGGCGGTGGGGCCTCTCTGCTAATGAAAAAGAAAAAACATACTTGTGATGCTCGCTGTGCCAACAGAAACATGGGCTGGCTCATCATGATTCCCACATCCTCGGCCGTGGGTTGTAGCCGGTGGGGGGGAGGCGTCGTCCCAGCCGGCCGTGACGGGGAAGGGCTGGGCCGCTGTTGCCGCGCGCTGGCTGGCGCACCTCTGGCGCAGAAGCCGCTGCCCAATCCCGTCCGTCCGTGGTCCGCCGCGACTGCCCTGCTGCTGGCCCGCACGCCCATCTCCCTCCTCCCTCCCTTCTTACCCTAACCACCGCTCCGCTCCGCAGACTTCTCCATGGGCGAAGAGGTGCGCCCTGGGCACCGTGTTTGCCTCGAAATGTCCCTGAAATCCAGTACATCTTCGTGCCAAACTTCGTTGGGCCGGCCATCCATCTGCACTACCGCCCGACGTGCGGCGCCCCGACACTGTACCATGCGTGACTCGCCAGTTTTGCCTGCGTCAGCCCACTCCTTTTGGCGCTCCATCAGCACACAACGCTGACTTCTGCTGTCAGCAACGAGCAGGGCCCACCGCAGAGAAGACCAACGATGCCTGGACATGGCCGTCCGTTGCACGCCGTCTTTCTGTCCGCCGTTGCGCCGGCCCAGAGGCAACACATCTCTGCATACCGAGTACAGGGCGCCTTGGCTACCCTTCCAACAATGCTTCGCCTGCGCCTTGTAGCAATCTCTGGTAAGACGGTCCGTAGCCCAGACTACTTTGTTTGCAGCAGGCCTGAGACCTGATATTGCTCATATTGCCAACCCTCGTGGCATTCGCGAGAGGGGCCTTCTACGTAGCACAAGACTAAATCGCCAGGGGACGAGGAGCCCCTTCGAACGGTTTGCTGACCCGTTGACTCTGTGTCCCCTCAGAGACAAGGTTGCCCCAGATTTAGAGCTCCGGGTAGTCGTCAGCTCCGAGTAGGCTGACCGTTGCATGCAATCTTCTCCCTTCTCCGAATCGCCCCGTTCAACGCCCGTTGCTCTTATCCAAGTACACGACATGTTCTAATGATGCCTCTGAGTACAACGGTGCCTCTACATGCTCACTTTTTTCCCTTGACGGCCTCGGCGGATAAATCAATCAACCATCGTCAGCTGCAGTCGCCTAGGCAGTAGTAGAGAATGGATATCAGGCCGCTCGAAAAGTCACAAGACAAGACGGCCACCGGTCAGCCCCTGTACAGCTGTCGTATTCGCCGCCTTGCCCTCGTATATCCCTAGATTGCATCGACCTCGCTCTCTGTGCAGCCTTCCGCGTATTGTTGTCCATGGTTGCGATTTGATGTGGATGGCCACACCGCATCCACACGGCATCTACACGGCATCCACACCGCATTTTGCCAGTTCGGTTGCATCAGAGGCTTACGGCGGTTGGAAACGGCTCGAAACCCCAGCGCTACTGTACGATGCGCCCACCGATGAGATTGCGGGCAATGGTTCCAGACTGTCAGCACTCGGTCGCGTTGCTGGTCTCTCATCGTCGGCACCGTGTTACCACAGAGCCCCGTACTAGCTTGGGGAGGAGTCCCTTCACGTCCTGGTGCCGGAGCCGCCGAATCCATGACACCACTCCCACATCGAGGCGGGCGTAGCTGTCGATGGATTGTGCTACGACGATACAATACGACCAGGGCGCTGGCGTTTTGTGGTTCTGCGCATGGCGAGTCCGGGAACTAGTCGATGAAGCCCGCACCATGTGGCACGAGATCACGGGCCGGCACGAAGCAAAACGAGCTTGTCGTTAGCCATTGCCTCATCGGGGCAGGGTTAGATTAACGAAGCCTGTTGTGTGACACGCCGGCTTTTTTAATGCTGGGGCCCCGCACATGCGGACAAGTCGACGGCAGCAAGAGTGCAAGGGAGTTGCTCGAGGCGATACGAATGTCGTCTTGGAACACGAGCCTTTCTCGTAGACCGATCAAACAGTCGTGGTGTGTCACTCGTCGCAACCTTGGAACAGCCATCCGCAATCGAGAACGCTGGTCGCAGATGCAGGCGGAGCATCCATGGAGACCCATGTGTGACCCGCCGTGCGGCTTTAGGCTGCATCGTCCGTCCAGGGCGAGCGACAGAAGAGACGAACCAACTCACCGATCGCGCATGGGTGTGTGAGGGCTGCCATGTTATGATATTATTACTATCATTATCATCGCAGGGAGGACGCGGCTGTGGTGAGTCTTGTGACGGCTCTTCCACCGCTCTCTGGGGTTGGTGCCGCATTGGGCTGCCAGATAGGGGACGACGCCGCAACGCCCGCCTCACCTCCATGCAAGCAATTCCGTCGTCGCAGGAGCGCCCCTCTCTTTCGTTGGAAGACATGGAGGCGTGGTTCTGGGGTGGACCGACGAGGGTGTCGAAATGTTGCAGACAGGATATCCCATCCTAATAATTCTCGCATCTCCAAGGAGGATCGGAAGCAAGGCCACTGGGCGACGGACGCAGCTAAGCGCGGTGATTACTCCGGACTGTGATATGTAATATTGAATGGTGCAGAGAGTGCCATGCGCAATGCACGGCAATTTGCAAGTCGCGGTGAGCAAGGCCGGTGACGAAGTCATGCTATGTGACGGCACAGTCGAAAGTGTATGTGCGCCGTAACCGCAGATGCCAAATCAAGCCGTCGCCGTTGACGCCGCTGCGATCTCCATCGGTGTCACAGAATGCGCGTGGGTATCTCGCACGATGAGAGGTGGGAGAGACTGCTCTTATGGAAGGATGGGTTGGCTGTGCCTTCCCGGCACTCCGACAGCAGGCAAAACAAGATGCCTCGCCGTAATGCGAACTCGGCCTCGTGCCCTGGTGGTGTGTGTCACAGTCGTCGCCATGGAGGATGGCACACACAGAAGTGGGCCTCAGGGGTTGCGGCGGGAAAGGGAGGGAGGAGTGAGTCTGAGCACAAAGGAACCCATGCGTCTGGAAAGGACATCGTGCGCCACGGCCCGCGACGGGCCACTGGCCAGGGTGTCCATTTTTGTGTGTGCGGCAGGCGTTTCCTCGGAAAAATCGACGACTCGGCAAAATAGCCGAACAGAGGGACGGATGGGCGAGCTGAGAGAGACGAAGAAGCCAGCTGGGGCGTAAACAAGGAGGATTGAGCCCGTCGCAGACAATAATAATAATGTTGCGGTGCGGTGAAGCTGCTGACGAGAGCGGTTCGTGTTGGTCTCGCCCGGGGGGAAGAGGGGTGAAAGAAGATGGAGGGGATGGGGGAGGTGAGGGTGGGCAGTGGGCGGTCAACTGGTGGGCGGTGGGCGGTGGGCGGCCCCGCTGTGCTGTGTGACGAAAGATGGAACGGATGGCGCCTCGCCAGCGCAGCTGCGGGCCGCTGTTGCTGTTTGAAAGGAAGGAAGGAGCGGACCGGGGTCTTGTCTGAGTCGCGACTGCAACCTTGTCGCCAATGGTGCCAAGGATCCCTGCCGCCCCCCTTCCAAGGTTCTTAAATCCCTGTTCTTCTTGGAAGTCCCGTGACCGAAAAGCTATGCGGAGCTAAACAGCTGAAAAGCGGGTCCAATGCAACTTTCGGGACAGGGCGCGCTTCCGACAGCGTTTATTGGCTGCCACCCACGCCTGGCGCGCTTGTCCAATACGCGCTCGGCTTGGCAACACACCCCTCTCTGACAACTGCTCGCACCAACACTTCTCTTCCCCTTCAGTATCGTACCCCCATCTCGCCAGCTCAGAAGTACTGTACACAGCAAATAGACGGGCATGGCGGATGAAGCAGCGAAGCGAGACCAGGCCGTCATGGACTGCGGCAAATATCCCAAGGCACTGAGACGCGAATGACTTGTAATTACAGCATTCACTTGGATACACTCCACGTCGATAAGCCACGCCGCAGACCAGCATTCCGCTCCCAACCGGTCGACATTCCCAGCCAGTCATTCATGCCCGCACACATCCAGTTGTCATGCATCGCCGCCATCTTCCTCCGCGCTGTCATCGCCGCCGCTTTCCTGCTCACTCGATCCACTCGACTCCGCCTCGTCCGGCATCACGATGCTGTTCAGGTAGGTGATCTGTGGAAATCACGTTAGCACTCGGCCTCGCTCCCTACTAGCATGTGTCGGCGTAAACTATCTGAAGGAAGCGATGCGCCTCCAGGCCCGCCTTCACAGTTGCGACGCGGGTGGATCCCTTCGCTCAGCTGCAATGCTTCCGTTCGGCGACAGCCGCTTCTAGGCCCTCTGCTGCCACGGCGAGGGTGCTATGCATCCATCGCAGTCATACGACACCGTCGAGACTCGAGAGACGACGACTCACAAATGGAACCATGCTGGCAATCAATCCAGCAATGCGCTCTAGGCCCCGGCTTCCCACCACCTCATCGTCGGATAATTTCGTACCCAAGGTGAAGTTCTTCAGCCGGAGCAGTTCAATATCGGCGTGCTCTTTGTCGTACCCCTGGTCATCTGTCAGCGAACCCTTCCACTCAAACACCGTTGTGCGTGCTGTCTAATAGTAATCCCAAGCGGCATAGTACAGCCAGTGAAAATGCCTCAGCAAAAATGACCGCATGGTCAACTTCATGGGAAACCACTGGCCCGACTCTAGCGCCCGTAAGAAGAACAGAAGTACGGGTGCATAAGGGTGTCCCCCGTCTGTTGCTTGCAGATCGGTGTGGTTGCTTCCTTCTCATACGTTGGCCCAACACCCACGCCAGCAGACTGTGCCGCAACTTGACGTGCCGTCCAACTTGCCCTGCTGCTGCCCAACTATAGAACGGCGCGTAGAGAAGCAGCTCTGCCAGCTCGAAACCATGGGGGCTCCCGCATATGACTGCCACAAGGACCAGCCTGGATGTTTGCCTGACTGCATGCAAGGTTGAATGGCGCTTTTGCTTGCCGCCCCTTTCACTTTGCTGGAGGTTGCAGCTGCGGTGACGTGTTCATCCTCTGCCTCGCAGCGCGACATACACACACTGGCCTTGTGATGCCGAGTCCATGAAATGTAGCGGTATCACGCTGCCATTGCCGCAATGGCAGTGGTGACAACGCCGGCTGGCAGTCTGCCGCGCCAGCGTCTTTCGACTGCAACGAGGGAGCAAGGCATCAACGACCTTGCGGTACATGAGGTTATACCCCTGGGAATGAAACAGGGTGAAGTTAGTCTGTGGGAGAGGGAAACCTACCTTAGGGTTCTTCTTCAGCGCGTTGGATTTGTTCTCCGGCAGATTAACAAAGGCCCTGACCGCCTGCTTTGCGTCGTCCGCCACGCCTCCCAAGAAGTCCTTGCGGATGGCGGAGTTGGTCAAGACGGCCTTGATCTTGTGAGGCTTGCGATCAATGTCGCGTCGAAGCAAACTCAGAGGCCGAGCGTCGGGGCACCAGAGCCCGCCACCTTCACCAGGGGTCAGCCACATTACATCAACGAAACTGAGCAGCAGCAGCAGCCAGCGCAGCGCAGCATCAAGGAGCTGTTGGCAAGCATTATTTGGTAGACAAATCAGATGACGGAGAACGCATGTACACAGTCGGTAGTGGTGCTCCCCGGAGATGAAGCGGGAAGACTCCAGACGGACGAGGAGTACGATGGCCCCCTTGCGGGAAAGGGGCAACAGAACGGCGGTATTTCGGCGGGACATGACGGATCCCCCCAGCCGTCCGCCCGTCTTGCAGTTCAACAACCCTGATCAGTGATTGCCCCAGAGGAAGCCTGGAGACTGGTTCCCAAAAATCAATAATCGAACACTACTCGGCAGCGCCACCGTTAGTGCGAGGCGAAGAGGTGGAAGGGTGAGAGCCTTGAGCCGTGAACGGCAGCAGCTGCACATCAGCAATCCGGCAAAGGGAAGGTTCTCAACAGGAGCCAGGGATGTGAAAGCATAAGCCCCTCATAACCCCTCCCGTGAATGCTACAACCCTCGACGAGGGCACAGCAGCGCCAATATGGAACGAGTGCTGCTAGACTGGGGGCCTTGGTTCTTCAGTCGGTAAGACGGATTGTACAGGGAGCAGGTTTTCTGACAGGACTGGTGCCATGGATCCCTAATAAGCCCTGCGCTAGATAGCGGTGATATATCGCTGTTGAGTTGCGAGACTCGTCCAGCGCCTGGCGCAAGTTCTTCTGGCCCTGGGACTCGCGTGTGGTACAAAGCGGCTTGTAGAGCGACATTGCGTTGGCCTACACTGCCCGGCGTCATCCAGGGGGTTCCCGGGCAAGGAGTCATGATGACTTCAAGGATGATGAGCCTGACTGCCGTGATATCCAGTAAACTCTGAACGATCCCGCCATTCTCTTCAAGCGCAACGCCAGGCATCATGCGAGAGCTCAGCTTCGGCTGCGGTATCGTGGACGAATGTGAGGCCATCGATTGCGACCTGAGAGGGAGACCTGCATACTCCCGAACGATCTTCGCCCCAAAGGCTGGTGAGAAGTTGAAACTCTCTCCCGGCGGGGAGCTTACCGGTTTGCCCACTGACAGAGCAATTGAGGGTCACAGACTCCGTTTGTTGCAGTGGGTGCCCGCACAACACAGTCAACACATCTCTGTAGCGGCTGGCCGCTCCGTCGGAGTTCACACCATCGCCACGACTCTGTCTAGCCGAAAATCCAGGGTATGTGCAGCGAAACAGGAAGCAAACGAAAAGAGGAACGAGACTTACCTACGAAACTCCCACCCTCGGGTTTGATCTGGACGTAATAAGCTGCATAGGGACCTTTTCGGCCGGTGCGACTCCAGGCGGCAGAAAAATACGTCTGCACCTGCGTCAGCCTTCTGCGCCCACACATGTATTATGCAGCAAAGTTCGTCTGGCCTCAGACTCCGGACTGCTCAGCGGAACGCGGGAGTTCGAACTTGCCTACCTTGTATGGAGTTTGATCCTTCGAGAAACGAACATCTGCAGGGTTGATCAGGTCTGGCACCTTTCGGGTTCGTTACTACCCACCTCTGTAGATACGAAATATCTGAACGTAAAATCAGTTACTTGTTGCCAATGCAATCTCCTCAAACAAGCCGTAACAGCTGGCGTGATACTCACAATGTCCTTGATTGGAAGCTCTGGAATCGTGTCATCCGCTTCAGCGACCTTTTCTGACAGTACTTCGAGAAACGTGGTGAAATCATTCAACGCAGCACGATAGTCCGGGTCATGCACTGCACCCGTATTATTAGCTCTAGCTTCCCCCTTGCGTTCAATTGACTCAGTTAGAAAAGGAAAAGCCGCCGCTGGGAAGGAACTATGATGAGTCTGTACGTCGGATGATAGCATATATACCTCTTAGCCATTTTCGTTCATTGTTCGCAGCCAGGTCTTTGAGGAAAAGCATCGTGTTTGGATGTATCGTGTGATCCTCATACGGAGTCTCCCCTGCCTCTCTTGCTTTCGGCTTCTTGATGATCACCTGGGTTCCAGGAGCAAGCTTTGCACCGGGCTTCCACAGATCTGCATCGCTATCTTGCTCTGGACGACGTCTGGGCGTGACTTTCGTCGGCTTTGCATCTTCGTCGCTGCTTTGCTCCTCCTCTTCAGGTTCAGACGAGTCGTCTCCGTTTCCTTGCTCTTCATAATCCGAGGCGATGGATTCAGTTAGCTTTTCCTCTGATTTCGCACCTGCATCCGTGACATCATCGTCAGACTCGAGCTCCTTGTAGGAAAGTTTCGCTGGCGTCGCCCTTGCCCTTTTTGACTGGCGCGTAGGTGCAGGTTTTTCTGGTGCAGCCCTCTTAGAGGAGTTCCTCGGGGCAGGTACAACCTTGAGTGACTTTCGAGGCATTTCAAGATATAGAGACGACTTGACCGATGTTTTGCGTGTTGAGCAACCCGAATGTGTCGAAGAAGACAATGAGCTTTTGAGAGGTTGAGGCAGCTGTGCACGAGCCTACCGCCACAGCCTGCGCCTGCGCCACAATCCCACAATTTCCTCCCAGCCATCACATCTGCACATTACCAAATCAGCCCTTTGCTAAACGCAGCACACCATGCAGTCACGCTTTGAAGGTAAGAAGCAAAGAATTCTGGAATCGCTCCGAACCCCCGAACAGGACTACCATGACCTGTCACCCAAAGGCTCGGTTGATGAGTTGATTCGCCCATTGATTGGAGATATCAATCGTGTACCTGGACTGGTGACAACCAGTAGCTGTTCAGGCAGGGTGAGCGTATTCTGTGACGGCGGCAGAACCGGGCAAAATAATGATTCCGTGGGCGAGCGGGACAGTGCAACCTCTCGAGCTGGGCTCGGTGGAAAAGGCCATGGCTCCTGGCTATATGTCTCACACAACACCATTGAGATACCGCAAGATTGGCCGCAGTCAAGCTTTATGTCCATGTTTGAAATGAGACCGCCGGCTATTGACCAAGAGAGCCCAACTGAGTCTAACAGCTATATTCATCTCAAATTCGAGCCGATGGTGAATTCAGTTCGCCCATGGTGACTCTGCAACACATCGCTAATGCCCTACCAGATTCTTCATATATTGACTGCATCCTTGGAAGACTCACACCGTGTGCTCACAGCAGCTCTCAGCGCAGGTTTCCGCGAGAGTGGAGCTGTAAGTCTAGGTGCATCCAAAGCTGGAGATGTGAACCCTATGGTCGCCGTCCGGTCAACAGGGTACTCTTTCGACTCCATCATCGGCTTTCAAGATTTCGAAGGCCAGAATTACGCTATGGTCTCTGAGGCCTGTCTCCGCAATCTGGTAAACATCGCGAACTCACGTTTCCGGGTCAACCAGGAGAGGATTAATCGCTTCCAAAAGGCCTTACTGGAACAATATGCGCAGAAAGAAGTAGACAATAAACCAAATTTTACACCGGAATGGGAGGACGCAGATGCTAGGAGGCGGCGCAAAAGGGAGGAGGGTCTGGCGCGGCGGCAACAATTACGGCAACAACCTCCTTCAACCCATTCTGAGTCACAGAAAGAGGCGGAAGATTTTGGGGCCATAGGAATGTTTTGAACAATTTCCGCACTATATTACCGCCCTGGGATGGCCTGAAAGGGACCATATTTAGCGTGGTCAAGTTATGTCTCCGAGCGGCGACTTTTCCACCACCTCGGAACCTTTGCGACTCCTAAGTGCGCGATGGAAATCGAAAGTCTCCAAAGCCACTATATCAACGTCGGAATCCCTCCCGAACTCTACCATCATACTGTAGCTTCCATAACAACCACTGCCTCGCTCCTTACCATCACAATCACCGACTTCCCACAACAATCAAACGCACCAACATGACGTCCGTCGCCGACGCAAACCGTGCCTTCTTCGATAACATGAGCCAGACCATACGACAAGATCCCATCAAGGCCCAGTGGATCGCGGGGATCAATGACAAAGTCACCAACTTCCTTCAGTCTCACATCGACTGGGTTGGTCTCTCACACACCAAAACAAATGCTCCAGATAGAAACATCCGCCACCTAGATTACGCCTGCGGAGACGGTGTTTTGTCGCGTGTATGTAACTCTTGTCCAATCATCCTCCCTCTGTTTGAGGATGGAATGACGTTGACATATAAACAGGCCCTGCACCCCTACGTAACTGACACCGTCGGAATCGACATCTCCCCACTAACGGTATCTTCTTACAACACAACGAACGCCTCCCTCAACCCTCGCCACCCCATCCGCGCCGTCGTTGGCAGCCTGCTCGACAAATCGGACCCCAATCCTGTGTCCCTTTCTACTCCGGAATTCTTTAACTTCGACATCGTCACCGGGGGCTTGGCATTCCATCATTTCGAAGACGCGGCGTATGCTGCGGAGCGTTTAAGAAAGAGACTCCGCCCTGGAGGTGTGCTGGTGTTGACGGATTTCTTGACGGGCGGCGACATGCTCATTGATGATGACGGCAACGTCGTCGAGGGAAGCGAAGGGGATCATTATAGTCATATACGCCGTCATCATGCAAACGGCCATGGCCATCACCATGGTCATGGTCATGAACACGCTCCCGACACCACTGCCGCCAAAGGAGATATAAAGAAACACACGATGGATTCCATCGTCGTGACCGCCTTCTCCATCCAGGAGGTGAAAGATTTCCTCGCCAACGCTGGCTTCGTGGATATCGATGTGCGGGTTATGCCGGAGAAGGTGTTTGTGGATTTTGGGAAGAAGATGTTGAGGACGATTATGTTTGCGAAGGGGAGGAATCCCGGTGACGGGAAGGATGAACTTTGATTGCGGGAAGCATTCCAGACGTCTATATCAGTAGTGGAGAAGAGACACTAGTGACTTCCATGAGGCAGTGTCGTAATGCTATGTAGAATATAGAGAATGCATTGGATTCGAAAGGGCTGAGATGGACCGTGATGTGAACAATCAAATCCTGTAAAGCCCATAAAGCTCACCCTGGTTTAGCGAGCAGAGACTTCGAGTCTTTCCTACACTGAGATGGAGAACTCACTCAAGCCGGATTCTTGAAATTCCAAAACGTTTTGTTCAAAAAACCCTACTTCAGCAGACCCGATTCAGAATAACCCCATTCAGAAGGCCAGTTCAGACGACCCCATGCACAAGTCATGCACAAGACCACGCGTGCAACCACCTGGTTCCATCACTGTCATCTCCGTCCCAACTCCTCCTCCGCCTCAACAAGCACCCAACTCGCCCAACCCGCCGCCGCCAAATCCACCACCTTACACCCCCTGAAATCCGGCACTTCGACGAAATTATCGACAAACTTGCGCTTCCTGCCTATCCCCAGTTGTCCGTACTCCGCATTTCCGGCCGCAAACACGGCTCTCAGCACCTTGCCTGTCTCTTGGACATCTGCCTCTGCCGCGACGAGGACATGGCCACTTCCAACGGCAACGTGTGTAGCCCGTGCAGGATGACCGTCGATGGCTAGATGAACAAGCTTGACGAACTCATCCTGCTCTTCCACTTCCTGATACTGTTCCGTTCCTCTGAGAACGGCTAATTCCTCCATCCCCGGACCCGCCTGGCCCCATATGAAGAACTCCCCGTCCACGCTTATGGCAGCGGTCATATAGCCACCAGTCGCAATTTTGACGATGCGGGTTTCGGAGAGATAGGGAATCGGAGTTGGGGTGTCTGAAGGAGAGTGGAAGGGGTCGCACGGTCGGCCGAGACACCGGGGGAAGCGCGGATCCGGGAAGAAGCTGTAGACTTGGCCGGTTGTCGTGAGGAGGGTTATGGTGGTGTGGTTGGAGATGAGGGTCGCTAGGGGGTCGGGGAAGGGGCTGCATTGTTCTTTGCATGACTTGTGACTATCGGTGGATACACAGTCTGGAGATGCGTCTATCTGATGCCGTTTTGCCCAGTCTAACAACTGGCTCGGATTTGCTACTGTCCGGATATATCGATGGATGTGCGGAGAGCTCCCTTTGAGTCCGGGTCCTGGCTCAGCTGTCGTGAATGTGGTGCGTCCTTCCGCGCCAATGGCTACATGTTCGATGCGCAGGCCGGGTCGCAGCGTTACGGTAATATAGTCATCTTCGCTCTTTTTGGCCTCATGAAGGGGAATGAAAACCGTCAGTGTCGTGCAGTCCGCTAGAGAAGGAGGTTCAAAGCCAGAGTCCAGAGGAACATCCGAGATGCGGTTCAGAAGAAAGCCTTGTATGCCACGACCCATCGCGTCAGCGAACACCTTGACATCTCGCATAGAGTCGGATCTCAATACAGGTTGGGATATCAAGTAGCGGGATTGGGAAGGAGAGAGGCCCATGCCGCTATAATGGAATGTGGAACCTTGAGCAGATGTTGTAGCATTGATAGCGACTGTGAAAGAGAATGTTAGCTGCGCTATCCAACAGAAGATCTCTAAACCGGGAATACCACGCCGTGGTATGCTTCCTGCAAAGTAGATAGGTTGCAGTTGCAGCACCGAAATTTGGTGCTCCGTGAAATGCACTCTTCGAGAGAGTTTCTGCCCCTGGTCAACCCCTCCTAGTTTCCCGGCAAGCCTATCTTGGGAAACAAGCCAATTCGCCAAACACCGGACGCTGCCGGGGGCACTTAGCCAGATCACAGGAGGAATACACACCTAAAGAATCGCACCATGAACAGGACAACACCTCTACATGCAGCGCGCATGCTAGAAGTCTCGGTTCATCAACAATGTAGTCCTTGCCCTTATCACCCCTGCCAATGGCTTCATCTACAGCGCTACTCCAAGGCACCTTCGGAAAGAGGGCATTCTCTCCAGGCTCTCCAAGGTTGAAACCGAAGGCATAGAGCTTCCTCATTGGTGGCGCCATGTCGTTCGCCGCCGTATGTAGTTTGGAAAGCGCTTACTCACGATGAGTCTGAACCGTGACGGCCATTATTACCTTCATCGCGAACTGAGCCGAGCAAAAGAGAAATGGAAGATCACGGGGAAGCCGGGCATCTCGGGAAGTCAGGACAAGTCAGGCATTTTGCCGTATGATGGATGGTAGAAGTAACGATTGGGTGGTAACACTGTGTACAATGTGATGTGGGATGGGATGGAAAGATCGACACTTAGACAAGCTTTCTCGGTCCGCCGCCAAGTGCCGATCGCAGATGGCGCTTACCATCAGGAGGCTAGCATGGATGGCTGCGCTGCACGAAATGACGCGGGTGCGGGATCGGGATGTGGCGGTGCAGCGATTGATGACCGCCCGGTAGCCACGTGCACTTATTACTGTGTATCGAAATCACCACGACAAGGTCGGTGAGGGACGCTGGCCTAAAGCAACTGAAACGGCTTTCTTCTTCTTGCGTGGAGAAGCCATACTGTGGCACTACTGTGGTATGCTGTGGTACAATCGTCGCAACCTTTCCATATCCTTTCCGCGGGGAACGCCTTGGCATGACATCACCACTGACAATCCGCGTCCATGAATACCACAACTCTTTGACGCGCCTGCATGTCTGCTTCCCTGCTTTCTGGGTCCTACGAGCCGGGGTAGCTCTCCCCTGCGACATTGACCCCTCCCGGCCATTTTACCTCCTTTTCCTCACTCGACTGAACCCCGTTACCACACACATTTGCCCATATCCGTGCCTTCAAGTCCTGGAGAGGGATCAACCAACGCCATGGCCGAGCAACAGGTTCAACACGCCCCAGGAGGCCACTATTCTGGTGCCAATCCTGTACCCACCGTCAAGAAATTCCTCGACAATCTGGATAGAGACAAGGCCGCGCGTGACAGGAAGATAGACGAAGACTATGCCCAGAGACAGAAGCAGGACATCTCATCTGGCGACGCAAAGCCTCATAAGCCGGCCAAGATGGGAATTGAGGGAACCCAGAAGTAAGTGCCTACTCCGCTGGTACGTTGCTGTTTGCTAATCAGATGCATCAAAGGACTGTGACGGACCCGACTACGGGCAAAGAAGTCGTCATCGAAGATGTCAGCAAAGCCATGATGAACCAGGTCGAGAACCCGCAGCTCTCGGTTCCCAATGCCAATCTCCAAAAGGACACCGTAAGTACTTCAGATACTGTATACCTGTACTGCCACAGCTACTGACACGATCTAGCCCGTCAGGTCACACGAGTCACAACCACTAGATGAGTACAGGAAAGCTCAGGACATTACCGCGCCCCCTGAGCCCGTCGTTCCGGGAAGTACCTCCGATGTCCCTATCCACGGCGAGAAAACAAACATCCTCTTTCACCCCACTCCGACTGTGAGCTACGAGCCCACTTTTGCTGCCTTGGAGAAAAAGGCAGGCGTGCTCTGCATCGGCCTCTTCGTAGCCACTGTCGTGGTAGGCAAGATTTTCGGTGGCAGACTCCTAGGCTTAATTCCACTGGGCATGTGCCTCTCGTCAGGGGTGTGGTTGTGGGCGAAGGAGGTACGCACGTTTGGAAAACACTGAAGGCTGACGCGAAAGCTTACTCCTCCAAAGGTCATACGAAGCGGACGAGAAGTTGAATGGCACAGCGAACAAACAAGAGGCCAGGTGGCAACCGCCAACCTACTTCCTGAATCTGTCGAGTGGTTGAACACCCTCCTGGCCATCGTCTGGGGCTTGATCAACCCTGACATGTTTATCGGCGTAGCGGACACTCTGGAAGATGTCATGCAAGCATCTGTACCGAGCGTGATTGAGCACGTCAGAGTCGCCGAGATCAACCAAGGCAGCAACCCAATCCGTATCCTCAGCTTGAGAGCTCTTCCAGATGAGCATATGCAGGAGATGAAAGAAGCAATCCACGAGGAGAACAAAAGGACGAAAGACCCGCAGGAGGCCGCAGCTGACGAAGAGGGCGGTGACTACTACAATTTGGAAGTTTCGTTCGCCTATCATGCCGCGCCTAGCGGAACACGAGTATACGAGAAGGCACGGAACATGCACATGCAGTTGGTCTTCTATCTCGGAGTTAAGGGTCTGTTCGGGTTACCGCTGCCCATCTTTGTCGAACTTCAGGGGCTTGTTGGCACTGTTCGTCTCCGGCTTAACATGACCCCGGAGCCACCCTTCCTCAAGACTCTGACATTTACTCTCATGGGCACCCCACAGGTACAAGCAGGCTGTATCCCAATGGTAGAGAAAGGTGTCAACATCCTGAATCTTCCTCTCATCAGCAACTTCGTCAACTATGCCATCAAGGCAGCCGCTAGCAGTAAGTGCCTCCGTCTACGTGCTGAAACAGGAGACGCTTACAACCCTTCCCAGTGTATGTTGCACCAAAGTCCATGTCTATTGACATGAGAGCCATTCTTCAAGGAGACAGCGTTCAGAAGGATGTCGAAGCACTCGGCGTTGTCTGGATCCGGATTCATCGTGCTACTGGCCTCTCCAAACAGGATCGCCGAGGAAGCGCGCATGGAGGAAGCGATCCTTACATCACGCTTGCCTTCTCGAAATATGGAAAGCCAATGTACTGCACTCGTGTCATTACTGACGATTTGAACCCTATCTGGGAGGAGACAGCAGCACTCTTGGTGACTCCTGAATTAATCAAGGCGGACGAAAACCTCAGTATTGAACTCTGGGATTCTGATCGTCACTCGGCAGATGACATTGTTGGGAAAGTCGAACTCTCGATGCAAAAGATGATCCAACACCCAGGCAAGATGTATCCACAGGTTTCGAAGCTTGCTGGCATGGAAGCTGGCAGCGACATGCCAGGCGAGCTACACTGGGAGGTGGGCTACTTTGGCAAGCCTCAATTCCGTAAAGCACTCAGGACAGATGGCAAGAACCGCAACTTGCCTGATCAGCTGAAGGACGACCCAGCTCTACAAGACGACAAGGGTGTCATCAACACTGAGCATGATGATGCAGTCATGCACACGCCACCAGACCCCCTCTGGCCAAGCGGTATCTGCAGCGTTGTTGTCCATCAAATCGTGAACCTTGAATTGGAGAACGTCAAGGGCAGCATCGGCAACCGCAAAGGTCGTGAGTATGAGCCGGCCAAACCCTACGGTGAGGCCACTGAAGAAACCGGAGGCAACCTTCCAACGAGCTACTGCACTATCCTATTCAATGATACCCTGGTGTACAAGACTCGATCCAAGGCTGTCTCCTCGCAGCCAATCTTCAACGCCGGTACCGAAAGGTTCATTCGAGATTGGCGATCGGCAATTGTAACTGTGACAGTCCGCGACTCTCGGAATCGCGAGCACGATCCCATTCTCGGTGTTGTTCCATTGAAGCTCTCCGATATCCTCGAGACGAGCTCGCAAGTCACTCGTTGGTACCCACTTGATGGGGGCATCGGCTTTGGAAGAATTCGCATCTCTCTCCTGTTCCGCAGTATCGAATTGCGCTTGCCTCCTAACATGTTGGGTTGGGATGTGGGCACATTCGAGTTCCGCTCTGAGCGTATCCTCGCCCTTGGCTACAAGCACGCTCCCAAGCTGAAGCTCCGTACTGGAGGGAGTGTTGAGAAGGTCTCGAGACTGGCAGCAAGGAAGCTGGACGAAAGGGACGGGTACTATTTCGACCTTACAAGCCATGGGGGCAAGTACAATGTTCGCCTGCCCGTCAAGTACCGATACCGCTCGCCTGTTGTGTTCGAATTTCATATCGAGAACAAGCGAAAGGCGGACGCGTACGCCGTTATCTGGCTTCAACACTTTATCGACAACGAGGACTTGGACGTCAATATCCCTATCTGGACTACAGCTCATCCAGCTCGCCTGACTCAAAACTACATAACGGAAGAAAACTGTCACAACGAGGTTGGTCTCGAAGACCTCCAAGAAGTCGGCCGTCTCCAGTTCCGCGCCCGCTTCAAGCCTGGCATCGACGAGAGCCACCAAGCCTTTATCGCCGACAACGACAGCCGCGAGACATACGAGACGTTTGAAGCCTGTCTCGCAGAAGGCGTCCGAACACGTACAGTCGAAAAGGAAATTCCGGACCGCGTCCAACAACTCCACGAAGATTCGCTCACCCAAGGACGCGACATCCTGAAATCTACTGACGAGCGCGAGAGACGTCGCTGGCTCTCCAAGTCCGGCGACGACTGGTCCGGCGCCTTTGGCCATGATCCCAAAGCCTATATGGATACCAAGGGCAATAAGAGGCGTGAACCTGGTGCTGAAGAGCCACTGCATGATCCTTATCATCCGAGCGACAACGAGGCCAACGACGATGTCGATGGAGCCTATGATTCTGAAGACTCGTCCACCTCCGTGTCTTCTGACCTGGGCATCCAAGACGCAAACAACACCGCCAACGCCCAGGAAATGAACGGCGGCACCGAATCCAGGAATTCCAAAACAAGCCCTACTCGAAGCTCCATGGCCACGGATACAACGGACGGCACTGCAGAATCTGGGGTATCACAGCAGTCGTCGCTGAGTAGTAGGGACGTAAATAAGCAAAATAGGCGCACCGAACATCGCAAACAGCGCGGTCTGATGCAATGGAAACCGGCGAGAAACGCGAAATTTGCGAAGGATCAGGGAAAGATTGGGTTGAACAAATTGAAGAAGAAGATCACGGGCAGTTTGGACGGGAGACAGCCCGATGTGGAGACCGGTGAGTACTTGTTTCTTGATTTGAGTGACAGAATCGTTTGTTGACATTTTCTGCAGAAACTGGCTCATAGTCTGGTCTCATGGCGTCAGTCTTGAGCAGGTCTTCCGTTGAGTTGAAGTATTGTGAGAATCATGATGGTCGTTGGCGACCTTGGCCCTAGTGTATAGGCCATACGGCTGCTGAAGCCTGAGCACGGTGAATGGGACGGCCAGGGTACGGCGACGGTTGAGTTTACTGAGCAGCTAATGTCTATTGACGACGGGTATGACTTTCCTCTTGATATCCTTGTAACAGTAATAAAAATATAAATGGATTTTCAGTACATGGAGCGTAATCAGCTGCAGTAATACTGTTCGTTTCATTGCAGTCGTGTCTACCGTCCTGAATCATCCCATGCGGAAAAGGAGTCATGTCATCCCCCGGACGCTCCAGGTCCCCTCTCAATATCCTAGTGCCAGAGATCCCGCCAACAGCTTTCCACAGCTGCCTCGCAGAAATGACCCTAGAAGGGGTGCCTGTTCGTCGATGTGGCAGGGCTCAGGAGTCCGTCCTGAACCCCTTCTCTCCTTGACACCTCACCACACACCAACATACTCCCGAACGGCATGACCATAGTTGTGTGTGAAAATGGGGCTCAAACAATTGGTCAGGAGCAGTCCGGAGGCGGTTAAGTGCTGCGGCGCGGCTAGGTGGCATGGCGGCACAGCATGTGCCGCAAGCGGAAGGGTGGTTGCTCCTCCGCAAGCGCAAAGAATGGAGGAAATCACTTGCATTTCCCCGATCCGGGCATCCCTTGCAAGGTGTCTAAGGGGTACCTGTTCGGGGTGTCGACATCATGTGCGTTTGCTCATGGAGTGAGCTCGTGGGCGTCAGAAGGCAGGACGCTGTTCAGGCAGATCCAGTTGTATAGCAGCCTGATGTGGTTCCAGGCTCCAAGTCTGCCGACAGTGACGTCGGCAATTGGCTTCTCAGATGATGCTCGTTCAGGCCATCGTGCAGTCTCATGCTAGATTTGGTACCGTGCTGCCCTCCCGCTCGTCTACAGCCGTACTGACCTGCATGCAGCTTCAATCACCTGATTGTTGGTGTTGGATCCAGCAACACTGTAACTGGGCATCGGGAATGACACCCTATCCATGTATGGCTTTCGGAATCCATGTAGCTGCCGGGTGGTTATCTCGCCGACCTCAGTGCTGTTGAATCGGGGTCATTGGGTCAATATTGGCAACGTTGCAAACCCAGCTTTTCGGTGCCCAGTCTCCATTGGAGCAAGTGAGGCGGTGGCGTAATTCACAAGCGGCATGGAGACATAATGGACCCCGTTGTCCACATAAGCAACGGCAGCGGGTACGACCGCTATTATTTCTCCTATTTGACGCCATCGCCGACGGGAACTGCCGAAGCATTAGTCAATTAGAAGTGCACGCCTTAAAGGGGTCCGACTACGATAGAGAGAGAGGAGTACGCGTTTTGATGCGGTTGATTAATGATTCAGCGAAGATTTAGCTGCGAGGGAGGAGTGACGTATGATGCTGCATCTCTGCTGGCGAGGTCTCGAAAACCAACAACAACAGTGCGAAATAGTGTCTCAATCAATGTGCCCAGAAACGGTGAGGGTGACACAGAAGCTGATCAGAGGGGCATCAGTACTTTAAGCTTTGCGCTACTGAGTGAGCTGCATGATGGACCATGCGAGGAGTCATGGCTCCAGATGTAGCCGAGAACAAGCAAGCTCAAGGACTCGGGGACCGGTTTGCGGGTAGAAACTTTGCTCCTTGTATTGGGGCTGTCGGGTTTTCGACCATTGCAGTGACGGGGTGCAGTCAGAATTACCTCGGCAGTTCCTCAAGGGCTATACTTCTGAGAGGTCGAAGATATCCGATAACCGACCAACGAGGGCATTTAGAGAAATAGCTATCATGACGCGCTCTGAGGTTCCTGCGGGTCTCAGGGTTTTCGATTGAATGGGCGTTCATACGATTCCATTCGCCGACATGATTTCGCGAACAATCCAATGGAGGTATCCCGTGAAGTGTACGTTGGGGGCGAGCTGCTCCCACGCGAGAATTGATGTTCATTTTTGGCTGATTTCTTGGTGCGCCATATGTCGAGGAACATGTAAGGCTCTGCTGAGAACAGAGAGCATCCCGTCGAACCAGCCCTACATCTGTAAGTTTCGAGCTCGCGGCGAGGGAACAAGGCAGCAATGCTCACGATAGGCTTCAATGATGTTGACTGGGAGAGTCGTTAACAATTGCGACGCGGGATCGCCGTTGCCGACTTGCTTACTGGTGTTAAGCGCCACAACACATTTGAGGTGGGTGGCGCAGGCAACCGCAGCAGAATGCCCCCGGACCGGATGTGACAACGGATAATGCCCCGGCGCTTGCAGGGAGACAATTGTTACTGAGGCGTACGGGTCGGTCAGCCTCACCGATCACCATGGACCTCAGCGGAAAGAAAGCGTGGGGTCGAAGAGGATGCACGGTGCATGAAAAGGACGACGGTCATTCTGCGGGAGAAGGTTGTGCGGGGTTCCGCCACGTCGGCGTAGTGTTTGACAAAATCCGGATGGAAAATGGGGAGGAAGAGTGGAGTCGAGGGGAGAAAGATGGATGTTGTGCGACACAGGAGCGAAGAAGCAGGAGCAGCCCTGCGCTGTCACCTGACTTGTCCTCGATCGGCAAGTGGTTCTTTCCAACTCAGTTGCCAATGGACGAGTTTACAAGTTTGCTTGGTAAGTACTCTGGCTTTGAAACTCGGTACTGACGGTGTTGACTTGGGAAATCTCAGGAATGTCCATTTCTTCGGCATTTTATGAAGTCAACAGGCAGACGTAAGATAATGGCAATTCAGATTCATTGAGAGGAGCCCCGACAGCTCATTATCCTGAATACTCTAACATATCGAAAATAGTGATTTGATTCAGAAGGTGGAGCTGTAAAGAGAAATGGTAACCAGCGCAATTTCTCGCTGCAACATGAAGGGGATAAATTCAACTCCAATGTCCACCACTCAAATAATCCTCAACATGCAGAAATAGAATCTCCGGGAAAGCTTCAAAGCTTCAAATCGAGCATTGTACATTCTGGACAATTGGCGTGAGCCGACGAAATCTGATATCGACAGAACCGTATTCTCTCGCAGCATATTCCAGTCCATTTGTTGTCCATTGATTAACGGCCTGCGAGCTGTAACACAGGTCAGTACATACGACTAATTGACGTAGTTTCAATCCACTAACGCGGCAATTTTCGCATAGCTCACCGGGACGAAGTCTCCAGGTATAGGAGACTGCATGTCCTGGAGAATTTGCGTTCACACATGGATAGTACTGGTAAGGACCTCCCCTTGCGCCAGTTGCCACTGTCTGTCCAGAGCCGGCGGGCACATTCGAGGTGGAAGACGGCATGTTGGGATATTCCGGTTTTAGTGGTGGTATTTGTATGAGTCGTGTGAGTAGTGAGGACGTGTATGGGAGAAGAGTTGGAGTGAAGAATTTGGTTGTATAGCAGAGGAGGTGTGCTTCTTCATTGTGAAGGCCTAATACCCTTATATATATAATGGAAACGCCCTCAAACTCCTCAGGGTTATACCTGTGCCTCAATCGATCTGCGTTCGACTCACGAACATATGGTAGATTCGCCCTCTGCAAGAAGGCAGCTATGAGGCTTACGCCAAAGACGCCTCGAGCGGCGCGGGAAAAGCGATTGATTCCGTTGATGGTCTCATGGCACAGTGAGTGTGTCTCCTTGGCGGTGCCGCACTAAAGAGGGAGTAGCCTCTGGCACAGTGCAAGACTGTGCCTCATACAGAACTCAGCGATTCAAACTCGTCACACGGCCAAATCCGTCCAGTGTCCGAGTCTGTGGTTAACTAACAGGGTTTGTCTTGTAATTTTTCATTGTTGCATTCTGGGCTACTGAGACGAGACCAGCTTTGCCTATCCCCCTAGATATCATCTACCTGCTCGATCCTACATATCCAATTGTACTATCATGCATGCATGACTTCCTTCATTTGTTTCATTGGAAATGTTTTCGATGACGGTAGTGCAAGAAATTATACTCTGAAAGTTGGGGGCTATACCGTGAAACCGTGAAACCCAACCTCTTGCTTCATATACAGGCAGCGTGGCAAACGAGTCCGAAGTCCGACGCCACGGGTATCAACGGATGACCCAGGACCTAAAGTTGTCACCGAGCTTTGTGGATTGAGATAGTGGTCTGGTTTTCGTAAAATGGTTTATCAAGGTAACGGAAAGAGTGTTTGACCACCATCCCCTCTGCTCACTCGATTCCCCAGTGGAAGTGGAACAAAGAACCTTATGAAGTGTGCAGTCTTGATTATAATCACAGAGAATTTAGGAGACAGCTTGTGCTACGGGCGATGAAGCCGTAGGTCTTACAGTCGCTTTATATGAACGAATTCTCTTCAAATTTATGAAATCCTGACAGTGCATTTGCTGCCATGTGAACTGGTTCCTGTTTAGTCAATTCTAAAATGCATGGGTCAGACAATTGATTGCATTGAGTGCGTACATCATATAAACGTGGGTTATGGTCACAAATGGCAACCCTGAAGTTTTCCGAGACAGTATCGGGTGAGGTTTCATAGAGCTCACAGATCGTAATTGTGATTGATTGTGGCGAGAAAACCGAAAGGTGCATATATGGAAGGGCAACGAAAAGCTGATATGGTCAAAGATAGGGTTTGCGAAGAGCATAAAATGACGGTGACGGAGCGACACGCTGTATGGCTTCGTTGGTTCAACCAATTTCGGATGAAAACAAGTCGTCGCCAAACACAGCAACTAGCTACAAAAGTAGGTATGGGGTAAAGCGTGGCTTGTAAGCTGATTTTGGGGCACTGTGGACAGTGGAGAAAATGTGGCTGATTTCTCTAAGAACATTGGGTAGACATTCTCGAACGGTTGATTTCCCTTTTCGTCAAGTCCACAAGAGCAGGTTGAATCCTCAGAACGGGGTGGAAGGATGGTTCATTCTGGGGCTGATACTGCTGGCGCTAAGTGATAGGTGATTATTTCGTCAAAAGAATTCTGTCCCCAAGTGGCTGTGGATTGAATTGAACTGTTGTTGTTCGTGCGGTGGCTAGGATTGTTTCTGTGGCGCAGTAACACCCATTTACCCATGTTTGTTTCTTTTTGTCTTGGGATATTTACACCAACCTCAGTGACACCCAGGGGCAACCATATTCACCAGAATCTCAATTTGGCATATGCAATCGGCCAGCTATCATATTGCTCTGGCTTTACCGCGCACCCGATGGAGTTCTGCAACATGTGCCAGTTAGGTCTCCTTCGGATCCGGCTTACTCCCACTTCTTCGCTTCTGCACACTCCCTGAATATAGTTGATAGTCTTACGCGTTTCGTCCCCTGCTAGAGTTGCTGGAAGGATTCAACGCGACAGTGAATGTTCATGTCACGTGCAGCGTTGATTATGTCATCCAGTGCCAAGCGTTCTTGAACTCGCTCCAAGGATGCCGATGCGGTCCACCGCAACAACTCCGAAATCTTGTTTCCTGGTGATAGCGGACAGCGCTCGCTCTTAACTCATAGCTTGATCGTAAAACAAACGTTGACGACGGCGATATGTGGATCTTAAACTGGTAAGTGTTCTTCGAACTGCGCTCCATCTCGATCATGGCTAACCGTGTTGATAGGTGTAAGTAACCCTAGCTTTACGTACATGGGACCCGTTTGTTCGCTCGGTATCCCCTATCACCGTGGCCAAATAATGGAAGAGTTTGTTAGCCGGCGGGAGGCGACGAATATGGGAACAGCTTGAGGCGAGACGAGAGTCACAAAAGTCGGAGTGGTCTCATTGCAAGGAGCGGAGTCGGTGTGCTGGCCTCATCCTATGATGTTCATCAAAAACACACGATCGTTCCGCCGTTGCAGCAAATGGAGGGACTGGGTTATATCGTAGCTTTACTGTGATGTGATGCCTTGCGCAGGATAGGCTAACGTACGCTGTAGTTTACGATGTCCTGGCCTCTCTGGGTCTGCTGAATAAGGTATTTACCTGACGGGCAGCTTACACGCAGGGGCTAATGGGTCATATAGCATGCCAAACTCCTCTTCCTCGGACTGTACGTGCGCAGGCTAGAGTTGGACACGCTCTGCCGAACCTTCTGCTAACGCGAGTGTAGTGACAATGCCGGAAAAACGACGTATGCAAACCAAGCCGGTGCTCAAGATGAAAACTGACTTGTGTAGTCTTCTGCACATGCTCAAGAACGACAGAGTTGCAGTGCTGTAAGTGTATTCCATCCGTGCCTTGTAACGAACGTGCAGGTTGACCCTTTCCAAGCCAGCCAACCCTCCACCCCACATCCGAGGAGCTCTCGATAGGCAATGTCAAGGTCCGTGCCCGGTCATTCAAGGCCTTGGGAACTAGGCTTAAATCAAGCAGTTTACCACTTTCGATCTTGGAGGTCACGCCCAGGCGCGCCGCCTGTGGCGCGATTACTGTATGCTCAATCCTCATCCCGTATGCAACTTTTGCTGATTCATGATTCAGTCCCTGAAGTAAGCGGTATCGTCTTTCTTGTCGATGCAAAGGATCACGAGCGTCTTCCCGAGTCAAAGGCAGAGCTCGATGCCCTAGTAAGTACCGGTCCCGCCATACGATTTGTTCTTGTGCTAACAAGGTTATAGCTTGCCATGGAGGAACTCGCCAACACCCCGTTCGTCATTCTCGGGAACAAGATCGACCACCCGGAAGCTATCTCAGAGGACCAGCTACGCGCTGCTTTGGGTCTTTATCAAACCACCGGCAAGGGCAAAGTCCCTCTTGAGGGTATCCGGCCCATTGAGGTGTTCATGTGCAGTGTCGTAATGCGGCAGGGTATGTTGCATCGTCGCCCTACGCTATGACTGCGTGTTAACATTACATAGGGTATGGTGAGGCCATCCGCTGGCTCAGCCAGTACGTGTAATGGGTCGTCCTAAGGACCTCATGCACTCAGTACGAATTACGTGTGATGGGCAGGGCGCAGCGGTGCAGCTACGAGTACATGATGGATAGTTTGACCTTTGCTCATTAGATGTATACTCTCTCTCATGGCCATGGCGTTAGTGTCTGAAATTGGCGTTGTCAACCGCTCACTTGCGCAATACTGGCCCCTTTTGTGAAGAATCTACCCTAATGATAAAATTTCTGATTGTTCGAAAAGTTTGGGTATTTAACAAGGTAGACTATGATTTCGCCCCGCTCATGAAGTGTTACGACCACGATTTCTCGTTCCAAGCAGCAGATAGGGCTGGATAACCCCTTCCAATAGAGCAACAAGATATGCTGCCATGCCATCCCAACCCAGACGCCGACCAATGCAAATTCTCATTCCGTGCTACTTCAATCTTCATACTCAGCATCTCTCACGCCGCAGAAATTGGTTCCAAAACACGAATCGATGTTATACCACATACGCCAGTACAAACTTGCATTTGCGCTGTCGAACGAGCCGTCCTCCTTCCTAGGCACCTGGTCGCCAATGATACCGTGGTTGGTGCCAACAATCCAGCCTATGACCGGCCAGCTTCGAAATGTCTGCTGCCAGGGGGAGGGAGCGGGGAGGAAGGCTTTCTCGGCCGGCAGAAGAACAGCGGCTTTCGCGCCCTTCACGCGTAAAGTCGAGCGGCCGGCTTGGCGAGTTGTTTCTACGGATGTGGACGTTGTGTTTGTGGGTGCCGGAGGTTGTGCCTGTCGTTGAGGGATGAGGGTTTCGTCGTCGTCGATAGGGAAGGCGCCGGTGCTGCGGAGAAAAGGTTCAGATGCCAGGCGCTGTGGCATTGACGCTGGTACAGACGTCGTAGCTGTAGCTGATGAAGCGGTCGCAGAAGATGAAGTTCCGAAGGGAAGGGTGCTCGACGAAGACGCGTTGGGGGATCCTGCCAGTGATGCGACTGCCGACCCCGGTGATGCTCGCACAGCCTTATCCTCGGGAGGTCCACGGCCCACATAGCGCTGGGCTGTGACAATGTGCCCTTGTATAACTTTTGGAGAGTAGTGGCACGCGCGCTCTGCAGCTTCTGGGGAATCGAAAGTGACTTTAATCCAGTGATCACCGCCGACATATTCGTTGAGCTTGCGCAATGAAGCCTTTGAGAGCGAGCGGACCGAGGAAGCTTTGTGTTGCGATAACGAGAGATTATAGCGCGTATTTGGAGGTAGTCGGTCGTAGTCTTCGTATATGATGCCACCCGACACTTTCTCGTAGAAGTCTATCGCAGCCCATTGCTGATCAGGTCCATAACCCCACAGTATAACCTCTGTAGGCTCCTTTGGCGCCGCAGTAGAGCCATTCCCTTGGAAAAGTGAGCTGTCTAATCCCGCAGCATCTATCAGATTCGGCGCCGATGCAGAGATGGGGAGGGATCCGTTGGGCCCTGATGGCTTCCGCGTTCGCAACGATTCCCTCTGCGCTTCCTGCTGCTTTGTTTTGGAAAAGATATCGTCAATGACGCGGAGATTCTCGAGCTTCGCCTGGTCTTGTCCGCGCGCTGGAGTTGCTGTTTTACTGCGGGAGAGGCCGCGCTTGCGGGCCTTGCCGAACGGACCTTTTTCCTCTGGGATGCGCCGCTGGGTATGATCTGAGCTGTCCATTGTTAGTGAGCTGCGCCGAATCTTTGGCAAGTTCGGACTGCGCAAGAGAAATGGATCTTTTCTCCCCCATGACAGCAGTTGTTATTGATCCACAGCATGGTTCGGCAAGGTGAAACACGAGACAGTGACTTACTCGGCAAACTCGTACGCCCAAGGAAGTCGCCTTCCCGTCGATGTGAGGGCGCGCTCTGAATCAGGTACGGCGTGGACCTGCATTGTTGTTTGCGATTTGTCGTCTTGGGAGAATGGAGCTTACCATTGTTTATGGTGAGATTCATAAACCAGACAAGACATGCTCGGGCCAAGCGCCCAAGCCACAACCACGGCCCGTGCTCCAAAGACCAACGCCACAACTTGCCCGTAATCTGCAATTCATGATCACCATCCGATACGTGTAAAATATTTCTCTACAACAGCAGAACTACAAAAAAGTTAACTAAACACTTTTGAGACGAAGCAAAGAGCACTATTCCGGAAAGCCACGAAATGGGTCCGACGCCAGTTAGAATCCGTGGCAGAAAAGGGAATCGCTCAATCGTCTCCAGTTGGCAGTCACAAATCTCCCCACCCGCAAAGGCCGCCAAAGCTTCTACCTCACAGTCCGCCAAACACCCAAGACCCAGCAAACATTATGTCAAATCCACGCCTACCTTGCAAGGATTGCCTCCGGAGATCCTGGATATTATTTTCCTCGAGAGTATGAACATCTCATTGCCGCGTGCTTCGCCGGACCTGGGACGAAAGTTATCCTCAAAAACTACATGTATGGAATTCGCCATGCGATGCTTTTTTGAGACAGTTGATCTCAATAAAGAGTTTGAAGGGTATGTTGAGGATTGGTACCTGGACCGAAGCTTTTGGCTGCCTCGCCCAAGAAGGCCTGCGGACCCTGTACTCCAATCGCAACTTCTCGCGTCTCGATTCTTCACCTGGGAATTTTTCGTGGAATATTTTCAGAAAAGTCACGGCGTTGTTTTCAGACTATTCGACCACATTAGGCATGCAAGTAGTCACGACGTCCTACCGAATTTCCAAGATCTGTTCACCGTTGACGACCCTCATCCAAGGTGTATCAAGAGGGCAACTTCCCCTATCGGCCTAGGGTCATTCAGCTATGATGTCCTAATCCCCGAGAAACTGCTTCATGGTCCGTGGACGCCTGACAAGACTAAGCTGCTTTACGTACTGGTAACGCTGGAGTGCACAATTGACTGGAACGGGAGTACAGCTGGCGAGACTGCCAAAGAAGGGCTACTGGAAGCAATAGCTGAGGGCGACGAACGAGCGGTCGCTGCGTTGTCCGTTTTGCTGCTGGTTGATGGTCCCCTGAATACCGACTACTTGCGCTACGCGGTGACTGAATGTGGCTGCAACTTCACGATCTTGAGACCTCTGCTTTGCAGTGAACTCATCTCCCGCACGGTAGCCAAAGGGGCGATGGACCTGTATGACCCGACAATCTGGCGGTGGGCCGACTGTGAAGGCGCTGAGAACGGCAAGGGAACGTTCCTCAAGAAGATATTGAGTATGGCAGATGACCGCTCCGGGTACTTTTCTGGGTACGTGTCGGATCTTGAAGGCTGGCCAGGAAGAACGGAGCTACCAGAGTTCGAGAAGTTCATACCGCTACCCTACTTCTACTGAGCGTAGCGACTTTGCACCGCGGCGGCTTAGCAGCTGAAGCTTTGTAGGATTGATTCGTGCACACAAGCGTCGTTCAGGTGGGAGAGGACAAAGAACGTCGAAAAGGTCCGCCTATTCTTACCGTTGTCAATGAACCCAACCGCGCCGTGGACATTCGCCTTAAACGGGCCTATTCTCGTGAGCTTTTCAGTGGGGTATATGCCGACATCACCCCAAACCTGGCCACGGGATCTAGATGTCAAATTCAAATTATTCGAGGGAATTCGGCAAGGGCGCCAAAAGGGGAGCCTGCCAAAAACATGGCCTATTGTGCGAATGACCGAGTTCGCTTTGACCCTGTCCCGTCTCTTCCTTCCCGCTCGTACTGGCCGATTTGCCAGCATCGCATCAGATTGGGGAGGAGAGGGCTGGCGGGCGATGGTACGGCCAGGGGGGACTAGTTAGAGCCTTCTTTGACTGTGGAAGAAGGGTACAGACCAATTAGCAACTTCGTGGACCTAGTCTTGGTGGTTGGGGATACTCGCTTCAGCGGCTGCGCGATCCAGACTCTCAGGGGATTTGGTGTTTGGCAGGCGTTGTCACCCCATCAAAGGGCGCGACTGGAACTACACGATTTTTCTGGGCTGTTGAAGTTACATCAGGGAAGAAAGCGAGCTGAGTTTACTCCGGGGAATGAACTGGACAAATCCGTTCCGACCATATATGTCTGTCTGGTCAGCTAAGGGAGACGGGTTTAAACAAGCTGACATACCAAGAACTCGCTTCACAGCATTCATATCATGCTCGACAGAGTACCTGTCGCAGTTCGAGTTTGGTGCTCGCATGTCGGAAGGGATCTGATCCCCCAGATAGCCAGCGTGACCGAAGTCAATCAAAGTCAGGCAACCTTCTCTGTTCTTCATGAGATTATTGGGGGAGAGGTCGTTGTGAATAACCCCTACTTCATGTATTTTCTTGATAGAGCTGAGGATCTGTGCGGCATGCGTCCGTCCACTGGCGATTTCGATCTCGAACAGCTCCTCCATCCTAAAACCGAAGATGCCTTTGTCATCCACAAAAGGCTCAGAGTGTACGCGGACGACAGGACAGCCATGAGATGCCAAGTAACAGAGAATAGAAAATTCGTCGGCAATCAGGCGTCTTTGGCGGTCGTCCATGCCGACCTTGATGACAGGGAATGCATCCTTTTTATTCTTTAGGATTCTGATATGAGCGTCCGCTCCACATTTTAAGACGTCAGACTTGGCCCAAAGCTCTTCAACCTCCCGACTATGTGGTATAAGAGTCACGGAACCATCCACCGCGGGAAAGTGACTGAGATCCGGAGGCTTTCGCCAGTCGCCATTCCAGCATATGCGATATTCGTGCCTCTGGTAGTCGATATTCATGGCACATCCATCCTCGAATCGATATGCGAAAGAGATCGGTTTTGGTGACATTTCAATGTTTGTGCTATGACTTCATGCACGTGAAAGTAAAGCTGGGGCATGAAATCAAACTATCGAATGGTTTCTGAAGGAGATTTAAGGTCGGACATCCGACGGGAAATGAAGGTACGGTCGAGAATTAAGGGTTAGGAGGTGGGCGGACGAAGGGTAGATTAAGACGTGAGCGAAAGGCTCTGGGCTGTTGTAATATCATAAGAGGCGGGTGCTTAGTCAGGCCGCCATTTCCGAAGGCGTACCTACTACATCGGGCCAACCGCTTACATCTAGCTTCCAGGAGAAGGAAAAACGTAATTACAAAAATTCTACGGAGTATCCAAAGATCCAAAGGTTACGCTCCTCGACATTATCCGTGCAATTCCTCCGCTGATAACGGGCCACTCTCCCTACCCACGGTCATATGCTCTTCGCTTCTTCAACAATGCTATACATGATATACCCAACGACGCTAATAACACTAATGCCGTAATGACCTCTGGAGATTGTGATGGAGAAAAGGAAAATGCCGGAAGGAGTCAGAGGGCACCTTCAGACTTCTTCTCCTCTCCTAGAGCGGGTATCTGCTGCTTGAGATAGGCCTCAAGGTGGTCGATCTCCTCTGGGTCAGCCGAGTGCACCAGGTCCCTACACGAGCATCAGTGCTGTTGGCAAGAGCATATCATCTTCGCTCGCACTCACTGGTATGTTCTAAAGTCCACGTTATATCCAAGCTCCTTCAACGCATCCGCACTCATCTTCCCATACCGATGCGCAACCACCTGATCCGCATCCCCATGGCCCATGAAAATGGGCGTGTTCTGATTCGGGCTATCCTTCGGAATGAGATCCTTCATCTTCTTCTGCAACAGCAGGTAGCAGCTCAGACCAAATATGCCGCCGAGCTGAGACTTGTATGTGACACCGCTTATCAGGGCCATGGCGCCGCCTTGTGAGAATCCGCCGATTACGATCCGGTTTGCGGGAATGCCTTTGGCTACCTCGGCGTCGATGAGGGAGTGGAAGTAATCGCGGGTACGCAAGATGCCTTCTTCGTCTTCTTCGCGGGAGGAGATGTCGCTGAGGGACTTGATATCGTACCAGCCGGGCATGCGCATGCCCATGTTCTACCATGATCAGTCAGTGAATGTTCTATCTCATGTGCTGAGAAGGTGAGACAAGGACTTACTAATGTGATGGGGATCATGGGAGCGTTAGGGAAAATGAAGGAGACTTCTTCAAACTTGCTTCTCCGCCGCCAGTTCTCCGCCAGGAATATCCTATGCGAATGAGTACCAGGTAGTGTAGAAATATGTCTACGGGAGCATCTACCAGCCAGCTCCACTGTCTCCCAAACCATGGGCGACAATGACTGTAGCGGAGTGGCGCTTGAGTGCGGGAACGACTAACGGCGCCTTGTATGCGATGTGCGCCATACTGTACAGGGGGTGAAAGAAATTCTTGTAGATATCGTCAAGCGGTAGACTTAAGAATGTGGTATACGGAGTAGATTGGTGAAAGGTGTTGACCGTTGATCAATAGCGGGGCCTCGGATCCTGCGCTAGTCCAACCGCAACCCCTGGGGCCCGAGATTGGCATGGTCTGCGCTAAGCCCCTTTAAGACAGTCCGAAAAGGCCAATCACGAACGTCATCGACGAACACACAAGTACAACCAGTCACAGGCATTGATTCTACCTCTCACTCACTCACTTCAAGCTTCCCCTCTTCATTATTGAAGCAGATACTGCTAGCAACGTGTCAGCACGTGAACACTTGCTCCCTCACTTAAAAGTGCCTAGAAATCGGCTCCGAGAGCTGCTTTCCCTCTGGACATGCGCATGACTCGCACAGAGTGATCCATCCGTCTTGTCCATTCTTCAAATCGCTCTTGTCCAACAATTTCCACCTACACACTAACTCTAGTCGTCACTGCAGAGCATCCGATGAACACTTTCTTGGTAACTCAACATCCAATGGAACGAAGGGTGACCAGAAGTGCTACGAAGCTAGCTTCTCCAGAAAAGCCACCCTTCAAGCCCAAGGAGCCTGTACAAGTGTCTAGTCCTCCGAAAACTGCAAAGCCTCCAAAGATCAGGAAGCGGAAGTCTACAGCCGTTCAAAATGGGAACTCCTTTGGCTGGCCGGTCAAGAAGTCCAGGGCGTTATCGAGGAATGTTGGCAAGCTTGAGACCCCTCAAACCAATATAGAGCGGGGAGTGAAGTATGAAGAGCTACCTCACAATCTTGGGCTAATGCCCGTTTTCGTTCCACCCGCGTCCGTCGTCGGACAATCTGTCTCGGTTCAGGTAAAGCCGTCCAACAGCGAAAGAGATGCAAGTCAAGGGCGGGTACCGAAGAAGAACAAGAAGCTCAAGTATCCGCACGGAGTGACACCTTATCCCGATTGGCCTCATCCTACTCCGGAAGAGTGCCGCGAAGTCAATCGCCTACTGACGTCGCTGCACGGAGAGTATAAGCCACCCGCAGCTATTCCTCCGCCCTCCCTTACCGTAGCCGGCTGTGGTGAAGTGCCATCAGTCCTGGACGCTATGATTCGGACGCTTCTGTCGGCTTCGACCACCCAGGCCAATGCGGCGCGTGCATTCCAGGGACTTGTTGAGAAATTCGGCATTCTCCAGGAGGGCATTGGCAAAGGGAGTGTGAATTGGAACAAGGTTCATCTTGCCTCACAAGTGGAGGTGCGCGACGCTATAAAAAACGGCGGTCTTGCCAACTCCAAGAGCAAGCACATCAAGAGAATTCTCCAGATGGTATGGGAAGAGAATCAGGAGCGCCGCAAAATCATATCGTCGGATGGATCAGTTGATGGCTTGAAGGGCCTCGACGTCACGAAAACTGCGCAACATGTGCTATCTCTCGACCATTACCATCTTCTAGACACGAATGATGCGCTGGACGCCCTCATGAGCTATCCTGGTATTGCATACAAGACAGCGTTGTGCGTTGCACTCTTTTGCCTGAGGCGACCGGCCTTTGCAGTTGACACGCATGTCTTCAGGATCGCGAAGTGGTTAGGTTGGGTACCCCCGGCAGGCGAATGGGATGGCCTCGCCCCGGGCAAGACAGGCAAGTTCGCTGGGCCGGATCGAGACTCTACGGCGGCTCATCTTCAAGTTCGTGTTCCAGACGACTTGAAGTATTCGCTGCATCAACTTCTCTTCAAACACGGACAACTGTGTCGACGCTGCCAGGCCATTACTGGTGAGCATAGTGAAGGATGGGACAAGGGCTGTGTGATCGACCATCTTGTCAAACGCGAGAAACCAGCATTGGCCCGCATGAAGGTCGTCGATAGGAACGTGACGCTGGGCTCCCTTACGCAACTCCCGAGCACAAGCACTGGTTCAGGCAGAGCTCCGAGAAAAGAAGAAGTCATAGCTGAGGAAGATATGGAAGCGGGCGAGGAGAGCAGTGGGCTGAATGAGCTGGACAGCGACGAAGACTTTGAAGATTGAGGGTCTATATCGATGATGGTAGGGATCCTGCTGCACACTGGCTTTCTTTGCTGAAAATGGCAAAGATGAGGCGTAACTCTATAAAGACTCCATGAGGCAGTTGGTATTACTGGGAATGTACAATCTCCCGACCGGTAGGTGTGCTTCTTTCAAAAGCATCTTTTCCTTTTCTAAATCCAATACCTTTGTGAGATTCCAAAAGCGGACGTCTTTTCCACAGTTCTGCAATTCTACTTTCCATTGGATGTTCACTATTGGGTCAGCTTTCCCTTTGAGGTGATCTTCCCTGCAGACTTCCATTTTTCCGGACCAGAGCAAGTTCACTATTAGCCACATGGACAGCCCCTATAATAGTTATGACACGTCCTTATGATGTGGGGTCAATTTGGAACCCTGCTCCACAACGGTTACCGACATTAGCGACCACAACCATCTATGTATTATATACTAACTGATCCCATGTCTCCAAGCCTCCAGACATACCATTCGCAAAGCTTTATTCAACGTCGATAGTAGGGATCTCCACCAAATGAGCCCCATGCCTTTCCTTCTAATTGGAGGAATTTCCAGATTAGGTACGACGGTCTTTCGGTTAGTACTATGCTTGGATTCGCCATGACTGGTTTCCACCAAACGAAGTTATGGAGTACAATATACTCTCCCTGGTCATAAAAGGTGCAAAGGTATTTCCTCGCAGCCAATCATCAGGAATATGGGAATGTGGGGAGATATTGTATTGGTGTCTGCGGATAGGCATGTCTTGGGAGTATTTGCGTATAAGCACAACTTCAACCTCGACTTCACACTGGAGCGAAGCACTCCTGCTGCTGCCCCATATTGCGTCTCTCACCACCATCATGATTTGGACCTACGCGGCCCTCGCGCTCCTCGCGCCCTCTGCCCACGCACTCCTCCGCTTCTCCTGCTCCCAGCTTGTCATCGAGCGTCTCGACCCCCTCGTCAATCCTGGCGCCCTTCAAAGCCCTCATCTGCACCAAATCATCGGCGGCAACGCGTTCAATGCTACCATGGATCCGTCCGTCGCGCCCTCCGACCTCGCCACTTGCACCACGTGTACGTTTTCTGAGGACTTCTCGAATTACTGGACTGCGGTCTTGTTCTTCAGGGCGAGGAATGGGACCTTCAAGAGAGTGCCCGTGAAGGGCAATAGTGGGTTTGAGAGCAGCCAGGGTGGAATGACGGTGTATTACACGCCAACGTTGAGGGGGACAGCGAAAGTGACCGCTTTCAAGAAGGGGTTTAGGATGATTGTTGGTACGACTACGCACTTTATCGCAGCACCGTCAAGGAGTCACAGTGTCAAACTGATGTGCGCTTCCAGGAAACCCGACCTACCGCACCGAAGCCGAGGCGAAACGATTCCGGCAACTCACATATACGTGCTTGGAGAATATCCTCACGCGTACGGGCGAGACGCTTGATTTCCCCAAGAAGCCGTGCAAGGCGGGTATCATGGTGAATGTGAGGTAAGAGACCCATAGCATGTGGTAGCTTCCCATGGGTTGCTGATATCTTCTACAGGTTTCCCACATGTTGGGATGGCGTCAACCTCGATTCGCCTGACCATATGAGCCACGTTGCTTATGTGTGTTGGTTACCTTTCCTCTACTTCGATTCCGAATCCGGGTTGTGGACGGTCATCTAGACCCAGTGAAGTTATGGACTAACGGACGTCTAGCCTGCATCCGGAACCTTCGAATCCAACGGGCCCTGCCCCTCCACCCACCCCGTCAAGATCCCGCAGCTCTTCTACGAAGTCATTTTTGACACTTCGAAATTCAACGATCAATCACTGTGGCCCGCGGACGGCAGCCAGCCCTTCGTGTGGAGTTTTGGTGATGCGTACGTATCGCTGAACTCGTGACTCTCTCTTCCCAGATCCCCTGCCCATATCTAGTTGCGTCATATGCACGATACCGTTGTTTCCATGAAGAAATGATATACTGACATAATATATGTAGGACCGGCTACGGGAATCACGGAGACTACGTCTTTGGCTGGAAAGGCGATGCGCTGCAAAAGGCCATGGACTCGAATTGCAATATCAATTGCCCTCAACTCAAGACGCAGAGTATCGCGGCGGGCAACAAGTGCGCGCAGAAGCAGAAGGTGAAGGAGGATATTGATAGTTGGTTGCCAGAGTTGCCCGGCGGGATGCCTGTGCAGTGATTGTGCCGTGGGCAAGAAGACTAGACAATAGCCTTTAGAATGCAGGCTGAACCGAACATGTGTTTTATATGTCTTTTTTCAGAATAGGAACAGTCAATTCATTTTCCGAAATCCAAAATGAAAACCGTGAATTTCACCATAAGGATATGAAAACACGGTTCCCACTTGTATTCTCTCCGTCTCTCTCTCTCTCTCTCTCTCTCCTACATTGCCTCTTTCTTGTTTCTAATCCACCCCCAGAATCAACCCTTTTTCATCTCCATCTCATGATACGGCTCAGCCCTCAACCTCCGTCACCGGCACCGCCAACGGACTAACCTCCCCCCTCAACCCCCAACTACACACCCCACTCCCCCCACAAGTCCCAGACAGCGTCTCAGGCGCCTGCAAATGCACCTCACCAACAAACTTCCTGGCAAACCTCTGGCCCAAGCTCCCCACCTCCGCCACCCGCCGGAACCTGACGTCGAAATTGGTCAAGCCGAATTCGGGCGTCTGCAGAATCTCCATGGTCCAGTAGCCGTCTGCTTCGGCGTTGTCGTCGCAGGGCCACGAGCGGTTGAAGGGGTTCTCTCCGCGTAGCCAGATGGCGCGGCAGTTGGAGGCTGTGTTGTTGGCGGGCAGGGTGACGGGTTGGCCGGCTTTGTTGGTGCCGAGGTCGAGGGCGTTGGGGTCGGTGATGCTGGCTGTGATGGTGTTCCAGGGATAGTTGCCGGGCCGGCCGGAGGGGGAGAAGAAGCCTATGCCGGTGAGTTGCCAGGGGAGGAGGCTGGAGCTCGTTTCGCGGGGGCTCAAGGTCGGGGCGGAGAGGATCGGGGTGGTGAAGGAGAGAAGGGTGGGGAGGAGGACAGTAGCGAAGTGCATGATTGCTGGTGGTTTTGTCTGGCTTTGGCAGTGGGTTTTTGTGTTGGTGGCGGTAGCCGTCTTAGAAGAGTGCAAACGGTTGTAGTAATGCTTTTCAATTCGGAAGTGACAGTGTTGTTGAGCTCAAGAGTGAGTGGGAAATCTCGATGCCGGTGTCTTCAAATAGGTGTGCATTCATCCTTATAACCTACCGATGTTTCTTCTTCCGCTATTCCTTCTCGAATATTCGCCACCCAAGGGCTTTCAACTCCACTGGCCTAACTTGTAAATCCGATGCATACGACAGTGGTACCCACTGCATAGGCCCTCATCATACCAACCGCAAATAGACACTGATAGTGCTATTATTAGAACGATCGACATGGGCGCTGGTAACCCTCGAACGCGAGTTGTAAACGATGTCACGTTAACTCGCTTACACTAACGCTTGCAAACCGTTAGGCCTGTTCGTACTGTGGTGATGCAGTGCACGTGTCGGTGTGGTGATGCTTACTTAGCAGTACCGAGGTCTTGGAAATATTGATTGCCTGGTTCATGTACTGCAGGATGCAGCGATGACTCGTGAGGATTTGCCAGAATGTAGGTTAGGAGACCTGGATCGTGATGCGCGGTCCTAGGTTACAATGCCGCGAGGTGAGCAGGCGCATGCGAAACGCCTGCCTGGGTCGAAAGCCGACGAGAAGCAGATGGAATCAAAACTGACTTCGGACCTGAAATACTCCAGAAGAATGTGTCCATTCTTCATTCCTGCCTGTTCGCTATATTTCGACTGCATAATGAATATGGTATCTCAGACGACACTAATGCACCTCGCCATGCCTGGATTCGTAAATGGCGCCAGATCCGTTCCGATGTCTAGATAGCGACAAAAAAACTCTTCTCCCCCTCTCTTGGCTTCACCCACGCCCTCTTAAGAATGGGGTCGGCGCACGATATCCTAATCCTTTCAGGCGTAGCAGGCGACTGCAGATGCAAAACTGAGTGTTCATTGAACTCGCGGCGCGCAGCTTTGAGCGCGTCGCGGATAGCGAAGAAGACGGAGCTGCCCATGAAGAGAGGAGGTTCACCTGCGAATCGTCAGCCCACTGAAAGCTTTGAGGCGGTGGAAGGACACAGAAGAAAGAACATACCAACACCCCTACTCCTCTGAATTGTCCTCAAATTCTCCCACTGCACGTCCTTGAGCAGGCTAACATTGAAGATCTGCGGAATATCCCTGAAGCCTGGAATCTTATACGCGCCCGGACCCTTGGTAAAGATCTGCCCAGAAGCCCTATGCCAAAGGCTCTCCTCGGTAGTAAACAACCCCTGGCCCTGAATAAACGCACCCTCAATCTGCCCGTAGTCGATAGCAGGGTTGATGGAGTGCCCAACGTCCATTTTGATATCCACACGTCGGCACGTCCAGTCGCCTGTCAGAGTGTCGATTTCAACTTCGGCTGCGGCGACGCCCTGAGTAAAATAAAAGAACATTTGACCCTTGTTCTCGCCCCAAACATAGCCAATGTCGGGGGTTTTGTAGAAGCCTTGGGCGGAGAGGTTGACGCGGTCAAAATATGCGGCATGCGCAATGTCCTTCATGCTTGCGTTCGGGCCCAGCTTTTCGCGGTACGGTTTGAGGCGTTCGTTGAGTTGCTGACACGCGTTCCAGATGGCGTAGCCATTGAGGTCGGAAGAAGCGGAGGCGGCGGTCGAGGAGGTGTTTGCGACGGTGTTAGTGGCGGTTTCGGAGATGTAGACGGACTCTTGAGGGACTTGGAGGGCTTCGGCCGCGATCATGGTCATCTTCGTATGCAAGCCTTGACCCATTTCCGTGCCGCCGTGGGCGAGCAGGACAGAGCCATCGTGGTAAATGTGGACGAGGGCGCCGGCTTGATTGAGGAACAGCGCCGTGAAGGAGATGCCGAATTTGGTAGGGATGAGGGAGAGGCCGCGCTTGTTCCACTTGTGGGTCTTGTTGAACTCTTCGATTTCTTTGCGACGTTGCCAGTACGCGGACTCCTCCTGGACCTGGCGGTACATGAGGGGAACGTGCCAGTCCTTGAGTTCCTGGTTGAAATGCGTTACCATATTTGTCTCTGGAGAATACATGTTGATCTCCCGAAGCTTCTCGACTGGAATCCCGAGATGATCGGAGATTTCCTCCATGAAAGTCTCGCAGATGAACATGCCCTGTGGTCCTCCGAAGCCACGGAAGGCGGTGTTGGAGACAGTGTTTGTCTTCGCTATCCTTCCCCGTACATGAACGTTGGGAATAGAGTACACGCCATCAATATGCGTCATAGAACGCTCGACCACTGCACCGGAGAGGTCCTGTGTCCATCCGCCGTTGCTGAAGACGTCCGCATCAAGAGCCTGCAATTTCCCGTCCTTGTTGACAGCAACCTTCCAGTGCGCAAGGAATGGGTGCCGTTGTCCCGAAGTCATGATGTCCTCATCTCGGTTCAACATACACCTTACAGGTCGGCGGACCTTGTTCGCTGCGCAGGCCACGATACCCGCCAGCTGGATGGACCTCGTCTCTTTGCCACCGAAACCGCCACCCATGCGCTTGACACGGGTAACGATCTTGTTGGCAGCGACGCCGACGACCTTTGCTACGTAAGCCTGCGTTTCCGACGGGTTTTGGGTGCTGCTGAAGATCTCCATCTCGCCGTCCTCAGGCTTGGGCACAGCAACACAAGCGTTGGTCTCCAGATAGAAGTGCTCCTGCCCGCCCATGCGTGCCGTGCCCGTAAAGACATGATCAGCTGTGGCAAATGCCTTCTCCGTATCGCCCTTTTTGATGTACCGATAGTGATCGAAGAAGCTTTCTTTTTCAATAGCCTCCTCGATAGTGAAGATGGCAGGTAGATCTTCGTATTCAACCAACACCGCTCGAGCGGCCTGTTCAGCGCGCTTAGCAGAATCGGCAAGGAGCATACCAATGGGTTGGCCAGCAGTGAAGACTTCGTCGACTGCAAAGAAGACCTCGTCGCACTTAGGCGCACCCCACCAGTTGGCCTCTGGAGACGGAAGATCCCGGTGGTCAACCCAAGCATGCACACCGGGAAGTTCAAGTGCGGGCTCGGGGTCAACCTTGACCAATTTCGCATGCGCTTTTGTGGACAGAACCAAACAGCCGTACAATTCATTCCGCTGAGGAGGAATATCGTCTGTGTACTGTGCTTCTCCCGTAGACTGCTTTAAAGCAGCAACATGCGGCAGTTCTTTTCCAAGAACGTTTTGGGTGTATGCCTCGGCAGCCTGATGGTCCTTCTTTCCCGAGGAGATATCTCTTTCAATTTCTCCAATGGCCTGCGTGTCAACTTCCACCTCGTCTGCGTGCAGCTCCGCGAGAACTTCATGATAGAACTTGTAGAAGAAGCTGAGCGCCAACGACTTCCTGTACGTTGCCATGCCACCAGGGACGCCAAATCGGAGGTCGAAGTCCTCTTCCAGGGCACCCATGACACCTTCTAGCGTTTGCAGCTCGGTGAACTTCTTTCCTGTCAGGTACCCCATGGCTTTCTTGGCGGCAATCGTCGTGGGCGCCATGCCACCGTAGACGAGATCGACGCGCTCGACAAGGTGAGAATCGTTGAGCACCACGCGCAAAGCGGCATTTACAATAGCGATATCATCGTCCTTTCTCTTTGCTTGCTTGTAAGCTCGTATGTATTCCCCCTTCTCTTTGGTCACCGGTATTCGAATGCTCGCGATGACGGCGTCAGGAGGTAGCTCAGTCTGCCTATATCCTTTGAAGAAATCCGCAATGCGTAATTCTGTCGTCTTCTCCAAGCTCTTCGCAACAAGTGTGGCATTGCTAGCCATAAAGACAGGATTGAGATCCGAGATGGGCGAGGCAGTAGCCAGATTACCTGCTGGTGTTCCCACATTCCGGATCTGTCTCCCAGCGAAGTACCGAAGTTGTTTCAGGATGGCGGCAAAAGCCTGCCCGCGAACCTTACCGTAGTGTTTGATAGCGTCTTTGCATATAGACTCAAGATCCGTCAAGACGACGTTTCCGCCTATCTCCAGATGTTCGTCTTGAAAAGTGAACTGTCTGAGCTCGGCGATGTCGCCAACAAAAACACTGGCGCTATAGTTCATGCCTTTGAACTTGGTCTCGATCTGCGTCTCCGTGCTACCTCCGATAATCTTTGCCGAAGGATATGCGCTCTTGATCTCCAGCAATTGCTGAAGGGTAGTGGGCCTGTACCACTTTTTCCGCTTATTCCCGAAGGCCAGCGGCCTGAACAAATGCTTCCTCAGCTGCGACGGGAAGATGAGTTCGGTATCCGGGTGATACTCGATGAACCCAGGAGGCGTAAACCGTTTTATCGGCTGCGAGTCGTCCAAGCCGTCTTTGCAACAGCCGCCTGCTTTCCCTCCATTTTCCATACAGCAACCCGTCCCACCATTCGCCGTGGCTTTCCCGCAACCTGTTGGAACGCTGAAACTTTGCGCTGCGTCCAGAATAGGTCTATATCCGGTGCAGCGACATAGGTTTCCGTCGAAGGCTTCTTCGACGTCATGTTCGCTGGGACGTTCGTGGTTTCGGAGTAAGGCGTACAAACTCTGGACCTGCGTTAGCGCCAGTTTGACAGGATTGTTCAACAGGAGATTCGTACCATGACTATACCGGGCGTACAGAACCCACACTGACTACCATTTCCCTTTGCTATCCTCTCCTGTGCCGGATGCGGCTTCTTTACATTTCCGATCCCCTCAACTGTAATGACATGCTTTCCGTCGACACTGACAAGCGGCGCCAGGCACGCATTCACACTCGCATGGTAAATCTTCTTTGTCGTCGGATTATACTGGCTCACAACCTGTCACACAATCAGTCCTCATACCTCTCCTATTCCCATGGCAGGTATACTTGCCACAGTACATGCGCCACAGCCTCCCTCTGCACACCCCAACTTCGTGCCTGTCAGGCCAATGCCCCGAAGATACTCCAGCAGGGTGACTTCGGGATCCGCATCCTCGAGCACGACTTTCGTCCCATTAAGGTAGAACCGTAAAGTATCGTCGTACCCCTCCGTGACACTGTCGAGGGAACGAGCGTTCTGCGGGGGGACGGCGGGTTCCGGGGCACCAATAATACTTGGAGCCATATCTCCCTAGTCTTCTGCTTCAAACGAACAAAATCCCAAAAAGCGAAGACGAAGGATAATAATGAAGAACAAGATGCAGAATGATCAACTCCACCACCTCCCAACAAACTCCTTGTGCAGTGGGGCGAGCTTAAGGTGTTGATATCATGTGCGGCGGTCCACCTTTGGCCCTGAGCATGCCTCGGCGCCAATGACGATGGGCTGTCTGAGATATTCCTATCGAGGTGTGACCCACGGCGAGGGCTGCTAAGACATGCCCGCCCGCAGGATGGCGGCGAAGGCCGATGGGGACGCTCTCGGACGGGTGGACAAGCGTTGTTCCGCTCCGCAGCGGGGCGATATCTGATTGGGTGGAGAGAAAAGGGGCTTGGCGTCCCCTCACGACGTCACGAGGCTTGGCGTGAATGTTCACGACTTGAGGGATACTGAGGCAACCTCATCGGCACGTACTTGTACATCGACCATTTCCACTGCTGACTGATCTCAAACAGTGGGACTCGGACATTGACTTGCGCTCTCGTCTCTGACCCGTGAGGCTGGTACTGAGTTGATCTCCTCAATGACATCTATCCACCTGCAAGTCCTCTACTAGACTAGCATGTGACGGGACACAGAAGTCAAGTCTGTAGTCAATCGCGTACCGACCCTATTCTTCTGTTTTTCTGTAGAGGACGACTCGGAGTGGAGTTCTTGCACTGGCACTCTCCGACCTGTCCGGGCTGTCTGGTGGATTCCCCATGCATGACTGACTGCAAGTCGTACTGCTCGTGAACAATCCGAGGAGCGCACTGGAAGACGGCCTCTTATAGAGACCTACAATACTTGAACCGAGGACCCTCGTAGATCCCAGCAAAGGAGTCCACCGGATCGCACTAGCCCAGTACACTAAGTCAGGCACAAGCAGTCAAATCGGGCCATCCGATATCCTCTTTTACAACAGCCTAACCCAAAGACTAGCCCAAGCTCCCCTTTTGTGAGATTCTCTCAGAGAAACGTTGTTCCAAGCTCCGGTGAGGACGCGAGATCATGTCCCGCGTGTGGCGACTTCTGCGACAGCCAGCAGATGAGTGGGCCATTCGAGTTGATGCGTGATCGGGAGCAAATCGAGTCGTCCTGCAGCAGGCGCTTCTTCGGAGCAACTTGTCCGATGCGCGCATACGTGTTTCGGTGTGCCTCCGTGGAACTCAATTTCTGGTTGAATATGTCAAGCAGAAATTGTGGCATCGACACTGCATTATTCGAATCATCGAGGAGCGCGAGCATGCGAGACTCGAGGTGCTGCCCCGTTTATTGAGTCGTCAGTTCTACTGTGTGTCTATGGTTGGTTTCAGTTGCATGCACGTACTACTGTGTATGTAGCTGCAGCACCGGGGCAGGAATCCAACACACCAGCGAATAGATGACGTCACGCATGCCATCATGGTACTTTAAATACGGCCAGAAACAATGCGCCCCGAGGTTGCTACGAGCAAAACACAGTCCGGAAATACAGCTGAATATAACCAAGTCTCTCCCCGTTAGTGTTCTTATACAACGACTACTCGCATTTTCGCGTCCCACACGTTCTGCATCGTTCCTCCTTGCCCGAACTTCTCAGCACATCGCATCTAGATCCACCTATCATTCCCAGCAGCCAAGACAAGATGAATAACCGCGACAACGGCGTTACGGAAGGCGTCAAGTTCGTCACCTCCACAGTGGGAAATACGGTCGGCGGGGTTACGAATACCGTTGGCGGAGTCGTCGGTGCCGTTGGACGAGGCGTGGGCGAGACGGTCGAGGGAGCGACTGGTAGTGCCGGACGGCCTATTGCGAGGGCGGTCGCCGACGTCGGCTCGAGCTTGGAGGATGCAGCGGCCCAAGTTGCCGGAGGTGTGAAGCGAGCTGGGGAGGGAAAGTAAAGCATGAAGCAGGCATGATGACTTGTACTAGCCGTCATATAGTCGCCGGAGTGTCCATGCCCTATGGCGGTTACGGTACAGAACTAGTACAAAGACTGAAGGACGATGCGAATAAAATACAATTTCACGTGATGTTACAGCGGCCGCACATGTGCACTGAGTGTATGCGTTGTAGAGCAAATATCCCTTCTGCAGAGCTCCCTATGTACACGCAAACGCTTTGGCCTCATGCTGAGGGGGACCCAGAAAACACCGCAGTGTCATGACGCCATTTGAACCGGTCATGCTGAAACATCAGACTCTTTTTAATCTGTGATTCCCACAGTTATGCGCCACGGGAATTTTTGTCACTGATGTCGTCGTTTTCGCACCCAAGCAGTTATCTTAACACGGCGCCGTAGTCATCGTACTCATCACTTGGGCAATTTCACGCACTTCAACTCGCTTTACAGATGAAAACACATTCAGACCCAGCCTATCTCTAAGAAACTTAAAAGGTTTCCTGAGCTCTAAAGAAAAAAACAGGTCCTGGTAATAGTGCTACTACGGAGCCACGGCTACTACGCAGTTGTAGAAAGGCCGAAGCGCCGTTCAAACCCCCATCCCGGAATGAAGCCTCAACTCGACGGCGAGGAGGATAAAAATTGGGATGCACCACACCGACAAGTAAGACTACACATGCCTTCGGTGCGTGGGATGTTTCTGTATCGCTGCTCGTCTCCGAGTTAGCCCCTGCCTCACATCACTCGTCACTTTCTGGAAGTAACAATCATCACTTGCGGGACTTATTTGGCAAGCGCTACTTACGCAGGCTTGCCTCATACATTGTGCTTCGCTCCATTTTAGATCGCCAGACTAGATCCGTGATTACGCTTTCTTCATCGACGCGTTCGATGCGGCCTCTACTCGGCCAAACACGATCGCGCACACTGAAGCTACACCGTCCGTATAAATTCTCCCTTCCTCACCTCTCCTACTTCCCTTTCCACTTTTCATCCATTCTTCCCTTCGATAGTAGTCGTTATCACCCTCACGGGGCAGGTATTGTTTACCCACCAGACATTCCTCCCTCTTCTTCTCACCACATCCCACCATCAACAAACCGACACCTCGTCACCATGCCTGCCAGCATCCCATATGCGGAACCTCGCATAACCATCCACGAAACGTGGGTACCACACTTCATCATCCACATCGAATCGGTCCCCATCCCCGTCGGGCTCGAGGAAGTCACAAATCCGCAAACAGGGAGATCCTACACGCGTCCCAACCGCTGGATCTGGGTGCGTCGCACGATCCCAATACGCGTCACGGACGACATAAATTTCCAGCCCCAGCTGCGCAGACCGATACTGCTGCCCCGTGAGGCAACTTTCACTTACCCAGCTCCTCGTCCTGACGTGAGGCCCATCGAGTTTACGTTTTACACCGATTGGACATACATATACCCAGACATCCCATACCCAGGGCGGACGGAATATTTCTACCCAGATGGGGATCCTTCCAACTTCAGTCCTCCGACTGAGGGTGTGGAAGACGTGCCGATGGAAGACCCGCCAGTCGTACTCAACATTTGGAAACTGAATTGAGGGATCAGATAACGGAAGATCTATTTCCCACATTCCCCAGTAAGTTCTCTCCTCTGCCGACACTTTCAATGTGCGAAAACCGCTGTTTGCATCATGCTTATCCCTAACCACCATCGATCGGCCCGTCCCTCATGTCGCGTCCCCGCTTGGCTCCAACAATACTAGATCACTCCGATATCCTTCCCCTCGCTTGCATTCTCCGATGTCCTCACCATCAAGCCACCTTAATCCACGACGCTGACAATCACATGCTAGGGATTCGATCTCCCCACCTTTCACTGATCACACGTCCGGTACATCTTCTCCGATTTTTCCACTGCCCCGACCATGATCTCTTCGACTGGCAACTCCCATTTCACACACAATAAACTCTTGTTGTATCTTTCCTTCTCCTGTATATACTATTGGCTTATTGTTGTATACCCAAACTGCCTCCGGTCCATGCGGTAGAGCAGACTAGAGTAGATAATCACCTGTGTTTACAGATATTTCGACCAAATCCCATTCCTGCTTACTCCTCATGCTATATCGAACAACGTCTACCATCTTTGAGACTGGTTCCGATAAAGGTGGTGCGAACAGGGGAATTTGGTTCACAAGGCCACATGGCGTCGTTCTACCTGCAATAATCCCGCCTGCGAACCCCGGCCTCGGCCGCTGTTTGTCAGACGGTGGCCTGGTCCTTGCTAGCTAGTGAGCCAAATGGCTGCTTCATATAGCCGCACCTTTCCACCGTTAATTTCATGCTGGGCGGGATGAAGAAAGACATGGCAGGCAGGAAGAATGTCTCTGCCATGCGGCGGAAATTGGGCAGGTGTCCAAAGAGGATGTTGTTGTTGAGGGCAAACACCTCACGGCAGCAGGAGAGGCTGTATCTGGAGACGATGGAAAATGTCACTACCGACTGTGACTATAATGTACCCGAGTAATAACAGAATGTTAATCCCGTCCACTTATATACTGTGGCACAGGGGAGAGGGGAAGGAATCCTTGACACCGTCTAAAATATCATGGATAATACTAGGACGTCCAGTTTACTTCAAGGGTCGCAGCAAAGCAATCTGTGAAAATGGGGTGAAAACGAGGAGAGGTGGAAGCGCGAATTGGATCTAAAATGCCATTGAGACCTTGTCGCTATTCACAATACGTAGTACAAGCCATATCGGGGTAATGTTGGCAATATGAGAAAACTGTCTATAGAACGGACAAATCGCCGAATTTCTCCTGCTCAGAGGTTAACATAGAACTAGCGGGGCATCAGTATAGAAGAGACTCGCCTTGTAACCCGGAACGTGCCAGCGGCCCTTCGATACAAGCTGCTCGGTGCGCTTGTCAATGTCGGGCTGAGCAGCAGCAACCTCGTCCTGTGCGCGATCATCAGTCGCCTTATTCCAGCCCACTGAAGGTTTCCACCACATACCACAGTGAGGTCAGAGAATGGCCTTGCCTCCTCAATGTTCTTCAGCGTCTTCTGCAGATCCCTCAACTCCTTGTCAACCACGCTCTTGGTCTCCTCGGCGCTCTTCACGGCCTGGGCCTCGAACGCCTCGATGGCCTTGATCTGCCTGTTCACATCGTAGGTCTGGGGCTTGAAGGCATTGAAGCTCCTCTCAATCTCGTCGACAATGGCGGTGTTCTTGAGGACGGAGCGGTAGTAGGCGAAGTCTACGGTTTGGGGCTGCTCGGAGAGCATCTGGACCTTGCGGCGCGCGTCATCGTTGCGCTTCTTGAAGGCTTGGAGAGAGGCAGCGGTGCTGCCCTTGAGGCCCAGCTGCGTGCCAATCTTGGTCCAGTCGAGCTTGAGAGCGGCGCTGCGCTGTAATTGATGCGTGAGTTAGTTTTTCTTGATTCGCAGAAGAGGGGATATAAATCGGTACGGGTAGCCGGGAGAGGCGCCAATCGCCCCTGCCGGAGCTCCAGGGAACGCGGATAGGGAAGTTGAACGTACTCCGACAGCCATTGTGATGGATCGAGACGGGTTAGGGTAGAGATGGGGTTGCGAGTACGATGTGAAGTTCTTCCTTAGGCGCGAGCAGACCTCGGAAAACGCTTGGCACTTATGTAAGCACCGGTTCCGCAGGTTCGTGAGAGGTCACTTTTCGCACGTATAGGAGATGCAGGGAATCAGAGCAATCACAAGTCCTTGAGTTTGACTAATTTTATCCATTGGTCCGCTGGATACAGACCACAGAGCGATACGTCACAATGATCGCTTTTCTCCATGGAATTCTGTATTATATCCTTTTATACAGAGTTGGAAGAAATGTAGCGAGCCGTGCTCCTAGTTGTCCCGTCATCGCTCACGAGACGTTGAACTATAAGCTGAGCGCCATGATGGAGTTCACGATATCGTTGTCGTTCTCCTTCAGTGCTTTGACCGCCTTCTTCCGGGACACGTTGGCCTGCTGCATGACGAGCTCAATGTCCTTGGCCTCAAGACCGCTGTCATCAACCTCCTCGCCCTCGTCCTCCTCCTCTTCCTTCTTTTCCTCAGCCTTGCCCTTACCGTGGCCATGGTCGTGGTCATGACCAGCGTGCTCGTGGGCGGCAGCTTCGGCGGCCGCGAGCTGTTGAGCAGCGGAGGCTTGGGCCTGGGAGTTCAAGTCCTCAATCTTGGCCTCGCCGAAGATGCTATGACGTGTCAGTACACTGGGGAATCTCATGTCGGATGTCGCCTTACATGTAGGTGTTGCTTGAGGGCGACTTGTAGACATCGGGGTTGTTGATGACGAAGAGGATCTGTCCCGCAGTTAGACATAGTCCGACTGGCGCCTCCATCCTCCTCCTCGAGCTGCACTAACGTTCTTCGGTCGGCGAAGGGTGACCCTTGTGATGCCTTCAACGTGCTTCAATCCAAGCTTGGCAATGGCCTTGCGAGCCTTCTTCTCGTTGCGGGAGTGAACAGCGACGGAGGAGCCGGCGGGGATGGTCGCCTCACCACCCTCCGCCTCGGATTCGGAGCTGGACTCAGCATCCTCGACCTCGGCGGCCTTCTTCTCCGGCTCGTCGACGATTTCCTCGATGCGTGGATTGGCCATTGTGCTTTTATTTGTCGAGACGGTGGTCTTTGCGGGAGGTTGTCTGGTGGTGGAGCTTGTGGTCGGGTGCGTTTTCTCACTTTCCCAGGTGTGGGAAAATTGGCGAGGTCTTGGCAGAGGTTACCAGCAATGTCATGGTTTAAGAGATATCCACAAAGTCCGCCACAGAGTATCTATTAGGTGGGCGAGGATCAATTTGCGGTTTCATGAACTGTTTGGAATTTGGGCTCTGTTGCTACAATTATGCGCATGTGAAGAGCCGTCTTAACCTTCCGATCCGAATTGCACCATGCCAACCATTGAATTCTCCAGAGAAGTTGGGTTTGAATTTTGAATGACAGGAATAGCCATCCGGAAATGCTCGTGAATGCAAAAATGACCTTCCACGGCCTGTTGGTGGCACCGGCCTCGCTCACCACACGTCGCTCCCCAGCCCATTGCCACCCTCTATGCCTTTGCGGAGACCTTGGCGAGGGTCTTGCGGACCTCGTAGCGCGCCTGATTCTAGTCAGTCTATGTTTCTCCATCAAGTTGCCCTGGCCGCCTGCCTGCGACAGGACACCGGATATAACACACCTGCTTCCTCAGCTTCATGACCTTGAACCTCTCAAAGTCGTTGAGCTGCCTCCGCTTCGCGAACTGAGCGCGCTTCTTAGCGAAAGCGCTCTCGTTGAATTTCTCATCCACCTTTTCCTCTTGCCACCTCTTCTGGACGACTCCTCGGCCGGTACCGCGGGGAAGTTTCTTGAGGACGATGGGGGTCAGGGAAAGGTGGGCGAGGGATGCGGAGTGCCGGGGAACGTTAGCCTTCTCGGAGGGACCGTCGACGAGCACCTAGGTTTGTGAGCCTCTCCATTCTCTTCATCCGCGCATTCCCTCAGCAAACGTACGCGCTTGTGATCGATGATCTCGACAATGGCGGCCAGCCGTCCTTGGTACGGGCCGGTGCTGAAGAGGACGACACGGCCAACCTCGACCTGCCTCCACTGGGTTGTTGTGATATCGGCGTCACCCATTTCGACGAGAGTTGGTGTGGTGGGAAGGTCCTGGGGGTTGTGGTTGCTGATTCGGAGTTCGTCGTTGGTCCGCAACAGTTTCGTGAGGTCGGGAGAGTGGAATTGTGCGGCACGTGTTTTGCCAAGGCTCGCTAATAGCTAGCGCTGCCCTTGGCGCCTCTGGAACATTTTCTCTGCAACGAAACTCTCATCAACCTCTCCTTCTGGATCTCACACTCACAAGCGGAGTATTCTACCTCTCGCTGAAATACAGGCTGCATTGCTGTGCAGCTCGAGTGTACCTAAGGCAACAGTATTTTGTTGGGTGCAAATCAACGCATAGCCTTCCCTCATATCTTCAACTGCAAAGGCGAGTTCATCCTTGGTACTAACCTCTGCAGTCGCAGCGTGCGCCTACTCGGTGAGTTCATTCATTTCTTTCTCCGTCTTCAATTCTAGGATGACGTAATTTGCGATTGAGTCTACTGTCGGAGACCCTCGCCGGGGTCTCGTCAACGGTGGTAGACCTGTGATATTCAATTCTTACATATTCTGAGACCGACCGTTTTCCGAAACCTCTTCCTGAGCTTCAGTCATCGGAACAGCTTGGCTGACATTGAATCAGGACCGCCGTGTTATAGAAGCTTCAGATTCTAGATTGACCTCAGTCAACCGCGTGAGGCAGCATCCTCTTGGCTGTCCCACCCCTCATGTAGGCCAATTTCCTTCTTTCTCCAAGCGCTCCCTTTCCGATGATTATAAAACCTTTCTGCCTAGATAGTAGATGACTCTTCGGAGTATGATTTTCCTTTTACACCAAGATCACTGAGGATCCTCACACGTGTTGTTTCTGGTCTTTCCCCAAATTCATGGCATGAAGCTAACATGCTCTTAGGTATGTTCGAAGTCGTCAGCACCACAGTACATGAGCTCCCGCTGGCAAGTCAACGTGTCCACTTACAGAAGAGTTCCACGGGAGTAGCTCAATGTTATCCGATCTCTACAATTATGAATACATATTATTACCGAAACCTTTCGAACTCCTACACTCGGATTGTGATTTTGGGCTTTCTGAACAGGTACATGTTGCATTCCCAGAAGCGGGCACAGCCAGGCCATGGGCTCTGAGCCGTCACAAGGCGATGTGCAGCTGACGGGAGTTCGCATCGCTCATGGGTTGGGCTAACCGCAGAGAACTGAACCTGACTGCGGTGCGTCACAGAGTCTGGGATAGCACCTTGCCCATGGATCGCACAGATGTTCTTTCCCCTGGTGGCGGAACACCGGCAGACTTCTCAGAAAACATCGAATGACTCAACAGACCCGTGCCAGCAATGACGGACGTGTTTATTACCTCGCTTATGTTATACACAACATTCAGAACCTCAGAAGGAACCGCCTCAAAGCGTGAGAACCTTGGAAGGCTTACGAAAACCACACCCCAACTCCCGGCAAGGTGCAAAGAAACGAAGGCGCACCAGACCTCGGTCCATTCAAGGTCATTTCAGTCGTTGAAAGTTGTTCGGCGTCTGATAAAAGTGTCTCAAGCACTATTGCCTGGCATTAATTACTGACGTTAACACTCCTTCTGGAGCTGTGCAGGGGACAGGGGACTCCAAAAGAAAGACGATAGGGAAAGGGGGGAGTTCACTTACAACAATGACAAAGTCAAATCTCCTCTGATGCTAGCTTTCAACTCCACTTCGACTTCCAGATTTGCCTCCAACTTCAGCTTCAAACCATCCTGCTTGTCCAATTCGCTCTTCTGCGATTGTTGCGGCATTCTGTAGGGCTGATTCGGATCGGTGCCACGCATTGGTATCTCGCCCCGCATCGCCCGGGCCTTGGTGACGGGTCCATCCATACTTGTGCTGTCGGGCCCGATGCGCTCAAAGGCCTGCATGCTGTTGAGCTCGCCGTTGGCGTCGGCTTCCTCGAGCGCCTCGAGCGAGGCCGTCTTCATGTACTTGCCTTCCTGCAAGCCTTTGAGGATGCGTTGGCGGCGGGCGCGGCGTGAAGAGGACCGGCTCCGTGCAGACTGCAGGCCGGCTTCGCGTTTGGCTTGTTTCTTCGCATTGAGCGCTTTCTCTTGCTGCATGGTCGTGCGCTCATGCGGCTCCGAGTCGGACTCGTAATCAGACATGATGGCTGTGTGCGGGAAGAAACGTAAAGAGGGAAGATGAGGAGGAGCTCAGGTGAGGACAGATGGAGATCGTTCTCAGGCACTGATGGTACGCAAGGAACCGGAATATACGAGTGGAAGATGAGGACGTGGAAGGCGTGTACAGTATAACAGTAGGTACCGGAAGGGAGCAAGAGAGAGGAGTGAAAAAGCAAGATGTCGGAGAAGCAGTAGACGCAGCCTTCGCCAACTAACTGGTCACCTCCAGCAGGCGGAAACCCCAGCCCCCCATGCCGGAAACGCCCACCAACGCCGGCTAATCAGGATTGACGACGTTTCGCCGCTGGCAGGGTCAACGAAGTGGTGTGGCATCATACACCGCGCACGCATCAAGTTCATTTGCTCCCCCATGTCGCTGACGCTAATCATGACGTCATTGGCAAAGGCGGTGCAACATTACGTCTGTGGCTACCCTTATCAACGGGGAGTCGCACACACGTCTGAACGGCCACACATAGCGCACCGTTACGGGCGGGATGCGGTTCATGGGGCCCACTGGAGGTAGACCCTTAACGGCGTGTACTGTGGATCAACAACCTGTACGAGGGGGACAATCTCACTATTCTCGCAACACTTTCTATTTCAACAATTCATAGAGCAAATTGGCGGGAATGGTGATATCGTCTATGGTAGAGACCGTTGAAGACAGAGACAAGTTCCATTGATGCGCATTATCCTTCAGATCATAATTATACAAGAATTCATACCCAAATGAACGCCCAACATTAAACCTCTCGGAACTCTCATGAGCATGGGAATCCCATAGCAGTAAGGAACGATGCGACCATCAATCCAACCAGCGCGGAAGCGCTTAGTTGCTGCAATCATGAGTTAGCATGCATCAAAGTTTTAACGTAGAGCCAAAAGGGGAGCAAACTTACAGCAATCCCAACGTGAGGTCGCCGTGAATCTTAGCCTTGAGCTGGACCTCAATGTCCAGATTGAGCTCCAGCCTCAGGCGCAACTGCTCCTTGTTCTCCGAGTCGTCGTCCTCCTTCTGCTGCCCTCCCGTCAAGCCTCCAAGTGCCTGTCCGGCCGTGTTCCCGACCTGGCCGACCGTGTCGCCCACGCGGTTGACGGCTTGCCCTGCCGTGTTTTGGACCAGCTCGCCGCCGGGAAGCGTCTCGTTGATGTCGCCTAGGGCTCCTTGGCCCCTCTGCCTGCGACGCTGGCGATTGCGACGGCCGCCAGCAGTCGAGACATCCGAACGGGTCAGCGACTCGGTGTCCGACTCCTGAACGTTTCTCCTCCCGCGACCCCTCGACTGGCGACGCCTGGAAACCTCCTTCTGGGGCTGGGGCTGGAGGTCCGGGTCGGACTCGTCACCGGCGGCGGGCCCGTTGGCGACTTGCTTCTTTCCTGGATCCTCATCAGCCTCTCCTTCTCCTTCGCCTTCGCTTTCGGGGGCGGGAGTGGCTTCAGGAGTGGGCTGCTGCTGTTGTTGTTGTTGAGGTTTCTTGTTGCTGCCCAGCTTCTTTGGTGCCTTTTTCTCGGTTTTCTTACTCGTTGACTCTGCGTTGCCTTTGCCGCCTAGCGAGGCGTTGGCGTTGGCTTGTCCCTCTCCGGCGACGGACTGTTTGGTTTCCTCGACTGTATCGGCCATGCTGGTGGGGGAAGGCGATCGAGTTAAGATATGTGCGTATGTGTGTGTTGGGTGTATGGTTTATGGCGATGGGTGGATAGATGGTGTGAAATGAAGACTGAGCAACAGTGACAGTTGTCGTGCGCAAAAGTAAATGGATGATGAGGTGGAAGGGATCAAGTTCAGAAAGTAAGACCAGCAAGATGACTTCAACAACCGGTTTTGTGGAAACAGTGACAGCAACAAGCTGATGATCCATGGTACTTCTGAGACACCCCTGTTCGTTGGTAGCCACCCGATGTGCAGCATCAGAGAGCATCTGGGCATGCATGATGATGCAACTGTGGCACGGTCCTGTCTTACTGCAATCCTGTATTACCATTGCGTTGGTCATCACAAGCACCTAACAAAGCAGCATTGTGCGAGCGGGTTGAGGTTCTGACCAATGACACCTGCTGGCAGGAATTACTCTCGCCTGCATTGGGAACAATCGTTTCTGCCGTCGAGGCCAGACGCCGAGTGGAGTAAAGTAGAGACGGTGTGGGGTGGGAGCCACTCTCGATCCGCTCTTCAACGGGGTCTACTACAAGTAGTATACTGCGTACTGTGTAGTATACAAGTGCTGTGTAAGCCTGCAGCCTTGGCTTAGGGATTCTCGTAAACTTACGGGAAGTGTTTAGCAGACCATTTGGGTTGTTGATATCAACGCGCCACAATATAAAATCCCACGCATCATCAAAAGGTGAGACGGAGGTGTTCCGCCTCGGTTAGGCGCTGTGCGCCACTTGCGTCATCCTCGGTCCGACCCTTAGCCAGCCATGGAGCTCTCTTCTTCATCACGTGTTGACAGAGGGCGTCTGGTCAAAGGCAGTGTGTGGATTGGCGACCACTTCGGTTTCGGCGGGGTCTTCCGGAACTCGCAACTCGCTCTGTGGCATCTTCCCATGTTCCTATCCTCGTGTGTGTGTGGTTCGTCGCCACAGCCACGATTGTGAGCCACACAAGTCTTCCTTCTCCTACCACAGTACTTCCTTTCGCCGCGTTGCAGGAGTAAGGCATGGACGCTGAACTCCGTTCAATAATCATTAGGTATAAGGAGAAGGAGAAGACTTCAGCTCGGAGGTGGGTCTAGTCGTAAGTTGCGAGAGTGATGACGGTTTGGTGTTCCTCCGGCTCGAGGCTTTCCCCGATGACCGGCTTGGCCATCTGATAAGATCTCAAGGCTACACGACTTGGCTCTTCATTGCTAGTCTGGCGAAATTATACAGGCGAATCTAGGTGAACATGGCGACTCCGGATTCCCAGGATCTGGCGGCCAGAGAGCGGATCCTCAAACATATGAATGCTGACCACCAGGATTCGGTAAGACCAGGGCTTTGGGTACCGTTCTGGTAAACAGGGAATACCTCTGCTGACGGTGCATACTACTTATAGGTCCAGCGTTATATCGAGCATCTGAGAAACGCTTCCTTCTTTCAAGTGCGAGATGCGCGCATGACGGATATCAGCCTCACAGAGATGAGGATCAGGTACTCCGGAAAGGAAGCCGTCATCCCCTTTGAACCGCCGATGAAAAGCATGCGCGACGCCAGAGAACGTCTTGTGCAAATGGATCAGGATGCACTCCAGGCTTTGGGTCGCAGCGATATTACCGTCACCAAGTTCATCCCATGCTATGTTCACCCGGGCCATCTGTTCAACTTCAGCCAATGCCTCGTCACGTTCATTGCTTTCTCTCGCCCTTCGCACTTCAAGCCCGGATCCTTGCTGTTTGACAATTTACTATACCGGACTCCTAGTTTCGCGAGCTTCTGTCTAAAGATTCAACCCTTTCTCATTGGTATTATGGTGGCCATTCATGCTTTCGAAGCAGCTGGCATGGCGAAGCGGTTGAGGAAGCATGGCTTGACTCCTCTTCAGATGACCTGGTGGCTGTGGGTAGCAACGTGCTTCATTGAAGGCATTACGAGCACGTGGAGGCTGGATGGACTGGTTGATCAGAAAAGAAAGGAGAAAGAAGCCAAAAAGCATTGAGTATAGCGTAGAGCACGGAGTACAGGAAGGCAGTTAGGGCAATGACTGCAATGATGGGGACACACTTGCAGTGATGTGCCCACTAGCAGTTCCCCGGTCGGTTTCCGAAAGATACCGTGTACCACTAGACCCCATATTAGAGCGTATACACATGCCACTGGCTGTAAAGTGATGTTGGGGAGAGTGATGATCTGCCCAGGTGCGCTCCCCGTACTTCTCGGCTCCGACGTCGGCGGGTCCCGTTATCGATAAGATGTCCATCTGATAATTTCAGAAGAGTCATGCTGGGTTCAACAACAGCATCCCGACTCATATGATACCCCAAGACGCGCTGCTTTTCATATAAGATTATTTTTTCCCATAATGGCGTCGCGGCTCTCTTGCCAGCGGTTTCCGTCTGCCATGCGCACTGCGCGGGTGGCCCACCAATCATGCCGGCATGCATCTTCAGTCGCTGCTGCATTGAAGGGTTCTAATCTGCCACAGGATGTGAAGGACTCAATAGCAGTGAGTTTCATATACTGGGGCTCTGGTTCAGCTAGCTGATTGTCTGCATAGCGCGACGCTTCTCTTCCTACTCCTGATCCTCCCGCCGACTCGAAGACGAGCGGTCTTGTGAAGAATCACCTTCCATATATGGTTCCGACCTATGTTCGACCTCCTCCCATGTTCGAAAAGGGCAAGGGATGCTATCTATGGGATGTTGAGAATAGGAAATACCTAGATCTCACAGCTGGTATTGCTGTCAATGCGTTGGGCCATTGCGACGAGGGAATGGCTTCGGTGCTCTACGAGCAGGCATGTTCATTCTTCCTGCCCGTCTGAAGGACCTTTGCTAATTGATATGAAGGCAAAACAACTTGTCCACACGTCGAATCTTTATCACAACCCAGCTACGGGGCTGCTTTCCAAACAGCTCATTCAGTTGACACACGCAACCGGTGGCATGCAACAAGCAACACGGGTATTTATCTGCAACAGTGGCACGGAAGCGAATGAAGCAGCTATCAAATTCGCCCGCAAAGTGGGAAAGTCGATTTCCCCGAATAAGGACAAATACGAGCTTGTTTCGTTCCACAACTCATTCCATGGAAGGACCATGGGCGCTTTGAGCGCAACACCGAACCCAAAATATCAAGCACCGTTTGCTCCCATGGTGCCAGGCTGCAAATATGGAACCCTCAATGATGTGGATGCGATCAATGACCTGGTCATAGAAGCGACGTGCGGTGTCATCGTTGAGCCCATTCAGGGTGAGGGTGGTGTAAACGTTGCCACGCCCGAGTTCCTTACCGCCCTTCGTAAGCGCTGTACAGAGGTCGGCGCCGTTCTCATCTTCGATGAAATCCAATGCGGACTGGGAAGGACAGGAACATTCTGGGCGCACGCCGGATACCCGAAAGACTGCCAACCTGACATTCTCACCACGGCGAAAGCGCTTGGGAATGGCTTTCCCATCGGAGCGACTATTGTGAACGATTTCGTCTGCGACCATATCAAGACCGGTGATCACGGCACGACCTTCGGCGGCAATCCGCTCGCCTGCCGTGTAGCGTCATATGTTCTTACTCGTCTCTCCTCGCCCGAGATTTTGGATGCCATACCCGCGAAGGAGAAGGCTTTCCGCCGTCACTTCGAAGCTCTACAACAACGATTCCCGGAGCAGATTACCGAGATCAGGGGTAAGGGATTGATTCTGGGGTTGCAGCTCAGCACGGATCCCACCCCTATCGTTACGGCAGCTCGCGAGCGCGGTCTTCTCGTCATCACCGCTGGCACGAATACTCTGCGATTCGTGCCGCCGCTGACCATTACAGAAGCGGAGATTGACGAGGGCATGACAATCTTGGAACAGGCGATGGAGAGCGTTTGGAGCACGAGGAGTTGAAATAAGGGCGTTGCCCACGTCTTTTTGAAAAGTGAAGCGTTGAGCATATGATGTATTAGGTGTTGGTAGACCGCGATTTCTAGATCTTCGAATACCATGGTGGTCATTTCCAAACCGTGGTCGCAATGCGATATTACGACTCTTTATTGACGCACCCACTATTCCAATGTTTATTGCTGTGCTTATTCCCGTTCTCATTCCTGCAAACTAGACGCAAATGCCGCTTTGTTGAGATGGAACTGGAACTGCGCAAACGCCACACCAAAATCTCTGCACCGCCACAGACCAGGGTGAAGCGTGCAGGGGGCAGCTGCCAAGTTGCGCCCTCTCTGAAGGCGATGAGCAGAATCACCTCTCCAAAAGTAAAGGCGCAATTTCATTCCAGAGTTATTCAACAAGCTCCTTCGACCCGAAGCAGCCGCCATTGGCCTCTGGCTGTCTTGACATGCCAGATGGCCACAGTTTTGGCTGCACGGGCTCCAGCGACTTGCGATCAGCGGTCTGGTAACTCCGGCAATGGCGTTGTGCTCCTCCATCCGAACCCCATCGAGCCTGTAAACATCGCGGCAGTTCAAAGTCCGGATGGGGATTCTTCCAGCGATGCAACGGTACCCTCTACTGGGTCTTCCGCAACTGACGTCGAAACCCCAGGTTCGCTCCTTTCCGCGCCACAGGGGGATGATGGTGTCCTCAGCGACCTCAGCAGATATATCGCAGTAGGCTGTCTCCACTTTGAACAACCCTACGCGTTTAAGACCGGGAATCCACATACTATTCCCGAATGGACGGAGCTCTTCTTCTCGAACCTACCGGATGAATTAAAACTCATCATTGGATCGCACGCTTCATCTCTGTTACAGGCTCGTTGGATCCGACTATTCCTCCATCAAAGCACTGCAAAGCCCCTTCCCAACACTTTGATCCGCTTTTACCTACTTCCGGAGGACTGGGGGCGCCGCTCGATCGACCGCCAAAGCAGGAGCCTGAAAACAGCTCTGCGCGAGCTTCTAAGTCAGGTCGACACGTCTCCAGAAGCATGGGCCGGGAACCACAGCACGACAAATATTCAGTTATTTGACCCTTGGGCCAGTGCCGAGAATGTCTCGCTGTTCTATCTTTTCAACAGGCTACCATCGCCTGCCCCTTCTCCCGACTTGGTGAAGAACAGATACTCCCGGAATGCGGTCCTGGGTCTCCTGGAAGCTGCATCGTCCGGGTATATCGATGACGAGCCCATTCCAGGGTTGAAAACAAAGCTTTACCCGTATCAGGCACGTTCTGCTGCTCTCATGGTACAGCGAGAGGCTGCGCCGCAACTCCAACTAGACCCACGACTCGAGGTAAGGCAGTCGCCAGCCGGGGAGACGTATTTCTTTGGAGCAAGAGATGGGTCTTTCCTGCGGGAGCCGAGATATTACGATTCCCCGCGCGGCGGCGTTCTGGCAGAGACCATGGTAAGTAACCGGTTGGGATTTATGCTGCAGGAATTACTGATGAATGGTACAGGGCTTGGGTAAAACCATCATTTCTCTGGCAGTGATATTGGCAACTAAGGGACATATGCCTCTGATTCCGCCAGCCTATCAGCCAGCTCCACCAGTCCGAAAGCGCGTAGGATCACTCGCGCAGATGGCCGCGAGTAACATTGGACGTAAGGCCGTCCCGGGAAAAGCTTTCCTGGAGAACCTCGAAGCAGCAGAAGGCATCGATTTGAGTCGCTGCAAGCAGGCCCTTGCAGAAAATATGCCGTACTATGAGATACCTCCGGAAATTCCGCGAATGAACAGAACTACGAGAATCCCACCGCCCCGGCAGCTTGTGATGTGCTCAACTACCATCATAGTCGTCCCGCGAAATCTTCTTCATCAATGGCAGAGCGAGATCCAAAAGCATGTTGTCCCTGGCAGTCTTAAGGTCCTGGTGATGGACTCCGCATCTAGGCGAGACAGCAAATCTGGACGCATGGAAATAGAGGGGATTGACGTTCTGAACAGCTTACCACCCCCTACCGAGCTCATGAAGTACGATATCATCATCTTCACTCGGAATCGATTCGAGCAAGAGATTCAAGATGGCCAAGATGAGAAGGGTCGCCGTTTCGCAGCAGGAGTGCCTCGCCATTGTGAGTGTGCCTATATTGGGGCCACAAGACTGCGTGACTGCAATTGCTTGACGGAAGTCTACGAGTCACCACTCAAGAAGCTGCATTTTCTCCGTATCATTATCGACGAAGGCCACAACTTTTCATCCGGCACATCAAACGCGGTTCTCGTCGCCAAACAAATCAAAGCTGAAAGACGCTGGGTGGTGTCGGGCACGCCGGCTAAAAACTTGGTCGGCGTTGAACTAGACCTGTTCACGCAAGATGGGAATGAGGCCGATCCTACATTGCTTCGTGAGCTAGCGATGGAGCAGAGGAAAAATTTCAGTCTTGACGATGAGGATAATACAAAGGCTGCGAAAGCTCTAGGTTCTCTCGCATCGCACTTCCTCATGGTCCAACCATGGTACTCCTCGACCTCCGAGGACAGGTTGGAATGGGATGATTACATCTATCGCCACGAGCATCAATACAAGAAGACGTATTCCGGCTTCTCCTCTTGTTTCCTGCGGGTCCTGGAAGGCTTGGTCGTAAAGACTAGACCGGAAGACGTCGAAAGGGACATACAACTGCCGCCCATGCGCCACCGTACCGTCTACTTGAAACCATGCTGGTACGACAAGATGACTGCAAATCTTTTCGTCCAGGTCCTACGAGCGAACGCCATCACTAGTGAACGCTCCGGTGTGGATTACCTCTTCCACAGTAGCAGCACCCAGGCGCGACATAGCTTGATCAGGAATTTGAGGCAGTCCAATTTCACTTGGACAGGTTTCAGTCCAGAGGATATTGTGAGTTCGCTGGAGACTACGAGCAAATACCTCGGCAAGAAAGAGAAAAACTGTACTCTTGAGGATGCCAAACTACTGTTAGAAAGCAGTAGCATCGTTGCGGAACTCTTGAAATCGGAGGGTTGGGTTGCTCTGAGCAAGGCCCATGAGATCGGTTTAGCAGTTGAGGACTGGCCCGCCGAGTCGGAACATCTGTTCGCGCTGGCTTACAAAAACCCGGCAATGATAGGACTGACCCAGCTAATAGATGGTCAATCGCACGTGGACCAACAGATATTGCAAGAGAATCCAGCCGAAGGGCTTGACATAGTCGGGCGGATGGCGCAGGCTAATCTGCAGGCTTTGCAGGAGGTGGAGAAGACCACTATCAAACGTGAAGTCGATGAGCGCGGACATCATGGTATGCCAAAGGCAGCAGTACCTTCTTCATGTGTGGGCGATCAACCCTTGACGAGCAAGACCAAGCTGGCCGTCTCTACCAAAGCACGACCCAGAAAGTCGCCAACCAAGAAGATACTAAAGAGGCCTGTGGCGGGACTTAGCACGCCTGAGAACGGACACATTCAAGAGCTGGATACAATCAAACTATTTACGCCCAAACGTGCAGGCGATGCTCAACCGAACGGGCCCTTCACATCAGGAGCTGCATCTCGCCTCGACCCTACTCCCGCATCCACAAACTCAATAACAACTCCGTCACGTCCCAAAAAGCGCAAACTCACCCTCACCGACGAACTCGCCACTCTCCCACCCACGTCCCCACTCCTCCGCACCCGAATCCTAGGCACCACGTCCTCCAAACTAACCTATCTCATCTCCACCGTCCTGGCCCACCACCTGACTTCCAAAATCCTCATCTTCTACGACGGCGACAACGCAGCCTACTGCATCGCGCAAATGCTCGAACTCCTCTACATCAACCACCGCATCTACGCCCGCCAACTCGACAACATCAAGCGTGCGCAGTACGTCAAGCTGTTCAACGAGGACCCGGACGTCCGAGTCTTGCTGATCGACGTCGCGTGTGGCGCGCTGGGCCTCAACTTGAACGTCGCGAGCGTCGTGTTGATTGTGAATCCGATCAACCGACCGAGCATCGAGGCGCAGGCTATCAAGCGGGCGCATAGGATCGGCCAGACGAAGGAGGTCCTGGTCGAAACACTAGTTCTTGAGGGTACGATTGAGGAAGCGATTTTCAAGCGGGCGAAGCAGATGTCGCGCGGCGAGCATTTGGAAGCGAAAGAGTTGGAGGATGATAATCAGATTGTGAATATTCTTCAGAATGCGGAGGTTTTGCCGATTGAGCCCGGGGAGGGGGAGGGGTTGAATCAGTTTGCGCTGTTTGAGGAGCCGTTGCAGGTGTTTGGGAGGAGTGGGAGGGAGAAGTATCATCGGTTTGGGCAGGCGGAGGGGAAGGGTGAGAGGCCGGCGGCGAAGAGAGCGAGGGCGAAAGGGGATGCTGGCAAGGCGAAGAAGGGAGAGCGGAAGGAGGTGGTGGATGCGGATACGGGTATGGGGTCCGCTGGTGCTTTACAGACTCTGGAGAGGAGCATTTTTGGTGGGCTGGATGGGCAGCAGTAGACACGGGCGATATCATGCGTCGAAACATCTGGCAGCATAGCTAGGACACTGACCGTGGATATTTTAGGTGGGGTTTACTGTGCATAAGGAACATGAGGATAGATAGCAAAGCGGCTTGGGCGCATATTTAGGTGCTGTTACCGTCTATATAGGTCTGGGGCCAATCTCATGGAAGGTTGGACTGCTTGCACAAGGACGTTATGAACACACCATATCGAATGAATGAAAACATATGATCCTACTGTCCATGAGTATTCCAGCTCGAATATATGATATGGGTCTTACGCCAGAAGGCGCTGATCCCGGAAGGATGTTCTCAGATGTTCCAAGGTTTCCAACAAAGCATACATGCTGCTGTCTCCCTGACGTACCGATTGGAGGCTCACTATCTATACAAAGCCTTCATGTCGCCATCTTACCCTTTCTATTCAACTTCGCCAACGTCGCCTTCCCCGCCCGACTCTCATTCGGCCTCCCCAACTCCTTGGAGATCCATTCCCCAACACTGGCCAACTTCTCCATATCAACACCCGTCTTCGCACCCAGGCTATGAAAACAATGCACCAAATCCTCCGTCGCCACATTTCCCGTCGCGCCAGGGCTAAACGGACAACCTCCCAACCCGCCAACCGCAGCATCAAAAGTGCGGATCCCATGGTCCAGCGCTGCGACCGTATTCACCAACGCCTGACCGTACGTATCATGGAAATGCAGCGCCAGGTCCTTCTCCTCAACGCCAGCCGCCTTCAACGTCTTCAGCAGCTCCCTCGTTTTGGGCACCGTCCCCATACCCGTCGTGTCCGCCACGGAGATCTCGTCTGCGCCCATCTCCAGCAAGTTGATGGCCAGCGAAGCGACCTTGTGGGGATCGACGTTGGGGCCTTCGTAGGGACAGCCCAGGGCGACGGAGATGTAGGCGCGGACGGGAATGGAGAGGTCCTTGGCGCGCGCCATGAGGGGTTGGAAGCGCGCGAGGGATTCGGCGATGGAGCAGTTTGTGTTTTTCTGGGTGAAGGTTTCGGTGGCGGCGGTGAAGATGGAGAGTTCGATTTTGGGGGTGGTTGGAGAGGCGGAGGTTTCGGCAGCGCTTGAGGAGGGGGAGGAGGAGGAGGGCGAAGGTGATGGTGTGGGATGGTGGGTTTGTTGGGATGTAGAGGGTGTGGAGTGCAGGGCGGAGAGGAAGCCGTCGAGGCCTTTTACGTTGGGGGTGAGGAATTGGTATGTGACGGGGCTGGACGATGCAGGAGGGGATCTTAGTAGGTATTCCAGTACTTCAGATGAGTTGGCCATCTACAAGCATTGTCAACAATGCGCTCGATATCAATTGATGTTTGATTCCGTCTCCGTCACTGACCTGAGGAACCCATTTCGGAGACACAAAGGACCCAGCTTCTATTGTGCTCAATCCTGTCTCCGCCAATCTCCGCACCAGCTCGATTTTCGTTGCTACCGGTATACTTTGCTTTTCATTCTGAAGCCCGTCTCGCGGTCCAACCTCTACAATGCGGATATAGTCGGCGCTCTTCGAATTAGCTGCCGTGGCGTAGGTCCTTCGGGACGAATGACGGGCAGCAAGGCGCGCCGCGCGAAGACAGACGAACTTGGAGGACATTGGCGGAGAAGAATGCGATGAGAGATAGGGTAGTGAGGAGTGTTGACGCTGGAGTGGTGGGAGCTTCGATGCTGTCGTGGGGTGTCAAGCTAAGTACCGCGGTCCTCGCGTTGCGGTGCGGCTTGCTTCGGGCTGGTGTGGAGAGCTTGGCACAACATTAACCCAAACGCCGCAGCATTACCATTGGAGATTATTCAGGCAAGGAACAGTGGGATGGATGTACTTCCTGACTTACCATGTAATCAACATGTACTCTACCAGTTCCTGGTCGTGAAATGTTCTTATCACGTGATAAAATCTGCCAAGAACATGGCTTAATAATGTGAACGTCATATGCCGAGGGCGACTGATAACTTTTTGAACGTAGACATCTCCGGAGATCACTCATAACCATTAACCTTGCGTGCCTATATCGCCTCTCCTGTCCCTTTCCGAACGGAACCTGATCGTCGAATTCCAGCACAATGTCCAGCACGGCAGTCCCGCGTTCCATGTTGCGCAGATTGACTCGCGCATCGCTACCCTCTGGTTCACAATCTGCTTCCAGGACCGCCACAAGATGTCTACACCAATACGCCTCACCCATAACCGCTTCGCCTCTTCGAACGAGACCTGGTTCACAGCGATGGGCTCCGTCGGTATCAGTATCAGCAACTTCGGTGCCGCAGAGGACAATGTTCATACAAACAGAGCCGACTCCCAATCCTGACGTATGCCCCTTCCGTGGTACCACACCAAATAAGACATGTGCTAACAATCGAGAGGCTCTCAAATTCAACCCGAACCAGCGAGTACTTCCTGAAAATATCAAATCGCCCTTCCTCGAGTATACTTCGCCACGCTCCACACTTGCACCCCCGCATCCTTCTCCACTCGCCGCGAAATTGCTCAGTGTCGACGGTGTGACTTCTATCTTCCTAGGAACGAACTTCATCACAGTAACCAAGGACAGCGCCACGCCATGGGCACACGTCAAGCCGGAAGTGTTCTCCATTATCAACGAGTTTATGACATCCGGACAGACGATCGTCGGCACCGTTGAGGATACAGCAGGCGAGAGCGGCCAGGAAGGAACAGAAGTGGACAGCTTGGCGTACGATGAGAATGATGATGAAGTCGTCGGAATGATCAAGGAGCTGCTGGAGACGAGAATCAGGCCCGCGATCCAAGAGGATGGCGGCGACATTGAGTTCAGGGGTTTCCACGATGGACAAGTGTTGCTCAGGTTGCGCGGAGCGTGTCGGACGTGCGATTCGAGTACGGTGACGCTGAAGAATGGGATTGAGAGTATGCTGATGTAAGAGAAATCCCCCTCCCAAGTTCTTGAGCCGAGAAGCTAATATCAGCAGGCACTACATTGAAGAAGTCAAGGGCGTGCAACAAGTGCTAGACGCAAACGAGGAGCTCAACAACATTGAGTTTGCCAAGTTCGAGGAGAAGTTGCGCCAGCAGAAGGGCTACGTACCGCCGTCCACGAGTGGGAAGGGGAGTCTGGACACGGTGGAGTGATTGACTATTGCCTGCTGGATCATTCTTTGTTCGTCTTTAAAAGCTTTGAGCCGCTGTTGTGACGGCGGTGATGGCAATGCGACGATGTGGATAAAAGGTCATGGGTTTGTATTTTCTAACGGAATATCCAGGTATCGCATGTTTGCTTCCAATAATCTGGGAGCTGTATGATCACGGCTAGATATCAGAGGTACTGAATCAGGAATAGAAGGATCAAAGTAGTCTGTGTAACTCCTTGCGACTTATTATCTTAAACGACAAATTGTTATGGTTGGGATATGATGAAGCTCCGGATGTGAATCTCGTGGACGCAGCACCGGGACCATCTTCAACAAGCCAGTGAGCAACAAAGACTCTCGCACTTCGCACTTCGAGTTCTGAAGGCCAAGCAAAGAACAGCTATACATAGTAAGTTCTCTGCATTGGTTCTGATGGAACCGACCAACGAATAGCAGCTCACTCTTTACGATCTATGCCAAGCAATACCCCACAATCTTCATCCTCTCACCATCCCTCGGGATGACGTCTTCGACGGTACGAAATACGAAACATCATGACGAATGCATTTGCAGCCTTGAGGAATAACATGTGTATATATCATGTAGTTCACCATTCTCGGATTCAGAAATAATTCCCCTCAAGCTCCCGCCAAACTACACTTTTCGTGCTTTGACGATCTGTTTGTTGTGCTCAGGCTTATCACTCGTATTCCACCAGTTTCGTCCGAATCTGACATCACATCGTCCAGGAGGCGTTTAACCGGATTACGCGTTCCGGACGCTTTCCAGACGCTTTCCAGACGCTTATAGGTGGTACGCCCGCCTAAAGTACTTTGGAACCTCTAGTTACCATCTACAAGTTTCGGACCGACTTTAGACGTCCATTGTACAACGTTGAACATGAAGTTCCAATACTTATTACCAGTCCTGCCTCTGGCTTCTGCTCTCGTCATCACTGAGCAAAGTATCTACGAAAAGCTAGAAAGGTTTGGAAATGCAGGACAAGATCTACTTGCGAGTACGCTTGAGACGTCCAAGAATGCATTCGACAGCGCTTTGGAGAAAACGACGGAATCGTTGAAGCAAGTCGGCGAAGCATGCCACAACAATGCCGACAATGGATACGATATAGGGTCCTGGCTGCAAGGATCTGATTTTCAAGATGACTTCGCAGGAGTAGAGGAGGGAGAAGATCATGAGCATCCTCCTCATCACGGCAGACCCCATCATCCTCCCCACCATGGCGACCCTCATCACGGAAAGCCAAACCTGACCATCTACCAACTCATCAGCGAGAGCAAATATACAACGAAACTGGCGGAGCTTATCAACGAATATGACGACCTCGTCGACACCCTCAACAGCACAACTGCAAACTTCACCATCTTCGCCCCCGTTGATTCCGCCTTTGAGAAAATCCCCGAACACCATAGGAAACCCTCCAAGGAATTCCTCAAATCCCTCCTTCTCTACCACGTCTCTCCAGACCTCTACCCCGCCCGCCGCGTCCTCCACTCCTACACCCTCCCCACCCTCTACGCACCCTCCAAGCTTGGCGGTCCGCAACGTCTCACTGTCCGCGTGAGCCTCCGCGGCCCACTTCTAAACTTCTACAGCAAACTCATCGTCACCGACATCCCCGCCACCAACGGCCTCGTTCACGGTATCGATTCCATTCTAGTCCCACCCCCCAACGTCGCCACCATCATCAATCTCCTCCCTGGCCAATTCTCCACGCTTCAACTCGCCCTCACCAAGACGGGTCTCTTCGAAAAAATGAACAGCACGGACTACGACCACGAAGGCGGCACGCTCTTCGCGCCGTCGAATTTCGCCTGGAGGAAATTGGGACCGAGGGCGAATGCCTTCCTGTTCAGCAAGTACGGAGAGAAGTACTTGAAGGCGTTGCTAGAGTACCACATTGTGGTCGATCAGACGCTGTACACGGACGCTTTTTACGACGCTACGTCCGATGATGGTGATGATGACGATGCGGCTCGGTCGCATCCGCGAAACACGCACTACGACCTGCCCACCGTCCTAGGCAAGCACGTCTCTGTGGATCTGGCGCGCTGGGGGCCGTTTGTGGAGATTAGGATCAATGGCTTCTCGCGCGTCACGGTGCATGATGGGGTTGCGAGCGATGGGGTGATTCAGGTGGTGTCGGATGTGTTGATTCCGCCGAAGACGGGGGGTGGGGAGGGAAGTTTCTGGGAGGGAGAGGAGATCAGTGTAGAGGAACTGAAGGAGAGGCTTGAGCCACTGATGGGACAGGGGGAGAATATGGAATTGTAGATGCTTGGAATTGTGAGTTGTCATGGACTGGCAAGTGAAAAGACGTGGTGTAGTCGAGAAAGAGGCTGATATCACAAGACAAATTGGAAAGCAGATATTCTGCAGTTGACCCTGGGATATCCCAAACGGTTAAGGACAAAACTGAGAGCATCGATTAGCGTACAAGCATAGCCATAGGCAAGTCAATCATTCAACGGACCTAATAATATTCTCCAGTACCACGAATTTTCCTTCAGTCTTTGAACTTGTGTGCGACCTACTCACTCACCTAGGCAACCCAAATACTACATTCCACCCCAAACCCCCCAACAACATCCATCGACACTCTCTACCAACCGCACCCCATCACTGCCACACTCAACATTGTGCACCTCCCCTTCTCGCATCTTCCCTAACCAAGACAAACACAATGCACAAAGCAAGACACCTTCCCCCTCCTTCCTTACCTACACAATACACACCCACCTCGACCAAACATAAATGTCTCGCTTCCCGCCTCTGCTCGCCCAATCCAGACCCAACAGGTTGGTGATGTGCAGGATAACCCTTCACTTCTCGTCGCCCTCGAAGGAAGAAAAGAAGAATAAGAAGGATCGTCAACACCTCACTGCACACTCACCACCACAAACCGTTCCAGCAGTCGAACCCGAACTTGCCAACTGCCCGGTGCAGTTAAAACCACGCAAGATGACTTACCCACCTGCCACCTCAGCCGTTCCCTCAGGCATATACCTGCACCCCATATCTCTAACCCTCAACCCTCCACCTCCTCCCTCCCACTCCTCAAACTCTTCTCCTCCAACCTCTCCTTCACCCTCTTCACCTTCTTCTTCTATTTCCACCTCCACTACTCGCAACCCCCTCCCAGCACACCTTCCAGACCACTACGCCGTCCTCCACCTCGACACATGGGCCACATCCGAAGAGATAAAATCCTCCTACCGCTCCCTGCGCGCCGAGTACTTCCGCTCAGACCCCGCAAAGTATCGCGCTCTTCAAGCCGCCTACGCCGTCTTGGTGGACGCCGAAGCGCGAAGGAAGTACGACGTCGTGTACAGGGCAAGCAAGGGATTACCCGTACCAGTTCGCAGGGCGCTGCTGGCGGACAAGACCAACGAGAGCAACAGCGACGATAATGGCACGACCACTGCCAGCGGAGACGTGACAGCGGCGAACAAGGGAAATACCATCGACATTCGCAAGGATGCCGCTGCCGCAGCCGTTGGCGAACAATCGAACATGATGAAGGCGGCAACAACTGTGCGGCATGCAAAATCTGGTCAACTCCGCCAACCAGGACGCGTGCAACTACAGGCCAGCAAACTCGAGGATGCCATCAGCTTGAACGCAGAAGCAGCGGCAGTAGCGGCGAAGAAGGTCCAGAATCGTATTCCCAGCCCCGGCAGCGGGATCAAGGAACCACCCCAGCGCAAGGTCGACACGATCCCGAAACCCAGCTCAATTCCACCTCCACAGGGTGCAACGACTCTGGAAACCAAGCGTTCCGTGGAGACAGCACTTGAACTGCAGGGGCCCCACGATCCCAATCACGCACTGAAGAACCATGGGCTGGACATGAAGCGCTGTGCAGAGTACGCCCGACGTCGCTACCAGAGCAACATTCCCATCCTAGAAGCGTACAAGGGGCGACACTCGCACCCAGAGTTGCTTTGCACGCGGCCAAAGTATGTTCTTGAAATGGCGAGAATGGCTTTGCCTTGAAGGACTTCAAGACGGACGCTGTAGATGTTTTTTCTTTGAGACACCCTGTTCTTGACAGTTTGCCGGACGACGAATCTCGTAAGTATAGATTGCTGGAAAGCGCTTTCGTGCCCTGGTGGCACCGTATCAATGATATATCCTTTCCTTTTCCTTCCGATGATCAGAGAAATGCTGTTGTGTGATGTTCGTTTGCGAGTCGCGACGTTGATTTCGGGATGCTAAAATGTCCGAATAGCTTCAGACGAGTCGAGTAGACCCTTTACAGAAAGCCGCATGCTATCCCATTTGGTGATTCTCCTGCTCTTCCGTGTCGGTTCGGCATGGCAACGTGAGTCGTCCAGGCCACAGTCCTCACTGCAGGGCCCGGTCGTACCGATTGGAGTACAGGATTCGTTTGGCTGATGCTTAGTGTCCCAATCCGAGGCATTGTCCATGATGCACTTTTTCGATGTGCCATGAGCGGGTATACTATGCCTAGGCATACAAATAAAAGAATGGCACCGTAAATGCTTCTCCGTCAATGAAGAAGATTATGTCCATGAAAAAATCATACCTGAGAGAGGTTTCAAGACGAACGATACCCAACGCTCATGCCTTCCCAACAGAACTTCAACCTGCAATGCAATGCATGTTGCATGCTGCGCTGCTTCAGAATTCCCAACTGCTCGCTCGTATTATCTCAACCAATCAATCGCTTGTGATGAAATAAACATGCCAGTCGTGAAACAGCCACCAAAGCATCGCTCTCGGCCCTTTTCAACATTATTATTATTAGCGAACAAACAATAATAACTCTTTGTTAGCTCGTCTCCAGTGTAGCCACATGGCATTTCCTCAGAAGCATATCCGCCCATGTGGAAATAAGGTTTTGGCTCTAGTCCTTAATTACAAACATGGGAAAAAGAAAGTAGTTTACCTATTCAGATCGGCCGTCTTCGGAGGACGGAGATCGCAGTGGCGCAGTCGAGTGACGAGCCAAATCTGTTTTATTAGCAGTTCCGAGAGAGTTTCCGAAAGGGAATATGGTGGGACCCTTTGGCTAACGTGGTTGGATGGCGAGCGACCCTGCATCGCGGTCTCTGGACTTTAGGGTTGAAGCAAGGTTGACAGCCAATTTTTTACCAAAGGCCAGCGCCAGAGCATGATTCTGATTTCCTTTTTGTGAGCATCCCTATTTCGTGCAGCTGCATGGTAAAATGATGTGAAGGTACACTGGTCCGGATACAGACACTTTGCCGTACAACGACAAGACCCCAAGAATCTGAAACATGAACGAAAGCGAGAGCGAGTGCCTGTTAGATCCCCGGAGGATTGATTGGGGCATAGTCCACCGTAATTGAGCTTCGAGGATTCAAAAAGCCCGAAACCGGGGTTCTTCCTAGATGGCGCTCCGTCAGAAAATGACAAGGCGTTGCATTTACTTATTAGAGATTTGCGTTCTTGAAACGGCGGCATGCCTCCGCGCATCGTCGATGGCAGTGCGGGGACGCTACGGCCCACGGCAAAGAGGAGATTTGGGAAACTGAGGCACAGAGCGTCTGATTTGTGCAAGAACGGCGGTTGTTGAACGTCCCGCGACTGATATGGCAGGGTATCATACTCTGTACATTACATTGGACTGAGAGACCATGAGAAATAGCACCTAGAAAAAGAGATCTTCCAAGCTGATGCACTCATGGCAAGATGATGAATAGATGGAATCCTGAAAGAGAAAAGGAACCGGAAACCAGAATTAAAAGACGAATTGAAAAGAAAAAACCGGATGCGGGAAATACAAGTATGCTTCTGCATGATGGGAGCTTGGAGGAGACCCGAACAGCAGAGAACAGATCCTGCTGAGACGTGACGCATGTAATCTTGCCCATGGATGCCCTCGATATAATGACATTCCGGAAGGGGTGATCTGCCGTATAATTACGTCCACACCGTGTATCATAACCCTAGTTCGCCGATTTTTACTGGTACCCCGAAAATGCGACGAAGAAGTGCACAACGCCTTTTAGTTATACAAGGAGATCAAGTGAGGAAACTTGCTAAAGTCCAAATCCGAGAAGCCGGAACTAGCTGGATCCTATGACCCGGGATAATAGTGCTGGCTATAGAGCACAGGTGGAGCATTCTCCCCTTGCACTTTGTCTAACGGACCTGCATCTCGAGACCATTGTGCACTCATGGAACGGCCCTGGACGTCATGTGTTGCAGGCGGCATCCCTGGGTATTGACTCCAAGCTGGTGGGTATTCGTAGGCCTGGTTGGGAATAATGGGTGCCGAGAGGGGCGCTGAGGCGGTATCGCTGCCAAGAGGGGCGCCGTGGAATGATGCCGTGGTGTCTATGGGATATGGGTACGGGGAAGTTCGGCGAGAATATTCGGACGCTTGGATTCCGAGGCCGGGATTGGCATATTGGGTGGGAAGTCCTTCAATGTTGCCATAGGACATAGATCTCGTAGGAGGGGGGATGTTCGGCTGCACCCAGTGGTGGTCACCGGAACGGCCATAGGCCATGTTGGAAGTCGAGTGCATCGTTGCCGGCGTCTGGGCGCCTGAGACGCTCGACTCGGTCTCGTATGTCGAATTGGGAGCTGGCTCTGACGGCCGCCAAAAGCCAGATGACATTGAAGGCGCTTCGGCGACGCCCGAGGAGGGTAGAAAGCTGGGGGTCGGCCAATGCGTGTCTATCGGAGGCGGAAAGGTGTAGGGAGGATGCTGCATGTTCACTGTGACTGTTAGCTAGCAGGCCACGTCTTCAGCGGTCGGTTGTCCTCACTTGAACCGGAGATTGGACTCTCACCGGAATCCATCTCGGCTTCGGTTTGCAGTGCGAGCCGTGAGGTGGGAGGATGCGACGATGAGGAGACGGAGAAAGCAGAGGGAGGGTGTCGGGGTGAGGAAGTTGCAGAGGCATGCGCGCTGCTAGCTCCTTCTTTCACTGAGAGCGGGCCAGGCGGTCCCTGGTCGACGGGATAGAAGTTGCATTCCTTCTTGAGGCGAATGCAATTCGAACAGCGACCATGGGGATCATCGTTGGCAACGAGACATCTGATCTTACGCCGCCGGCAATGTCCTGATGTTCAACACCATGTCAGTTCTTGGGCCTCTCTACCACGGTGAGGTGTCCGCTTACCGCATGCGACCGAAGTCCGGTGGTAGCCCAACTTGTTGCGCCGCTTTTCCGCTGTTGGCGACAGCTCGCCCGCATTGGAGAGAGCGAGGCCGCGCATGTGTGGTGTGAGTGATGCGCGCCGGATCTGCGACGGCACTGTACCTTGAGACGCTCGCCTCTTCTTGTTGGTTTGTTGTTCTTGAGCAAAAGACAGTCCCGAATCGCTCACCTCGTGTTTGCCCCGAGGTGGAAGTGAAGGAAGGTATGCGGGTCCTGATCCAGATGTAGACGTTGTAGTCGGTGAGTTCTCTGGCATTGCTTCACCGTTGGTGTGTATAAGGAGCGCCTGGTGTAACCTAGTGGCTGCTTTTTTGGCTCGACGATCCACCCCGACAGCCATAGGACGCCCAATAAGCAATGTTGAACCTGAGTACCGGTAATCGAATCTCCAAGCTAACTAAATCATCGAGGCTTCTTGAGCGTCCAGTGTCAGAATATGGTTCGCAAACCGCCCTGGCACTCGGGATCCGAAGAGCAGTTAGGTGGACGACCTACCTCCAGCGACCGATGAAAGTAGCGACGGGTGAAAACCAAACCCAAGAGGAATCGTACCGGATATCGAAGTACTCCCGAGGTTTTCTGGCGACCACAGGAACTCTCAATCAACCATGCCCCAGGATCTGGAGACGGACACGCTGCAGGTGCATATACGGACGGCGGGGAAAGTTAGGGACGTAACGCGCCGGATTGAGCAGATGAGGAAGTAGAGGGGTGCCTGGGACAGCAGTCACAGGCAATGTGCACAGGAAGCGTGTTGCTTTCTGCCCCAGGAACGGTGCTGTGGCTCTGCATTCGAAGGCACGCTCTCAAAGGGAAGTGGGAGCCTTTGGCAGCACTCGTAAAGAAAAAGAACACATTTCTTGAAAGCGTCGACAGGTGAAATTTGATACGCGCTCTTTGGTCCACCTCCTCTGGGATGATTTTAAAAGTGGCGAAGGCACTGGACGCTACGACCACGACAGCCAACAGGGCAAGACTGAGTAGCCCATCCTGGTGGCTTGGCTTGAATAGGGACGATCTTATGCGGGACTGGCAGGAGGTTTGAAAGGAGCCCTGCTGTTGGCGGTGCCGCTGGAGCCAACTGATGTGCGGAATCGATGGGAGAGTTTCCACACAGACCCCCCCGTCCCCCCATCGGCAGTGTGCACGTCCTCATGCTCGGATCTTCGGAGAGGTTGAGCTCACTGCAGGGAGGCTAAGCTGTCACCACCTCCAGCTCTTTCGTGGTGGCAGATGATGATGTGAAGGAAACGGTGAGCCAGTGAACGGGCGCCACCGCCATCATGGCGGCAGGGCGCTCCTATGGCGTGGAGGCGCCCGACGGAGAAACCCAAGCCGTTGCAGGGTCCCATCAGCATTCCAAACTCTCTGCTGGCATCCACCCCGAAGCTGTGCTCGAGTAGGGCGAAGCGGGCAAAAGCAGATATCATGGATGTGCAAGGACCAAGGACTTGACGGTTGTTAATTTAGACACGGTGCCCTGTGCGCATGAACGATGACGGGGGAAGCGAGGCATGGACCGCATGGTCGCAAAAGGGGCGACCCGCCGGGGGAGGCGGCGGCTGGCTATGTCGACATTTCACGATGCTCCCGCGCGGGAGCCTGGGTGAGGGTGACTGGCGCGCCATGGTCGATTGTTGGACGCTGGAGCTGAAATGGATGGTGTCGGTGGGTGTTGAGCGCCCCTGGAGGCGCATCAACGTCGCAAACAAAGTCACCGTCCAGCAAACGCCAGCAACGTGCACAAATGCAGGGCACCCAAAAAAGGAGTCAGGACGCCGTCAACTGTAAAATCATCCTGCGACAGATGGCTGCAGAAGGAAGTCCTTCTCCACAGTCGCTCATTTCGCTAGCCGGGAGCCCTGCCCAAAGCCTCCATCTTTGCTCTTTTCTCACGCGACGGGGCACACAGTCTGCCTGTCTTCGGAGGCCGCAATCCGGGTGAAATATGCTTGGAACTACTCCGTCTACAAGTTGTCGGTCGTCGCCGGCGACAGCATCATGGGTCCATGTCCGTCCGTTAATCACGTTTTCTCAATTCCTGGGGGAGTAGTGAAAGAAGAAGGGGAGGAAGCAGCACAGTATTGACCCACATTCCAATGTCCTTCGACCCGGCGCTATGGTTCGCAAACTGACGTTCACAGGGCGCGTTGTGGTCTTTGCCATGGGCTTGGAGGGCGTCTGTTGGTGGGACTTGCAGAGGGACATGGATATGGGACTTTGAGAGTGCTGGGTGCAAGGGCCGGCTGGCGCGTTTGGCACGTTTGTCACTGGAAGACGTTACTGCACTGTGTAAACGTCTGCACTTGGAGACTTGTTGGTGCCTCTCTACGGAGTACCTCGTCTCTTCTTCCCATTATTATTGACCTCAGCGTCACAACATTCACCCTTTGCCCGCCACCCCCAATCGCGCTGTGTCGTGCTCAGTGACCTATCGGTCTTTGTCGGCGAAACCCCCACCAGTGTTCCCTTGCTTATTACTCACCGACCCTCCGGCTTCCACATCACCAGCAATCGAGCAGCAAGTCCACCTTTTGTGGGAGCTGGAGTCCGCTTCGGCGGTCCCAACCGTGGGGACAGGATCCTCATTGCTGCAAAGGGCAAACTATGCCTGTCCCTGCAGCGACTCTCTATAGTAATTCTTCCACCTTGATTCGGTAATGGCCTCCTCGAGTACCAGGTCACCGGTCTTGTCGTTCGCTCACCATGTTCCCAAACCAACCAGGCATCAGCGACCGGCTTGCATTCTGGCTAAAAGCAATACAAATCTGAAACATATGTGTTAGTCACCGATCGATCCAAAATCGCGAGCGTTTCCCAGCGCTAAAGATGACGTTGATCATGGAACCGCTTTTTCTCAAGAGGACCTCCTTCCACTCACACTGTGCCCCTCTCATTGGGCTGCCATGGTGAGCCTCACCGGCGATTGGCCAACTCCTTCCAAGATCGAATACCAACCCTCTGATTTCTCCTTCGATTTATCGTCATGTCGGATTGCGGCGTTTGCAGTCTGGACTCTACATGGTTTAAAAGCCGACTTCAACATTGTGTTGTCCTGTGCCCCAAATTACGAACAGAGACCCCTTCTTGTCTCACCAATCGGGCCTGCGTGCCGGTGCAAGGGTGGTTTGTGGATGATATACAGTCATCTTCACCCTCCCGCCGGCACGTCGGCCTGCCTTATCGAGATCATTCACAGTGCTGACGGATAGCGTTGCCTATTGTCAATCCTACAACAAGATGCTCAGCTGTGTCTGAACCGACATCCAGGTCTACGACATGCATCCCACTCTCCATATCCTCTCTGCTGCTGCGCTACCTCCATCCACCCGACCACTCAGCGATGATCTCTCCCATTTGCCGCGTGTCAGATGCCCTACATAGTATGCAGGGTGTACTTATTACATGACATGTTAGGCAGTACAGTCAGATCGGGGAATATACCAACCCTGGCATCCTATAACGACACGCGACAAGACGGTCATACGACGCTACAACCTAATATGGACTTCATCAAACCCCAACGGCCTTCGTGAAATCGCTCCCTCCTGGGCTTTCTCAAGTTTTACGCGAGCGCCTCCTTTGCAGAGCTTAGCCTATTGTATAATCGCCGACACTATGTATACCCTATGTATAGACTTGGGACTACAGGCGTGCACGCACTCTATCTCAGGCATGTACGACATCCGGAGCAAGCCTTGCCGTTTCCAATGCGGACGGATGCTATATGGACTTACATTTTTTGCATGCGAAAATAGATCGGGTGCGCTTCGTTCGAATGCATACGAGAGTATTTGTCGAACCTCGTAACGTGTGCGAAGTCTGCTCGAGTACGGAGTACTCCGTGCCTTTGGAATTCTTTCCTCAGCAATGCCCACATTAGGCAATACGCATCATTACCGCAAGAAACAGGGGAACATCATTACACTGGTAGGGTCAGGGATAAGCACTGCATGAAGTCAAACACCTAGATAGGTACCTATGTAACACAGCATCGCCAATCCAAACAAGTTGAGGTTTCTTCACAAAGCATACCCAAAAGAGTCTCTCCTGCAGTAAACGTCGCCAAATACGGCGCTTCGCCCCCATGGACATCCCGACTCCCCAACCGAACCCTCAATCTACGTGCATGCCCCACAGTCTCGCACCGTGGTAAGTGCCCCACTGCATAATAAGACCTTGCTTACGCGCATTTAGCCTCGATAACCGTACAGCGTTGATCACCGTACTGTAAATACTTTGAGGGAAGGTACCAGCGTTCGCACTGTGTGAATGGTAGACTATGACAAACCCTCTGGGCTCGAGACTCAGGCAATTGAAAGCTTTGCAAGTAAGGATAATTCCAATGACGTAGCACAGGGAACCACGGGTCAGAACTTCCGTACTCCTATGGCTATAGCTGCAGTAGGACAGATCTGACAACGCGTGACTGGTCGAATGGGACTGACTCAATATACATACACAGTAGGATGTCACTGTTTCTGAACTCCAACACGCCGTCAAGGAACAGAGTGGTGGGCATGGTCTCGCTATCATGGAGTGTGTTCAACACGACTGATGATGACCGTTGAAGTCGCAGGTCGCACTGCGAAGTCCTGAAGTGCACTCTCTATTGTTTCTCTTTTGATGCGCGAGCTTCGTCTCTTCTCCCTTGTCCTGTCACCATCTCCCTCTCATTTGTCTTTCGCTTCCATTCCCGATCGTTCTCATTTGCGTCGGCTTCAGTAGCGTTCACTGCGATGTATGGATCCGCTCAAGTCTACATCCGCACTAAGTATATCCGTTATCCAAACGATGGGAGCCTACGACGACGATCTACCTCAACGACCGCGCCTCCTGTCATTGAATAACTGAGGAAGAGAGGCATGTCACGCTGCGGGCATAGTCCAGTTGTCGATAGCGCAAACTCTTGTTTACTCGACAGGGTCAGCAACCCGCTCAGGGACCCAACTTGGGAGTATCCAACACAAAAGCTCAGCTGTCCAAGTAAAAGCCACAGAGTCTATGATGCATGACCATCCGAATCCCATCCTCCGCATCACTCTCAGCGCCACGGGACCCAGGGAGGCAGAAAAACCCTACAACTTCGCCCCGGCCATCTTCTTCGCCAAAACCCTTAGGTCCTTCCTCAAAATCTTCCCACTCGGGCTCTTTGGAATCGCATCCAGAAACACCACTCCACCCCTCAACTGCTTATGACTCGCCACATTCCTCTTCACATACTCCTTGATCTCCTCCTCGCTGATCTTGTTCTTATCAGCAACCACATACGCCCTGGGAACCTCGTTTGTGCCATCCTCCGTATCGACGCCAATGACGGCCGCATCGAGAATCAAGTCGTGGTTCAGCAGCAGCGCTTCCAGCTCCGCCGGCGCGACTTGCAAGCCCTTGTACTTGATGAGTTCCTTCTTGCGATCGACAATGTAAAACAGCCCATTGCGGAACTCCGCGATATCGCCCGTATGGAACCAATCTCCAGTAAAGCTCTCCCGATTCGCCGCCTCGTTCTTGTAGTACCCTTTGCACACGACAGGGCCCTTGACGAGTACTTCTCCAGGTTGACCCGGCTCGACGTCCCTGCCCTCGTCGTCGATGATGCGCGCCAGCATGTTCGGGATCAGCGGAGACACGGAGCCCGTATCGTCCTGCATCCCGTACGGCATCACGGTCGCGGACCCCGTCGTCTCGCTCAACCCCCACGTCTGGCTGATGAAGCAATCCGGACCGCCGAGCTTCGCGCTCGCCGCATGCTGCAGCTCCTTGCCCAGCGGCGCCGCGCCGCTAATCGCAATCTGCATGCTCGCAAACTGATCCGTGACCTCGGGGCTCTTCGCGATCAACAGGTAGATGGGCGGCACGGTGAAGAAGAAGGTGATTCGGTACTTTTTGTTGCATGCGAGGAACTCGGGCCAGGAGAACTTGGGCATCCAGTAGACGGGGCCGCCCATGTAGAACGGGTTGATGAGGTAGCCCTGGATTCCGGCGATGTGGGCGACGGGAAGGTGCGCGAGCGTTCGGTATTCGAATGAGGGTTTGTCGGCGATCCAATCCCTGAACATCTTACCAGGGATGACGGCTTCGGCCACGACGTTGCGGTGCGAGAGCTTGACGCCTGGAAGTTACATGTCAGTTCCAGTTCCACCACACGAGACGGGTTGAAAAGAGAGACAAGCAGAAAACCTACCCTTCGGCAACCCCGTAGTCCCAGAGCTATAAATCAAAATAATCAGACTCTCCTCTAGAGCCTTCGGATCCGTAATCCTCTCCCACGTCAACCTCTGCCTCTCATCGACGATATTCCGTCCAAGACTACCGTCCTCCTGCACGGCTCGCAGTTCCCACTCTTTCCCCTCGCTCATAATGAGAACGCGTCCTCCACCATTAACACCCCACCCGGCCTCCTCCGCCGCCTTCACTGCTACCTCCCGTGTCGCCTCCACCGCAAACAGTATCCTACTCTCCGCGCCCTGAATCTGTTTACTCAGCTCCCCTGCGGTGCTAGCCGCAGAGGCCGCAGAGAAGACACCCCCGGCGCCAATGATGCCGTAGAATAGTGCAGGGAGGAGATAATGTCCTGTCGAGATGACGGAAACAATGTCCTTCCCGGGACCTTGGGCGCCGATACCGAAGTGTCTGCGCAGGGCAGAGGTGGTGGCTTCGGACAGGGCTCGGCAGCGAGAGACGGTTAGTTGGAGGGTAGGATCGGCGGCGCAAAGGTGAATGACGGTGTCATCTCTGCCGAGGGAGTGTTCGGACTCTGATCATTATCAGTGGAGGTGGATACATATGTAGACGGGTGTGGCACGTAGACGGCGCGTAGTCACGTGAGGCATTACCACAGGAGGAAACTGAGAGTTGTACGAACCGAAGAGCAGAGTCAGAATGTCTACATCCGGGATGGGGTACGTCTTTGCAGCGCGATAGATGATCCCATCTTTCGTCTTCTCCACAATCGTAGTCATCTTGCTATACAGAGTTATAGCAGCCTGAACCTCCCAAAGACACCGACTGGAACAAGAGCGAACGGATAAAAGGAAAATCAAAGTTCAACTCAAACTCGATGAATTCTCAATACCTACCATCCCGTCCGCGCCCTGGAATATCTATGATTACAGCCCCGGTTTGTTTCAAGACCGCCTGACTTGTGCCTCCGAGGTGCGAGAGTTGTGTACCTGGGTAATGCGGGGCGCTGAGGTTCCTCGGTTGGTTAGTGTCTGGGGTTTAGGGTGACGGGCGGATCGGGGGATTCTTTTGATGTCGGTGCAAGCGAGTCAGCGGGGAAGCTCGAGGATACTGATGTTTCCCGGATTATGCAGCGTAGCTAACCTCAGTGCATAGGCTGCGACCTGTCGTGGGAACTGCCGATAAAATGCAGCATTTCCAGGACCTGCATACAGCGTAGCCTAAATGTGGGGTATGAATACTTGGTATGCCAACGTTGTATCCAGGGCCTTGACATCGTGGTATCTTCGCACCACTGCACACACAGTCTTGATCAGCCGGAGGCGAGGATATCGTGAGCGAATCGTTCATGTGGAGTCGAGGGTATCCATTGCTCCTGCATCGCCGGTTCTCTCACTGGCGGCGGACGTCTTCTTGCGCTTCGTCAGGTAGGGAAGAGGAGTCGTCCGGGGTTCCTGATTCTCATCAATGTTCGTTCCAGCTCCATGCAGGTCATCTTCTTCCAATCCAGCGTCTGCAATGCTCCTCTTTGTTCCTTTCTTCTCCATCCGCTTCCCTTCTCTCTTCTTCGCCGCTCTCCTTTCCTCCCTTTCCTTCCTCTCCTTCCACTTCAGCGTTATATACTCATCTCTGTGCCGCATATGCTCAACTTTCGTCAAGACCTTCCATTTATCGGGCTGGTACGATCTTCTCCACTTCCGCCACACACTCTCGTGAGTGACATTGCCACTGAGAACCACGAAACCAGCGCTGTTGTACAGAGGAATGACTGCTTGGATGGGAAGCCACTTCTCCCTCATTCCGCCATGCTCCTTCAGCCAGTGCGCGACCTTCGCAGGTGTCCTGAAGAGGTCACGCCGATGTGGCTCTACGTAGATGGTGCGCTGATCCCAGAATGTCACTCCCTGGTCGTCTTCGATCTCGAAGGAGTCCTCAGGGATGAAGCGCATTGGATACGTTTCCGGGCGGCGGCGAACGAAGTGGCCATTCTTCGAGAGCTCAAGATAGTCGGAACGTTTGCTTCGAATGGCTTTTTGGAGACTGAGTTGGCAGGCGGCGGGTTTCAAAGAGGAGATATTATCGTGTTGCAGAACGGCTGAGAGGTGGATATCTGCTTTGATGTCAGCATCATGAAAGATTGAGGCTTTGGCATGTCTCAAATACATTTCTCTTCCCCTTCCACGACCCTGTAGCGCTCCTGCAGCCATTGAACACTCTCCGGGTCTTGGTGCGCATAGTCGGTGAATATCAGCTCAATTCCCGCAATCAATTGCGCCAGATACTCGGGAGAGCTCGCCGGTTCGGTGCTCTGTTTCGTTTTCGCTTGGTGCGACTCGGCTTCGGTTTCTAGAGGACCTGCAGAAGAGGGAGAATCAGCGTTCTGATCAGGCTGAGCAGCAAATTCAGTCACGGGTGTTCTGGGTGGGCGTCTAGTAGCTTCGCGCGCCTTCTCATTCGTCCCCTTCAGCCGGAGCACTCGTGGGACGAACATTGTCAAAGGAGCTTGCGAAGGTTGAACGCGTCGAGCTCGAGCTTGGAGGTTTGACCCACTTTAGAGCCCTGGAGTGGGGAAACGCGCTGCAGTCCGTGCACGAAAGATTAGCGGCTTGGCAATTTGGCGCTAACCTGGAAGCTTGGAACTCATCAACTTTGTGCGAACCCCATCAACACCCAGGTCCACACTGATCATCGTCTCCGACCCAGCACAATGCCAAAAGAAAAGAACTACAACCCCGTTCAAGAGGCCAAGAAGGCCGAGAAGCAGAAACAGATAAAGAAACAGAAGGCCGCCGTCCAAGCTCAGCGCAATGAGAAGCTCGCTCGGCGCAATCCCGCCCGCATCCAACGCGACATCGATTCTCTCAAAGCGCTCGCAGAGAGTGGGGACCTCCGGCCACATGAGAGGCAGAGATTGTCCGAACTGGAGAAGAATCTTGCAGCGGTGAATAAGGCGCGAGCTGCATTGGGAGATAAGGCGCCCCAGTTCAAAGAGTGGAAGGACCATGGTGGTGAGAGAGGTGGCAGGGGTGGGCCACGCGGAGGGAGGGGCGGTGTCTTGGGGAAGCGGTCGAGGGATGGGAGTTGGAAGGGGAGAGATGGCGAGGAGAGTAGCGATACGGATCCTGATGTTGCGCACATTCCCATGCCGCGAGATACACCTCCTCCGATACCACGGCGACGGAAGACGGAGGGCGAGCCTGCCGAGCCGCAAGCACCGCCTGAACCAAAGAAGGCTACTGTTGTCTACGAGGCGGAGCCGCAGCACAGAGATTTGAGGAAGGAGGCAGCGAGGTTTGTGCCAGCAGCTGTGGCGCAGAAGTTGAAGCAGGCCAAGGGTCAGGGTCAATCGCTGGAAGAGACAACATCTGACAGACTGAAGAAGGAAGAGTACATGGATCAGGAGACAAGGGAGAAGAAGACTGAAGATACAGACAAGGAGTTGGAGGAGTTCCTCAAACAGGTTGGCGATGCTCCGCCTGAAAGTAACCAGAGCACGGTAACTGGGAACAACGAGATAAAAGAAGCATCGGCCGAGATTGTCGGCAGAAAACCCCACCAGGTCACTCTTGAAGAAGTTGAGGACGAAGATGAGTAAAGAGAGTATATGATACCCCCAATGGGCCAATTTTATGACCATATCAATGTCCCACCAATGCACTCTCAGCAGTCACCACTCGCATATAAGATATCGTCACTGGCATCACGGCATCGCAGGGACGAAACGACGTATTCGTTATGACAAATTCTCATTCCATTCAGTCATGTTATGTCGGGTATACTAATACAGAACCGTTCCACCAACGATGATACCAGGAGCCATAAACTCTAGGAAGCCGGAGCTGAAATCGAGGGGTCGGAGCAGTGTAGAGTTGCGAAAGAGAGTTTACTTCCTGCCGCCAGAGAAGGTATCTTGGACTGATTGACCGACATTGCTAAGGGCCTCCTGTGCCTGGCCCAGCATGCCCTTGCCCTGATCGCCACCGCTGCGGGTAGTGTCGCCGAGCTTTTGAGTGGCGGATTTGTTCCCCTCGGGCTGAACGGCGCCAGCAGCTCGGTCGTAGGCGCCCGACATCGACTCCTTCGTCTGGTCGAGAGTGGATTTCTGAGAGTCGGGCGTAATCTTCTCCTGAGCCTGCTCACCGAGACCCTTGCGTCTGCGACTGTCAGCCGTCCTGTTCATGATCCTCACGTACAATGACAAGACTTACCCAAAGTCAGACATGATGATTGTTGGTTGGTTGGTTAGTTGGTTTCTGGGTTGGTTGGAAGAGTTGTAGAGTTGTTCGCTGATTGGAGTTTGAGCTTGTGTGATGGTTAGGAGAAGAAAGCGTTTGAGGTTGTATTTGTACTTCCCGAGGGGCGCCAAGCTGACCTCAATGGCGTAGGCCGTACGTCATATTGTGAAAGAGCTGTTGGTAAGAAGGGCAAGTGCAACGACTGCCAGCCAGACCGGCACCGTTGCGACGATCGCCAAGTGATGAGGTCAACTCGCCGCCGTCATTACCGTGTCTGCAGAAACAAGAAGCAAATCGCATATTCAATGTCGTCACTTCTTTGTATGGCTTTGCCTGTGACCCACACTTACACAGTACCATTACAAGTACCGTTTTGTAAGAAGTACCTTTGAGCCGCGGTGACCTCTGACGTCATGGAACGCGGCACACCTAACGCACGTGATAAGCTCTCCTCCTAGGACTTGTAGAGGAATGGAACACAAACAAGATGATCACACAGTATATGCTCTACATAGTATAGTGCTAAGTGCCTACACAGTAAGTAATATAGCTGGGTATATAGCTGCCCCAGTCACGTGCGCTAAGCTTGGTCCCAACCTTGGAAGTCGACCCCGCAAAGTCCAATTAACGTTGTCACAATTTGGAAAAGTGTCATATAATCCGCATCGCCGCCGCCACAACATGATCTGACTCGTAGCAACGGTCTGCAGCTCCAACGTTCGAATAATGGAGCCCTTGCAGAGGGGCAGCTGTTCGAGACGTCGATTTCAATCAAGCACTCGAGCCGGGCCTGCTACAGATTACGATGACAGGTTGAGAACGAGTGAAGGAGGCTGGAGAAGCATTGTAGTGGAATTTCAAGGACGAGGAAATTGCCAGTATATTGGATCGAATGGAGCGTTTGAAGTCGACGGTGAAGTTCGCGTTGCAGATGGACCACTTGTGAGTGTCATAGTGGTACTGCATGCAGAACAACCTACTTATGTCCGCAACAATTCCACTCCCACAAGCAATCAAATGCAATACTCGAACTATCAAAGACGAAACTGCATAGGTTCGAGTGCACGTAGATGATCCGGAGCATCCTAATCTCCTACCCTAGGGTACGGATCACCCCGCCCGGCGGTCTGACATCGTACAGCGCAGACAGGAAGGAACAGGACAATGGTTCTTGGGCGCACCGGAGGTGGCGAAATGGCGGAGTGAGGCCAAAACCACTCTCTATACCCAGGGCATTTCCCAGAGCTAGGAAGACTATGGTAGCTCCATCGCAATCGACGTGCTCTTCAGGTCAGTACAGGATGGCTCGGTTGGAGTGGCTTATTTATACTGCAGCTATAAGGATCGGAAGGAGCAGGACTTTACCAGCAGGTATATCATTCAGCTCATCTGACAAGCCGAGCGGACATGTAATAAGATACTTTAACAGGTGTTGGGGTTCCTCTGGATTCTAGTGAGATTGGAAGATTGGTCGGGTACGTATAAAAACCAATTACGAATAACCTTCATTATCGTAGTTAAACTTACATATGTATTCAGCTATGGTCTATATTGCGGCCACGGTTATAGAAGAGAATCTGAATTCGAAGATGTGGTAATACTAAATACCTGTCTGAATAGCCGTCTGACCTCGTTCTGCACTTCATGCCAGCAAACACATCCTCCAGCGGAATATACGACCTTGTAGGCCCTTTTACTCGATGACAAGATCCTGGTAGATCACTACGGGCGAATGAGAGTACTTCAAGGGTATCGTTCGGGCACACTTAGAACACGACATTTCCCTCTCTCTTCGGCCACTGACTGGTATGGCTATAAGACAAGAGTAGCTTCAGTCTCAAAATGAACGGGAATTTGAAGTACCATGCAAACGAACCTAAAGAGCGGGGATTTATGTAATAGATTAGATTCGGCATCAACAGACGACTATCTAACTCATCTTACTCGCATCCTTGGCAACCATTATACCCGACATTGGCACCGGCATTCAGTAAATATTCACATCATAGGTGTAGGCGGAGCTGAGTTCAACGCCGTGCCGCCGAGCGCTGCCAATGTATCCTGCTTACGGCCGTGAAAATCCTTGAGGATGGTGGTTATCACGAGACTTTTCAATTGACGATCAGTACGGCCGCACAGTATAGCATGCTATCCTATCAGATCTACCACACGATATTGAGAATATCACAGTGACGTGAGCAGAACTGCCTCATTGCGTGGTATAGCTGTTAATTTCCTGGACAATACCGACCTTGTTAAGACAGAATGCACTAAACCACCAGAAAGAAAATTATACGCTCACCAAACTGCACTCTCCGCTTGTCATCAACAGTCGTAATTGGGCTTGGGTGTTCAAGGACGGATGGGGCCCCTGCCAACATGAGTCTCTATGATCTATATAAGATGCCTCTCTAGACGACCATACCGCCCTCAAATCCGCCAGCACCAGCAGCTTCTTCACTCTCACACCGAACAACATTCCAATCAACGACCCAGTTCACCAAGAACAACGAGAAAGTCCATCAAAATGGTTAAATTCTTCACCCTCGCTGCCACCCTTGCTTGTAAGTTTCCGCTTTACCGTCAGGCCCAACAGCAGGCTCCCTACGACGCAATCAGCTAACCACCACCCAAACTACCAGTCGCCCTCACGGCTCTCGCAGCTCCCAGCCCGCAGAGCTGCGGCGGCACGGCAATCGGCGGCTCGGACTGCAGCTTCAACGACCAATGCCGATCCTGCAGGTGCATCAACGGCATCTGCGCCAGAGCCAACCTCCTGGAGGCGCGCCAGTGCAGAGGCACCGCCATTCCCGGGTCGGACTGCAGCTTCAACGATCAGTGCCGGTCCTGCAGGTGCAGGAACGGCATCTGTGCTTAGACGACGTCTTATACTGCCCTGGCCATCTATTTCAAGGCTCCGGCCCTAAAGGTGGAGAGCAATTCCATTGGGAGAGAGATGTGGTGCTGCTTCAAAGCAGTATATTGGGGCACCGAGAGGGCTTCCCCTGAGATCATTCATTTCCAACACACTCGTTTGTATTCAATACCTATCATACCTACCCTAGGGTAGGTACATGTGTATAGGTAGCTTTTCCAACACATGCTACCGAAAGTGATCCTTTCGCTGAGAAATATAGCTATACAACAGGGATCACTACTCCATGACACTTTATCTTTCTAGACACCAGACATGACGACGAATGTTGCAGTGTTGGTAAGGCTTTCGATCGCTTTCAAAACGCCGTCAAATGCCATTATGCCACTTTAGTTCCAACCCCGTCCGACTACGACCGACGGGTTTTATCCAAGTCTCTGAGGGCGAGGCACCAGAGTTGACCCAACCCAATTCCACTTTTCCCGTTAATTCAAACGTCTGCCCTGTTTACCGCACGGGATTCAACTGACGAAACCGAGGTCGAATCTTTTAGCTTCCTTGCCGCTGGTTCTTACGTCGTGCTTGTTTTCCCAACTTTGGGATATAAAACAATCATCTTAAGAGCTTGAGAAGAACACGTCTAGTTATCCCAGATGTTTGTTCAAAACCAGGTTTTGTTCTTTAGCCTGTTATGAAGTGACCGCCATATAAGCGCTACGACTCAGACCAGGAAGGGCTAATGGCTATTGGAAGCGCTGGCTTATGTCGTACAAGAACTCGTGCTAAGGCAGGCATCTTCCTGTCTCCTTCTCTCACAGTCGCATGATATTGCGAGGTTGCTGTTTCATAAACACTTAACGGAACCAACGAAACCTGTCGTTCTTCAGTCGTAGACGATTTGATTCTCCTCTTTCATGGACTCGATCGACTCTGCCTGTTTCGCTTCATTTAATTCGCGCATCCGACTTTTGAAGCTGCTGCACTCTTTATTTGTCAAGTTTCTCGGTCTCACGGCCAACCCAACGTCGTGGAACAACGCATAGAGGTGCTGTGCCTCGAGTATGCCAAATGACTAGCTGATAGCTCCGGAACCCCATCTCAACCACGCCTCTCGGGGTTCACATGTCATGCGTGTTTCTTCTTTCCAGCCCCTCATTAAGGCTGTATATGGCGCAGCTTTATAAGGTATCTTTTAGCATGTTTGTTGTTGGTCATTGGTACCCTAGGTCAATGACTAGCCAGTCCTATTCCACTGGACACGTCAATGTTAATATCAAGGTCTCAGAGTTAGCAACTCTCTTTAACTGTCACGAGTGGTCACTTTGCTGTCTTTACATAAACGCAACGCCGCCTGTCCATTCTGCAATATGAACAGTACACTCCTTGATGAAAAACATTTTCTAAGCATCTCCTTTGAACTAAAATGAAGTCAGCCCAGCTGTATTATATATGTGCCTCTCTTGCTATGAGGACAGTTGGGGCAGGTTATCTCGAACATGCGAAGGAAGCAGCCGCAAAGCTCCAATCCTATTGGTATGACGATTCAACAGGGTTATGGTATGTGCATCAAGCCCAACTGTAATCCTACTCCAACTTTCATCTTAATCCTCCTTCCCAACAGGGCCCAAAGATGGTGGGAGTCCGCCAACATGGCCACCACTCTCGCCAAACTGGGCCTTCTCGGCCAAGACTCCCATTCCTTCGCCATTCCCATCCTCCAAACCACCTTCTCCAAGTCGCCAAACCTCAACGGCGCCCGCGGCTGGAAAAACACCTACTACGATGATGAAGGCTGGTGGGCCCTCGCCTGGCTCGCAACCTTTGACCTCACAGGTGAACACCGCTATCTCGATGCCGCAAAGGACCTCTTTCTCGATATGACAAGCGGATGGACTACGCCCTGCGGCGGCGGCATTTGGTGGGACAAAAACCACTTCTCCATTGCTGCGATCTCTAACGAACTTTTCCTGTCTGTAGCAGCGCAGCTAGCAAACCGCGTCTCAGACCAAGAGTTGAAGAACTACTTCATCGGCTGGGCGCAAGTGGAATTCGCCTGGTTCTCCAACTCCGGGATCATCAACGGGGATAACCTCGTGAATGACGGGATTGACCAACACTCCTGCCAGAACGACAGAAAACCAACGTATACGTACAACCAGGGTGTTATTCTGGGTGGTCTTGCGGAACTTGCTAAGGCTACGGGGAATTCTACTTACTTGTCCTTTGCGACGCGGATTGCGCGTGCAGCTATCAGTAAATTGTCTTCGCCGAATGGAATTCTGACTGAGCCTGTAGATGCCATTGATGAGCAGGGAGCAATGTTTAAGGGCGCATTTGTGAGGGGGTTGGCGGCGTTGCAGAAGGAGGTGCATGTGAATGAGTTTAGAGAATACTTGATGCGGAATGCTGACTCGATGTGGGAGAAGGCGAGAGATGATGGGGGACATATGGGGTCGGATTGGGAGGGGAAAAAGCAGGGGTTTAGGGGGGCGACGAGCCATGCCAGTGGGTTGGATGTGCTAGTTGCGGCGGCGGAAGTGGTATAGGGGTCGGGGGACTGTAGGAATAGTGAGTGATACGCGAGCGGCTAATCACGCATATCATCGGACGTACAGAATATTATCTGCAGATTTGGTATTCTGGGCTGTCCGGCCGTTTTAGGCATGACTTAGTTTTCGAAAAGAATTAAGCCCATATCGCGTTGTTTGCTGAGCCAACGCCGTATTCCAGTGAGTTATAGAGGCCATCAAATGCGGCCAAATATTTCGAGACTCTGCTTATAATATTTAAATAGACATACGTCTTAGAGCCACGGCCATAATAAATCGCCATCTAGCTCTTTAGGTTGAGGTTGGCAGGTGTTTGTGCGAACCAGCGTTTCTTGCAACAGTCGGATGACGGAAAGTGAGACGCTCACTGGAACTCAGATTACCTGTCTACCCTTCTACTTCTAAACTATATCCGTAGCCACTTCAAATAACAGCTGAATTAAGAGACTCAAAGACCTCCATGGTCCTTTCTCAACCAACCATTTGTAACCTTATCCAGATAGGTCAAGCTTCCTCGAATAGGACGGTTCTGACTCAGTCTCTGCAGGGCGTTATTTGCAAACTCCTCATCGTTGTAAATGCTGTGCTGCCGTGTAGGCATGTTGGGAGGATCGGGAGGAAAGGGGCCGGTGCCTGAAGGGTGGAAGTTGGTGTTAACAAAGTTAACGACGGCAGCTGTCGTAAGGTCAGAAATGCGAATCAGAAGCTGAGAAGAAAAGGGACAGAATTGCATACCGACGGCCATCAAAGTAATACTGTCTGCATTCAGAGCAGCGGCATATCTCCCGTAAGTGAGACCCGCCAGTCTGGATGTGAGGTCAGATCGGTATGCTCTTGCATTGGGATCAATCCCAATCCCAATGACTTCAGCATCACGACGAATTCCGCGCGCATCGCTATCCGCCGGACGGAAAGAGTTCAGTGCGACATCTGTGATCCTGATTCGTTCGGCTGATATCCCTCGTATTACGGCGCCGGCGTTTCTCGCACGTTCCAGAATCTGGTTGAGTTGAGGCTGCCCTTGGGAGACAGTGTGCAAAAGTTCGTGGAACATTACAGAACCCTGGCTCTCAGCAGCTCTATCGAGCACTTCCGCATTGTTGAGGTCCCTCTCGACTCCGGGAGTGAATAGCGTTTCAGGAAGGTCGAACCACGCGTCGAACAGGATGATCAGACGTCCTCTAACTGTAGCGGCCACGTCTTCTGGGTCTGTTCCTGGAGGAGGGTGGCGGCGAATGGAATCCTATCAGGTGTTACCTCAACTATGCTACTCGATTTGGACTATGTCTCTGTTAAACTTACGCGCAAGACTACGAATTCCCTGTTGACTATGTCCTCTTGTCTTTCCCCTCCAGGAAGAGCATCATCAGCATTTCCGAGTATGTTGACTACTCTTCTGACTTGTTCTGTCATCTCGTAAGCTCCGCACTCCAAATGCCTTCTGCCGACATTGCGACACTGTGATTCACTTACGCATCACGATATCGTAAAGCTCAAACTCAGGGTCTCCCATTATGCGAGCATACAACGCATCACCACGCCGAATGGATAGCAGACTTCGTCCAATGAGGCGCGCTTGTTGGATCGCTCTATCGACAGTCGCTTGGTCCGTTGCGCTCATCGGTTGAGAGGGCGAATCAGGGAATCCTCTGATGTCCGTGTATCGGGAGATAGTAGCTCGAGCCGTGATGTGGACACGGTCCTGAGGTGAAGAAGTTCTCGGGGTTTCATGTTGTCGAGCCTTGATTCTCAATAATGCCTTTGCGGCTGTGTCTGTAAGAAGACCATGAGCGAAGAGGAAAGTATTGAGAAGGATGAAAAGTGATAGTAGGAACCTCATTTTGAGCAAGAGGACACTCCGTAGAATAGTATTGAGCTGCTTGTAGATTTTCAATGCGAGAGCAAATAGTTCCTGTAAGACACAGTATGAAGTAAAATGGATAGTCAAAATCGTGGATCTGCCAACTCCGTAGATTGGTTTCCGGGACTTAAATATTCGTGTGCTTCGATTAACCGCTTACAATGCTCACGCTGCATGCCTGTCAGTCTGAAGAAATTATGACTATAATTTTAGACTTGGTATGCACAGCCTCAGATTGAGTTGTATGCAGAGTTGTTTTGGGCAGCTGGCCCTTACCCGTCGGATGCTGGCGTAAGATATGGCGCCAGTCGCCCCTAAGACGAACAAAATCATACGCACGAGGTGAACACAAAATTCTCTTTCGGGATAAACATAACAGACTAACTGTTTCATATGCTGTAATAAGCGCACACTGGCCCCAGAATTACCTTCAGCCGCGCTGACGCAATGAATGAGACAGACTTAGCTGTATCAGAATGAAATGACTATAGATGTTATTCCGCGATGGTAGATATAAATGAGATAGATAGGTGCATTACTTCAACTCCCACAGCCCTCCTTCAATCTTCTCTTCACTGAGCTCGCAAGTTTCACCGTCATAAGACCTCTGAACGATTTGTTCTCTACCACAACTTGTCGAACCTGATCGGGAAAATGCCGCTCAATCGCCCCCTTTCTTATTTTATTTCCCTCCTTGCCTATACCCGTGTCGCGCAAAGCCAGACCATCCAAGCGCAGTGTGGAAATGCGGACCGATCGTCCATCATTTCCGACGCACTCTTCAACTCTGCTGAAGTGTCGTCAAAAGTCCTCCCAGCATTGCGCGATACTATATGCCCCTTCGACCACGAATCATACTGCGCTCTGTACCCTCAATGCACCTTCTCCACGTTTATCACCGAGAATGGTCAAGAGGTACAGATCACCATCAACAAGACGGAGGACATCTCTCCAGGAAACAATGGGCAGTTGAAACCGTGTAATGATGTGATGGTGGGTTCCCTTCTCCAAGTCGTAGCTGCTAGCAAGTCCTGAGAACGCTATGTCTACGATCGGAGATCTTGATATCAGAAATACGCTGACGGCGACCAGAACCAAATCTTTTCTCAATGCATTACAGGTTCCCAACCAAAAACAAGTGGAACCGCCCGGCACGAAAACATCATCTACTCCATATCATTCAGTGCGCTGCCCGCCCTCGAGGGCCAGGACAATCAGTTCCAGAGTATCTTTATCTCCCCAGAAGGGTCAGAAGATATTGTAGCCGCACTTCCGCCAGAGTTCCAGTCTCTCGCGTCCGATATCGAGGAAACCAAACCCACTGCGACTGAGGCGCCCCAACCACCGCCGCCTGCGCCCACACCTCAATGCGAGACCGACTGTCTCGAACTACGAAACAAGGTCACGGCAAAGGCGGACTCAAACGGCAACATCTGCACCGGTTCTGGAGACTTTACCACCACTGGCCACGCTTCTGATAAAAACAGTGATTGGTTCCGGATTGACAATCAGAACAACTGCTATCTTACGGTTGCAAAATCGGCAGAAGTTCTGGGTCACAGTGGAGAGTATTGTTTCAGTGTCAACGACCTGAACAATTTCATCTCGAGGGAGGCTGCACAGTGCAGTCAGGATCCGTTTTTCAAGCAGATTAGCAATGATCCACTGCCTGGTCAGAATAGGTTCTCTGGGGTAGGGATGGCATGTTTGGCCGATGGGAATAATGCGGACAAGTGTGGTGAGGGCATTTTGTAGGTGGGGCAGGGACTTTCTTCACTTTGATGAACGATAGGGTAGAGTGCTGTCTTTTTATCTCAGTTTGTGTTACCTTTTATCTCTTGGGCAGCTCAGAACCAGCTACGACCCATAAGATCAGTGACAATGGTCAGTCGCGCGCACTATATATATACATACACTATTTGCAAGTGGGATCCAGTATCCTAAACCTCGAATAAGTCGCCTAGGTGAATGTTAATCCAAGGTTGATTAGGTATCTGGAAATACAATAATCGCGATTGATGTTGCTATGTGTGTCGACTTCGGGACACAGCTTGGAGCGAATTTGACGCTCAAAGAACATAGAACGTACTGGACATAGTGGCTTGAGGCGCACGTGCCAACGCGAAAGCGCGCTAAGGTTAGCCGCGGGGGGAGCTTCACTGAGCTCGGAAATTACTCCTCTCAAGCATCAACATCTTCGTGAGCCCTCGAGTTTTCGCCGGATGGTGTCATAACGATGGCAGATAATCCGAAGAAGCGAAAGCAAACTTCTGATGGCCCCTCAACAGCGAAGAGGCCTCGGTTCCCTCAGAGGCCGGAGCACCACATCAAATCCACCTCCACAACCAGCGCGTATCCCAATGGCGAGCTCAACGTTTCCCGCTTTATGCGCGCACATGAGAACGAGATCAAGGCTTTGGAGAGGGCTATGGTCAATGCTAAGAAGGGATCGATGCGACGTGCCTTCCAAGACGTGCCCCGAGAATTGAGAAGGAGGACCGGCAGTCATAATCCCCAGCGTGTACCGAAGAGGCTCAGGGCTCGAGCATTCCAGGAGGCCAAGGATGACAACACGCCCATAAGTAAAAACAAGAGCGGCAGCGGTACTGGAAAAGGAAAGCAAAAATGGCTGAGGAAGGCGGGCAGAGAAAAGAGCCAGCAGAGGGGACGGAAAAAGAAGGGCAAAGACCCAAATGCAATCACAGTCACTGTACAGGAGAAGCCTATGCCGGAGCTGGCCCCAAAGTCCGAGTCTAACAGGAAGGTTCCAGGACTGGAAATGGCAAAACCCAAACGGAAGAAGCAGCCAAAACTCGCCGTCCCAGGTATACCGCCTTCTCGATTCCGTAGGCGACAGGTGAATAAGACGTGGTTACCCACACATATATGGCACACCAAACGAGCCACCATGACAGCGCCGAAGGAGCCATTGTGGCGGTTTGCAATTCCGATTACACCCATTCTGAAGTCATACCGGTTGACCCATCGAGCCGTCTCGTTAAGAGGAGCCGTCGCTTGGGATATGAGCTACATTTCCACTATTGGTCTAGAAGGGGTAGAAGCTAGCCTTATTGGTCTCCTGAAATCAATGCACTTTGCTGAAGAGGATGGAGTCCGACCTTGGCAAGAAACCGGACTAGGGAAGAAGTGGAGAAATGGCACGAGAGCATGGGAAGGTTGGATACATGAAAGACAAGGGTCTCCGCCTAAGAAGATGTCACGAGTCACTGTCATCTGGAATACCCAGGAGCAGCCGGAGCCGAAGAAGAGGAACATATTTGTTCGCGTCCATCCAAGCGCTTTCCTGCAACTCTGGGACCATGTTACGAAAGCAGCCAAAGTGCAGAAGCCAGCTGTTACAGTAGAGGATTTAAGGTTCGAGATTGGGTCTATCGAAATCATGGGACCTGCCGCAGCCGAGACTGCCTGTTCCATTCTCCACCCCGCTCCTACAGGAGCTCGTTCCTCTGGGCCAGCCGAGTGTGTCTGGCAGAGTTTGGCTTCTGTTACTGACGTCGGTGTACTGCCTCGGAACCCCGTCATAGCGTTTTCTTGTACTGATCCTCGCCTGCGGGATCCTCCCCGGACGGCCACAGCCGCCTCAAGCTCGCAGTCAGACCTGCTGACAGAGACGCTCGCATACTGGCCGATAGACCATGTACAAGCTCCGTCGGAGTTATTCACTCGCAATGCCAGACTCGCGGCCGGGCGTTGTTTGCCCTCTCAACAGTCCGTCAATCGCCGGAAAAGCGCAGCGGCGCCCGGCCAGTATCCGGAGGCGCGATCCTCGGACCCTCGCATTCCTATGCTGACTTATATCTCCAGCGAAACTAAAACCTGGACTATTCTACTGCCCTGGAAATGTGTGGCTCCTGTATGGAGGGGTATTATGCGGTACCCGGTTTCGACAGGCGGAACCCCGAGATTTGGCGGCTTGAACGAGATACATCAGGTTAACTTCGAGCGCTCGAAGCCTTGCTTTCCATTTGATTTCCCAGGAACAGATGCGGGGTGGGCTTGGGAGTTGCAGGAGCGCGTCAAGCGGAGGCAAGACTGGACAAAGAGGCCGAAGGGCAAGAGAATTGAATGGAAGACTTTGGATTTGGGAAGCGGGAGCAAGGGCGAACTGGGAGACCCTTGGGCTTGCGCGTGGGAACTATTATTGCCCAAGAAATCAGAAGAAGGACCCGAGCCTACAAAGAAATTGGAAACAACAGCCTCCTCATTCCGACAAGCGCTCAGCCTGGACGTCCTTAAGCTGCTCTCGGGTCGTCACTCGTCGGAAGAACACCTTTCGCTGCCTTATCTCTTTCCCGTCAAGATCAGTATGGTGCAAGGAGGTTCGCCCATATCTTGCGCACGCATCTACCGTCTCCCAACGAATGACCCTGAACTTCGTGAGCAATGGCTTGCACTGCTGCCTGAAGGAAAACGTTCTGCGCGAGAGAAACGCATCCTCGAGCGACGCCAACTGCTCAACAGGCAGCTTGCGAATAATCCCAAGCATCAGCAGATGAGGGATCTTGCTTCAAGACTGTTGCAACCCGAAAAGCAAAACCACAAGCACTGCAAGCCTGGCGATAACAATTATCCTTGCGCCCCTGGTGACGAGGATCTCATGGGTTTCGTCACAACCGGTAACTACAATCTATCAGAAGGCACTCCCACAGCAATCGCAAACATTGCGCTACATAAAGCCCTGGAAATAAATGGAACTGGTGCAAGTCGTGAAGGGAAGCAATTATGTATTGTTCGGGAGGCTGGTCAGACACTGGGTCGACTGGCGACGTGGGAAGCTGTCTAATTCTCACATAATTGATTCACATATATAAGCCATTATCAGACATTCAATTGCGCCGTATTGTGTATCTTCCTATTCTTTGAACTCTCGTATTGTGCCTTGTATTGTCTCCTGTTCCTATAGACAACAATAGTCGAGGCCAAACCTGTGGCGCCTGTGGCGGCTGAGGTGCGGGAGCTAGCCGAATTGGGGCTTCATATAATCCCGAATTTCCCTAACCACCCCGAACCTCCGTTTCATGCTCATAACCACTTCCTCACGCATATGCTAGGATCGCTCGGAGGACGAAGAACGGCTGCCCTGCACTATGTCTGAGGACAGGGCCGCCGACCAGCAGGTGAAGGACGGTGGAGATGCCGAGGCTGCCTCATCAGATGTGCTGGCGACATTGGTACGACTGCACCACCGGTCTGACTATCTTGCGAGCCATTGCTGAAACTCATACCATTATAGACGGCAGATATCCTCGGAGAGTGTCTTGAAAATGTCATCTTCAACGCGGTTGTTGCGTGTCATCGCTCCGAGAAACAGCTTCGGATGCAGTCGGCTGCTACCCAGGCCGAATCGCTCGCCCTCTCCAACCTCGATCCGCAGCCGCTCAAAGGCTCGAACGCTCCTCCCGCTGTGCCCTTCGCCGAAACGCCCGCCGCGAAGTATGATAACGGTCGGGTCTACCTGAAAGGCAACCCTCTGCAGACGACACCGGAGATCGTGTGCGCTCACTGCAAGCTGCCCAGGCTCATGCACCCCATCATGGGTAAAGGCAGCCAGACCCCCGACCTCACCAAGGAGTACTGCAAGCTGTACCCTTTCGTCGAGGAGAAGGGACACGATGCCTACGGAAATCCATTCCCGGATATGGCCAAGAGCAAGAAAGAGCGAGAGCTGATCAAGAAGAGCGAGAAGGATGGCGTTACAACACCAGGATCTCAGGACACAGAGATTCCTGGTGAAGAGACACAGAATAAAGAGTACAAACTCGATACGGGAGGGAAGCCGGCGTCCTACATACCATGGCACACGTGCCCGAACTGCAAACGGAGCTTGCTCATCACGCGATTCGCTCAGCACTTAGAGAAGTGCCTCGGGATAAGTGGTAGACAGAGCTCCAGACAAGCGATGGCAAAGTTGTCTGGCCAAAACGGGAGCGGCTCTGGAATGGGGAACACCCCGCTTGGTAGTCGCATGGGAACTCCCGCACCGGGCTCCCAAGGCGATCAAGGCGGGAGCTTCAGGGCCAAGGGAAAAGGCGGCAGCCCGGTCAAGAAGCTCGGAGACGAAGAAGATGACGTTGACAACGAGACCCCCGAGAAAAAAAAGAAAAAGAAGAGTTCGTATATCAAAAAAGCGGACCGAGAAAAGATGGCGAAGGAAGGGGGTGTGCTTAAGGTAAAGCTCAAGACTAACAGTCTGAGCAAGGAGTCCTCGAAGGAACATGAAGGAAGGAAAATGAGTGAGTCCCAAAGCGAGAAGCGTGAGCGAGAGGACGACGGCGATGGCGCACCCAAGGCCAAAAAGCTCAAACTGTCGTTAGGCAGGAGCGAAAGCACAACTTCGCTCAGCGCAGAGACACGAGAGTCCTCGAAATGAGTTGGACTGGGCTTCTCTGCTTGTGGGATTTTTTTTGGTTCAGCAGGTTTCGACCTGTGCTTTGTCGACAACCAATCATTTGCATAAGATACTCAGCATCAACTGGCGTTTGGATCCTGGGGAACCCAAAGGGATGTTTTCGGTAATGGGGGTTGACCAACATTGAACGGACATGGACATCGAGGCGTTTTGGTTTAAGGCAGGTCCCTCGTCGAGAAGGCGACACACGACACTTGTATTCTCCTGGTTTTGTGTCCGATATTTTCCTGCTGCCGCATTATAGGGCATATTCTTGTACCAACACACTGGTTATTCTGAAGCTTGAGCGGTTTTCCTGGAAGCTCGGCTCGAATGCATATATACAGTTTGATTTCGTTGATCTATCCTGAAGCAGTGGCAAAGCACCATCTCGCTTGAGCGGGAATTTTTCCCCTGGTCCCACATACCCACATCTCCCCCTACACTTGCCCTATCCCCTCTATTATATGGCCTCCTTAACTTACTGTGTACTGCAGTCCTTCCCTCCAGAAATATAACCGGTCCGCCTCGAGAACTCACCATCAAACATCGCACTGGCTCGGTGGTGTAGTTGGTCATCACGTCAGTCTAACAAGCACCCTTATACCCTTTGAAAAGAGGGCAGAACAGGCCTTGTTATATCACTGAAGGTCCCGAGTTCAAACCTCGGCTGAGTCATGATGGCATCACAGCAAATGTGATGTCGAATATCTTTGGGCGTGGTGGCGGAGTGGTTATCGCGCAAGACTAGAAATCTTGTTCCTTCGGGAGCGTCAGTTCGAATCTGGCCCACGTCGCAGCTTTTTGGCGGTTTGGAGATGCTGGGGAGTGGCGAGGTGCGGGACGAAGCCGTCTTTTTGCCTGGGAATGCGTGCTTGTGGTGGTATTTGGTGGCGGTGGTGGTAGTGCTCCTTTTTGCGCCTGTATGTATCATTTGTGGACTCTAATGGCGATCAAATGTCAAAACTAAGGTTGCTTCGCTTTCGAACCAAGAGGATCTCATGCATTGACCCTTGCGGCAAGCAGTGAATAGAACAGCTGGTTGAATGCAGGTTGTACGACATGTAGCCGAGGAGGGCAGATGTTCGCTAGGAAATTGCATATATGAATAATTCAATTAATTAAAATTTTCACCATTCAGGCACTTTGGCGGAGTGGTTAACGCGCGGGCCTGCTAAGCCCGTTCCTTCGGGAGCGTGAGTTCGAATCTCACAGGTGTCGCATAACAACCCGAATTTTTTTTTTGGTTTTTTCCCCTCTTCTATCATCGCCGTTAGACAAAAGTTTAGCAATTAAGACCGCTCCGTGTTCGATTAAGTTGTTCAAAATACTCTTTTTTGTGGTGAACAGTCAATGAGCTAAGGGCAGGCTTAAGAGCTGTCTTTCTATTGCGCATTTCTAGCGGACATACACTTGTACCAAGCTCTAGTTTTATTGTATTGTCTCCTCAACTGCGCAGTTTCAATACCACTCATCCTTATCTATCCGCAACGTCGAAATTGAAGAGGAAGGCAGTAACCAGCGGTGTGCCTTTTCTTCTTCTGGCGGCTCTGAGTCCAATGAAGTCGAGTCTCGGGCGGCTACCTTGTGGGCAGTGGTGCATACAAGAGGGATCAGGCAGAGGAGCTCCTCTGAGCATCTAACGTTCACTCCGTGTGACGAGTATGCTCATGATGCACCGCATGCATATGGAGAAGGGGGGCGTGCACTACTGACGCAGGTGTGTAAGAGGGGTATATAAGCGTTCGAAGTTTTCCTTAAGCTTCGAGTTCAAATCTAGCAGCTTAGAGCTATCTATATTTGAGTGATGACTCTTGTGAGAGCTAGTCAGAGGCAGCCCAGGTTCAAGAGTGATCCATTTATTAACGATTCTTTGACTGTGCTGTTCACGTCCTGCGATGGAGGAACGCAAGGTGCTCCGGCTTCAAAGTTTGTTCCCCCTCCGCAGCACAGTTTCAGACCGCAGGGGACGTTTGAGATCGTTGTGATTGCGGTCGCGTCACACATCTGGGCACGATCGACACAAGGGGGAGGCAGGGGGTTTCCACCCGGTGCATTTGACACCCACTGTACACATCTCCCTGGACGCAGATACGAAAGTCTAGGAGGTGGGATTCAGCTGTAATATGTTTGTGAAGATGCCGCAGGAGGACGACGGAGAGGACTGTAGAATGGATTTACATACCCTAGGGTAGAGGCTGGTGAATCTGTCTTATCGATTACGAACTCTCCCCAACTCCGCATTCCGTCCACTCACCTCGAGTCAACAACAGCTAAGGCAGCTCCGTCTTCATCGTGACATTTCTTCCATCGTTCCACTCGTCTCGATCTCGAGGACGTAAACGATAACTGGCACATACCTTTTCTTGCGCCGTGCGGCCACGAGGTTGTTGCAAAACCTGACACACAAAACGCCTACGCCATAACTAGGGGCAACCAGGTTTCAGGAGTCCGTTTTATGACCAGTTGATTCAACCCACTCCTGCGACTCATCACTATCACCGCACATGTCCGCTGTCAATCGTACAGGTATGCGGGACCGGACAAGCAGGATTCCCGTGTTAGCGCCAGCGGAAGTGTTCCTGTCTGGGTATGGTTGAGATGGATTTGAGGTGGATCCTGCTGCACGCGATGCGGAAGGGGTTTCCGGTGAAGTCTCGTTTACGGTCTCTGTGTTGGCTGGGGATGTATGTATAATCATGGAAACGGTTTGCCCCGTGGGACCTCCGAGTGATTCTAAACCGGCGCTGGATGTCTCTCTCTTCGTTTCTCCCCTCCTGAGGCTATCAACGACATCCCGACGATAATTGATCGTTGTATAGTTCGCAGGGACGAGCATGAGGGACTGACGATGGATGTAAGGGAGTTGTTGTTTGTTTCTTCTTTTACGTCTGGTCCATTCGATATACTCTCTCGCTGAGTTACATTCACTATCACCGTCGTTCCCGTCGTCGTCTACTCTACCCATACGGTAGCCTTTCATGGCTTCTTCGCCCGCTGGTAATCGGGTGGGCGCTGTTATATTCACGTTTACGCTTCTTTCGGGAATTACGGTGTTCTTTCGCCTGTTTACACGCGTTGCTGTTATTCGAAATGCGGGTCTCGAAGATGTCTTAATTGCACTGGCTATGGTACGTTGTCAGCATTATGCATTCTAGAAGAGAGTTATACTGACGGTTTTGTAGGGGTTTTCTATCGGCCTCACCGCGACTATTGGTGCACAAATCCAAAATGGAATGGGCAAGCATATCTTCGAGCTATTAGCCGACGAGATGATCGACTCCCAAAAGGTATGTCCACCGCTCGCATCCGCATCAAAAGCTAATTGCAGTCTGCAGGCGTTCTGGGCAAGCATATGGATTTACTACCTCGCGCTCGCCTTCACAAAGCTCTCCATCTTAGTGCAATACCTCCGCATATTCCCTACCCGACGCTTCCGTATCGTATGCTCCGTTGTGATCGGCCTTGTGGCGCTGTACGGTGTCTGGGGATTGTTTGGAAGTATCTTTCTTTGCGTCCCCGTTCACTCCTTCTGGGATAAGAGCGTCGGCGGAAAATGCATGGATCAATTCGCTGTATGGTTCTCCAATGCAGCGATGAACATTGCGCAAGACTTCGTCATACTGCTGCTCCCTATGCCTGTCCTGCGCCGATTATCGATTCCAACGAGGCAGAAGAAAGCACTCATGATTGTCTTCGCTCTGGGAGGAATGTACGTTGTCACCATAACCTCCAATCCCTAACCTATTCGAGAACTCATCATCTCCAGCGTCTGCATCGTCTCCGTCGTCCGCCTCCACTCCCTCTTCTCCATCTCCAACTCCCGCGACCCAACCTTCGACAACCCCCCGGCAGCCACCCTCTCCTCCGTTGAAACCAACATTGGCATCATCACCGCCTGTCTCCCCTCCATGCGCCCACTCCTCTCCGCAATGATGCCCAACTATTTCCCTCGCAGCACCCCCTCGTATTACGCCAACGGCCGCTCCGAAGTCGACGAAGAACAACCGAAGCGACAGCACCATCCCCACACGCGCAACCTCTCCGCAGCATCCACCCTGCGTCCCGCAACAGGAACCACCCTCCGTCCCACCACCGCCTCAACCGGAAAAGCGTGGCAAAAAGGCCATTCCCGCTCCACCAGCGACACCACGCACTACACCTCCACGACCGAACTCTCCTCCCTCTCCTCCTCCACCAAACCCTCTTCCTACCGCCCGACACTGCCCCCCAACCACCACGAAAAAGCCGCCGTCTTCGGCACCGGCCCTCTCATCCACGGCCCCGCGCGCCAAGTCCACATCCGCTCGGCCTCACGCACGCCGTCCATACAGCTGGCGGGTGGTGCGCCGAGGTTGCCTAGGTTGCCGGAGAATGTGGCTGTGATTGGGGACTTGAGCTTCTATCCTGCGCCGTTGTTTAGTGGTGGGAGTGGGAGCGGGCATCGACGCAGTGCTTCGAGTCCGTTGGCATCGTCGGTGTATAGTAATAGTAGGCCGAGGATGGGATCGAGGACGAGGCCGACGACGCCCCTGGTAGGGGTGGTGCAGAAGCCATTGCCGATTACGCCGTTTCCGGTTGCGACGGACGCGACGTAGCGGGCGGCTTCCTGATGAAGGGAGGCAAGGCAATGTGTGCGCGTCACTGTTCAACAATTTTCTCAGCCCTCCTCCATCGACAGATAGAACACCTTGGGCGCAGTTCGACTATGGATGGGACCTGTATAGGGGCTCTCAGGTGGCACTTAGTGACTTAGCATTGAAGCGACTCTCGTCTGCAAAGAAGAGAGCTGCATCACTCCCTTTTCCCTCTGAGGCAGGCACGGCATTCCTGACTTGGACTCTCACTCTCATTTCACCTCACCTCCCGCTCCAGTTCCATCGCGTTTCATTCTGTCTACCATTCCGCCTCTCGTAGTCTCTTTCCTATTTATTTCCTCCCCATTTTCCTTCAGACTAGCATCTTCGCGGGTCTTGTTTCACGGATGTTTGAGATGAAGAAGAATGTATTTATATGTATGTTTGTATGTATGTATGTCACGTCTTATGACCGCCGTGTTGCTTGGAGAGGTGTGGAAATATACCCCCTTTCTCTTATTGATCGGTAAGATGCGTTGGAGGGTCGAAGGGTAGGAAGGGCATTGTGAGGGTACTCGTTTTGTTTTTATCACAGTAAATAAATATATAACGTAAACACACATTGAACCGATTCCCCGTAGGTGCATCTATAAGGACTACATTGACATCGACGTCTTTTTGTCACTATATCCTTCTTCAGTTTTTCCCACACGTGAACGGTTTTCCATGAACAACGAGGACGAGGAGGAGGAGGAGGAGGAGGACGATGCCGAGTGAGATGCATCCTGATCCTTTCCGCGGGGATTAAATAATATGCTAGACACATGGAACACGCGAATATTCTCCCACATTCAACGGGTTCCATTTTCCACGGGACGACAGCACAATCCAGGCATCAGTCTGCAAAGAAAAGCATATTTGCGCATAAGTGCCAAGCAGACGAGCAAGTCCGTCATTATACTCATCCGCCTTCCGGCACTGTTGGTATTGAAACTACAATGTCAATGGGATGTACTTTGTGGTGCCATCACTTGGTGCCTGTACTTGTATCCAGCCATAGAGAGGTAGAATGTCGAACATAGTTCCCTTCTCTTAGCTCCAGCATTACGTCTTCTCTGCGCAAAAGAAGCCGGCCACTCCTCTCCACTCAAGCCCAAGGATTCCGAGAAGCGCGTTTGGCATCAAGCACCATTACTTGTCGACCAAGCGTTCTAGATGCGTATTCTAGTATATTAATACTCGCGTATCCTTCTCTTCTCTGCTTCCCCCTTCTCCTCTCCCTCCCCTCCTCTACCCTCCCAGGATCCCTAATTACATACCCAATCCCCCTCCACCCATCCACCTATCCCAACAACCAACCATGGAAACCCCAAAAGCACAAAGAAAATACCAGCGACCCGCCCGCCGCCCAAAAACGCCAAAGCACCGTACGAAAACCTCAATCCGAAAGACCCTGCCTACCGAGACAGGTAACGTCCGCTCAATGCCTAAACTTGCTGAAAATGACTGCGATGATGAGGAGGACGAGGACCGTGATGATGGCGATGGTGATGATTCGATTGGTAGCCATTCTGCGCCAGGGAAAGGGAGTCGTTAGCAGGTGTCCGGTACATCCGCATTAGAACGGCCACCACGATCTACGCGTGGAGATCAACACCAGGAGAGACAAGATCCAACACAGAAAAAAAGTGAGGGAGCAAAGGCAAAGAGGAATCAACTCACCTTCTCGCCATCCCCCTCAACGTCTTGATACTCCGATCCGCATACCCCTCACTCTCGAGCAGCACCGCCCTAGAATGCACAATCTGCTCCCTCTGCCTCTGCAGATCCCCCAATGTCCCCGCCCCAATCTCCTCCGTCTCGAGCGCAATCCGCTGACTCTCCCTCAACCGCTGACTCGACCGGCCCAAGCGTTCCGTACCAGATAACAACTGCTGCCTCTGCGCGAGTTGCGCGTCCGCCCCGCCCCCAGCTTCCGGGTCGTCCGTATACCGCGACCCGAACAGCGCGCGCCGGTCCGAACTGAGCGACGCCAGTTTGCGCTTCGCCGCATCCACGTCCGACTGGAGGTTGCGGAACCGCGCGTTGACTTTGCTCTTCTGCGGCGCGGGCACGTTGGCCTTTTCCAGCTGCATCTGGCCCAGCAGCTCCGACGCTTCCTCGAGGGCGCGCTCGGCGCGCGAGATGCCGGCTTTGCGGGGCTCGGCCGTTAGGTCCGGGAGCGAGTCGAGTTGTTGCGTCAGGTCGGCGAGGACGAGTTTGAGCTCGGCTTCGTAGGAGATGAAGCGCTCGGTGCCGGCTTCGGAGTCGATAAGGTCGGCCATGGTGGGTGATGGTGCTGTCGGAAGTCGAATTGCTAGACTGCTAGGTACTGGGTGTGTGTGCCTGGGTTCCGAACGTCGAATGCTGACCGTGAACGAAATTCCAAGCGCAAACAGGCTGTAATGAAAGGCGGGAGTGTGTTTGTACCCAACCCAGGGGGGCAAAAGGAAGCGTGGCCGGCTTTGCTATCTCTTAACTGAGAGACGTGTGTGCGTGCCTGGCGGGAGATGGTGAGGCTGGATAAAGAGGTGACGTCCCCAATCTCGGCCGCCAAGCAGGAGGTCAGCCCTACAGGTGGTTCGTATCGGAGGTCACGTGTTATCACTCATTCCTTTCAACAATGATGTTGTGGTGTAAGGTCATTATTGTGATGTAGATGCTGATAAAAATGATCCAAGGGCCCACAATATTTCCGGTAGCAACTCCCAACACCAAACTTATTTTTGGCAGACAATCAAGCATCCCCGATACCAACACCATGACCCATGCATAAAAGATCCATGCTCTCCACGGAGTAGGTGAACAACCCACACCTGAAAAGCAGAAAAAGTGCTTCATCTCCCGAGTCTCAGAAGCGGTGGTTACCGGAGGCCAACTGCTCGATCCAGGTGCTGTCGAGCTTGCCTGATACTGTGTACGGAGTAGATCGGTGGGCAAAGCAGTCATCCTGTATCCAAAAGAGCGGCAATGCTGTGACGAAGAAGACGCATTTATCGATCTATCGGGCATGCCTGTACTCCCTATGCGGGCTCCCTCATAGACCTTCATTTGAATGGTAGATTGAAGCAACCGCAGCATCACTTCCTCCATCCATCTCCCTCCCCCTCATGTTAACGCTTCCACATGCTCTTTTGTCATCCACCTCCAAATCATCACAGACATATTGACATCGGGCACTTGCCAAGAATCCGTGGGTGAACTTGTGCGGCCAGTAAGGGACCATTTTTATCATTTCATAGGATCGCTGCCATTTGTTCCGACCCGTTAAGATGCCCGCAAATCGTAACCTGAATGATCCGAGAAGAAACTCCACCCTTCCACCCAGTTCCCACGCACCACTCTAGACCTCGGCGATTTCACGGAGACGACGGATCGTGGACCTCGTGGCGGCCGCAGCGGGGGTACTAACAAGGAAGTGTGTCAGCTTGACTATTCATCAAATGATTACGGCGATGGCGGGCTCAGAAGGGAGCATTGGTTTAGGGTGGGAGTTGAGGCCATATAACCGATTTCGACTTCGTTTGTTCGAGTGCTAGTATGCGAAGGGCAGTCTTACGAGACGGTGTAGGCGCCACCGGCGGTGGTCTTCTTGCAGGACCGGCATTCCCAGATACCAACGGCCTTTCTCTTGACAGCGTTCTTGCCGCAGAATGTGCATGTGTAACTATCCGTCCTATCAGTCGAGGCCATTCATCCGAATATAGAAGTCAAATTCTCTCGTTCGGAGGCAGGAAGAATTACCGGGCGTGTTGTGAAATCTGTCAAAACGGCGCCATTAGCTTTGGGTTCTCGTGCTGGAAACTGGAGCGGTGCTGCGATTGAGGCAAGCAACGCGACAGAACATACCTCCATCTTCTTCACCTGCTTACGGAGCGAGGCGCCGTAGCGCGTGCCGTATTTACCGGTGATGCCGACCTTCTTGGTGCGCTTCGACATGTTGCTGGTGTTGTCGAGGGGATCTGGAGTTCGGGGTGTCGAAAGTTGAGGTTGGTCGAAAATCCGTGTGGTGTTCTTGCAAAGGCTTGGCGGATCGCTTAAGCGTCGCGGAAGATAATTGTGCCGTTCCGCCCTTCTGGGGGACCTCCTTTATACCATCGCAATCAAACGATTATAAAAGAGTCTCAGAAATAGATGACGGCAACGCATTGATATTAAGATCAACCGTTCGAGCAGTCTGAGCGATGAATTGACAGACCGAAGTGGGATCGAATTCAAATAACCCAGAACCGCATCAATCACTCGTGCACACCCAATAGCAATCCGGATAACCCTCTAATAATAAGGTCCAAAAACCTCAGTAATAAATATAAACAAGTAATGGTTCCCGTCCACCACCCTTATGCTATACCCGGTCGTAAATTCATGGGAATACACATGCCAATACCCAACCACCGCTCTATCAGAGAATGCAAGAGAAGAGGAAGAGATAAAATCCGTGCAATCGTTATGTTCCGTGACGCCAACTGTCCGCCTCCGTATGCGCTTGATACGCGAAGAATGGCTCCGTTCAGCCGAGCTTTTCGCCCAAATATGCCCATGTCTTGCCAATTTACGTCGACTTCCTGGTCGTAGCAACACTCTCATCCAATTGAAAACCTTCGTCTAAAACTTGTCGGTATACCAGTATTGGTCTGGCGGCGGGGTTTATGCACTCCCATTAGTCTCCTGATGCTTTGCCGAGCTGCCCTTTCCTCGCCAGGTACTCACCGCCGGAATATCGGCCTTGAGTCTCTCTTCCTGGGTGGAGTATGCCTTTGGTGTCAACTTGATTAGGGTATGCAGCGGAACTTCCATCCAGGGGCTTTGTTCTTGCGGTACGTTCATGAAGTAGGCGTATATGCAGCGGAGGATCGCCTGGTGCGTTACAATCAGGATATTCTCGCTCCGCTCCAGCTCCATAATGATGGGTTCCAGACGGATGACTACGTCCCGGTACGATTCGCCGCCTAGATACCGGTAGTTGTACTTGTCTTCGTCGCGCTGCCTGAAATCTTCGGGATACTGCTCCTCTATCTCGGCGTAGGTGAGGCCGTCGCAAACACCAGAGTCCAGCTCATCGAGGGCTTTCCACTCGAGTTTCTCGAAGGGAAGGAAGCGTGCAGTTTGGATTGTCCGCTTCAGGGTCGAGGTCCACACGGTCAGTTTGCGCCCATCGCCAACTGATTTGGCGACCAGCCCTGGCAAAGCATGCGCATAGGCTTCGCCACGTTCGGAGAGATCGGCATCTCCTCCTATCTTGCCGGTAAGGTTGTACTGGGATTCGCCGTGCTGCAAACCGTTAGTCTGAATCGTCGACTGAATGACTTGGAGCGAACTTACTCTTGATAACCAGATGGACCTTGGCTTGATATGTAGGTTCATCAAGTAGTAAACGACCCGACTCTGGAGGTAGTCCTGAATCTTGTTGATGATGACTTGCTTTCCGACATCGATCAGCTTGACATAGGTAAGATCGGCCTCGTCCTCATCAATCGTCTGGTACACCTTTTCGTAATTCCGGATGCGGTTGCGGAAATCGGCAGCAGCCACCTCGGGATCCTGTCCAATGTAGTCTGGCGAAGTGGTCTTGACCTCGAGGATATTGCTCATGATCAAGTCTTCGTCGTCACACTTTGATTCGACGAACAAGGCGTGTATGTTTTCCTTGTCACAACGTTCCTGTATCCACCGTCGGCGAGCCTTTGTCGAGTTGGTGGCATCCAATATTGCAATCAAGCCCCTTCCCTCTGCGAACCACTTGCACATGTCATTCACAGCGGCTTCGGCGGCAGCTTTCCGCAGCCGCTCTCCCTCGGGGTTCGACTGGTCGAAGAATTCGGCGGGCGGATTGGGCGTGGCGGTGCGGCGATACTGACCCACATTGAAGGTCTTCGCTTTTATGGACAGCCAGTGTAGGTAGCGGACCACTGCAGGATTATATGAGCGCCAAGTCCCCGACTCAAACCATGAATGACATACCCTTTGTTGCAATGAGACTCTTGCCGCGGGCGGGCAAGCCGACCATGACGACGCATATGCGCGTATCTTCAGCCTGGACGCCGATACCGTTAGTGGTTCTGTGAGGTTTGATCAGATCGCCAGTAGGGACTTTGCGCATATTATGCACAAAAACGCCGTTGGATTCCATGGCCTTGAGTAGTGAGCCTCAGCTCGTCGATATCCGAGGGGTAATCAAAGCTTCCACAGTGGTGCAAGGCCAGGCCAGAGTAGGAAGATGGAGTCTGGATGCAGCTAGGAGGAGCTTCTTGAGAGGTGCCGTGCGCCGTAGTCTATGAAATCCCCAGCGCACAGTATGCAGAAATGGTGCGGAGCGCCGCTGAATCACAGAGAGTTGAACAATTTGGCAGGAAGTTGACAGGAAGTTGACAGGAAGTTGAGGGCAGCGACTATCGGAATGGCGGACGTGGGGTTGCGGAACTGTCTGTGGTTTGGCTCGGCTCTTGTGAAGCGAGGAGAGAGCAGAAAGGTAGACCCCGCATCTAGGTACTCAGAGCTCCGTAGTAGCAAGACGGTGGTGAGGTGGTGAGGTTCTCCTTCGGCTAGTCGAGATCTGGGGTAGGAGTGATTTTCTGAAGAATGTCCAAAAAGGGCAGTCCTGTCCCTTTCTGTGCCCAGGTGGAGTTGCCGGTGCACGTGTGCTTGCAGGTGTTTGGGCAGCGTCCAGCAACCAGCTCGGCTACCAGCTCCGGGAAAAGCCCAAGGTTCAAATAACCAGCTCAGTCCAGGATACGCGCAGAGGATAGAAGACGTTGGCTTCTTGCAGCCGCTCAGAAGGTGTGCAGCGCAAACGGACTTGGGTGAATCGTCGTGCCACGAGTAGGTGTCGTGTGCTGCAGCTGGCGGTGCAAAGGTGACGCCACACGACACCCTCCCAAGACCGACGATTTCCAAACGCAAAGGACCAGGTGGAGTCTTTTTTGGCCAGCAGGTGGTTTTGCCCCCTTTGGCCCCGTTGTGCCCGGGACCTCCCGAATGCCTGTACCAGGCCCATTCATAGGGTGCGAACGGGACCGAGGGATATACTGACTGATGGAACGCGCCGGAGGATTCCAAGGTTCAGACACAGAGATGGCCGAAAACGGACGCCGCGGGGCCCAGTGGAAAGGAATGATAGAAAAGTTTGCATATTAGATGAAGAGTACGCACCGTGGAAATGGAATAATTCCTCGCCCGGGTGAACCCCATTGCGGTTGCAGATGCGCTGGTGCCGGGGCTGTCCGTCATTGTCACCGCTGGAGCGCCGGCCTTGGGGCAATTGCGGGGTTGGAGGCTTGTTGAGGAGGCGGCGCGTTCCCCTCGGGTCCTTTTGCACGTACTGCGAGGTACAGACGCGTATACACGAGCGTGGTTATGTTGTTGATGCAGGTGGTGCTTGATGCGAGGAGGGATGACGAGGAGGGGTCGTCGTCGTCTCGGACGTGCCTGCTGGAATCAATGGATTATTTAAATATTATTCAGGGGGGCTGAGATCGAAGAAAAGCAACCGTCATCACATTGCCTCCTCTGCTTTGTCATGTACATGCTAGTTACTCGCAGCACACAAGATTCCGTGCTCACCCATTGCATTGCTTTGGCGATAGATGATCCATTACTCGGTTCCGTGCTCCTGCCTTATTTACCAAATACTATACGATTCGGGGATATTTTGTTAATGACATTGCCAGCGCCTTCACATCTAAAACTGCGTCGACTATGGGTATATAAAAAACAAACATGCTAACCCCACCAGAACCGAAATCCGCTGCTAACCACACAACCATGAGCCGCCCAGATACCTGTGACATCGTCTGAAATAAATGCCTTCTCAACTCAATCAAGCATGCAACGCTGTCGTTTCGTTCGCTCTTCGTACATCCCCTCCCCTGGTCAGACTCAAGAGTGCTCGACTGGCCTCCAGCCGCTTCTTCAGCGCCTCAGCAGTGCGTTCCTGTCCCCGAGTCCCCAAGCCTTCGTCCACCCATCGGATGGAATGGATCATGAAGCTGAGCCCGTCGTGCGTCGTGCTCTTCCTGCTACTGATCCCATACTCGACGCTCTTCTCATACTGTTCTAGACGAGGCAAAATCAGGAGATCGATATAAAGTTCCATGTCAACTGGCGGCGTCACAGGAGCCGCCGGCTTCTTCATAAGCTGATCCTCGACGTCCGCCGGGTCATTCGGTGCTGTAATTCGAGGGTCCAGCAGCTTCACGTCGACGCTTTCATCCCACTCCCCCCGGATCCACCCAGAGTGTATCGCAACCGCAAGCGGATCCGAGTCATCGCGGTAGACTCCGGCCCCCCAGAGATGCCGTTGCAGGACAATCTGCTGCCTCTGGCGAGACTTCAGATAGTACCGTGGAATTCGGCACGTGACGATGCAGTTGATCGGGTTCCGGTTGAAGGCTGGCAATGGTTTGGGCTTGGACGCAAAGTGGAATACTTCATCCACTGCCGAATTGGGCTTGGGAAGAACAGGCACAGCCTCGTAGAGGTAGGATCCTAGGTGGTGGCGTGGGTACCGTGCCGCTTCATCCAAGACGGGTTTGATATCATGCACTTTCGCGGCGAGCTTGGGCGACGGAAGCTGCACCGGCTGGCTAGCTCGCGGTGCGTGGTGATGGTGGTGCGGTGCGGCGTGATGGTGGTGATGGTGATGTGAAGGGGCTCCATTCAGAGGGAGATTCGGATACCTCGCGCCATTCAAAGGCGTAGTACTCTTTGGTGCCACGTGCAGCGGACCCTCCTCTTCCGCTCGATGAGGGACGTGATGATGGCTATGGTGGTCAGCACTGCCTCGCATAGAACACTCAACAAGCAAAACTTACTGATGTACATAGACATGATGGTGGTGATGATGTCCCGCGTGGCTGCTCTTGTTGCGTTTGGACCCGCGCCCTGAAGGGGTCCCCCTTCCCTCCGCGCCTTCAGTATCCATTCCGCCTTCTTCATCCTTGACCCTCTTGGGTTTCCTGCCATTTTGCGAATTGACTCTCTGAAGTCGCAGGTCAAAGTCCAAAGTAGAGGGCATGTTTTCCGGTCCGCCGTGAGGGCCGTGGGGCATGGGGCTCTGCCTGGACGGCGTGGAGCTGCCGAGTCCACTGCCCAAACCGGAAAACATGCGGCCAAATTCGCTTTTAATACCAGGATCCTTGCCGATGGAAACAGGCTGCGCCTGCGCCCCTTGAACAGCCTGCGGTAGCGGAGATGCACGACCGGTCCTACGGTTTGCTTCAGGCCCGAGAGCCAAGATATGTCTGTTTTGCACCTCATCTCCAATCCTTCTGCCCTGCTCGTAGGGAGTTCGCCCTGGGTAGGCGATTCCCCCGGAAGACAGAGAACGCGTGAGCTGTTCGGACTTCTGGCGCTCATTAGCGTGCGGGTCCGATGTAGGAGGAGCATGATATTGCTCCACGACACGATGATTCAGATGGTCCAGACTCCGACCGCGAACCATTTCCTCGGCAGCATGGTGGCCGTATGGATGGGACCCTTGTGACGGTCCAGAGTAACCTCCATAGCCTCGATACAACGGAGACGGCTCTTCCCGCCGCGTCTCAGTCATTTCGGGCGCGGTAGCCTCCGGTGCGGAATGGCGCCAATGGCTCCGCGGAGATTGAGTCGACGCGGAGGCGGTACGGGAATCACGAGGCGGGCTGAAGACGGCATGCGACAAGGGCTGTACTGTCACCGCACGGTCACGGTCGCCAGAAGCTTGCTGCGAGGGACCTAGTATCTCCGCCACGTTCGGCCTGCTGTGTTGAGCTTCACCGAGCGTGCGTCGACGCTCTTCGAAGGGGCCGTAGGCGTTGCGGCTGCCGCCGCCGCTGCCAAAGGCGCCATAAAGTGACCTCGAACCTTGGGCGACATGGCCTGCAGGTTCTTGTGGCTGGCTACTGGGTCGAGGGGGAGCTCCAGCGGGTGATTCCCGACGACCCCTTGTATGTGCCTCATTTGGCGAAGAACCGTAAGGGCGCGCCTCCTGAAAGACCATGGGCTTGTACGGTTGTGGCGTCTGATGCGATGCGGGGCGACCTTGGTCAGGAGAGCCAAGGGTGTTGTGCGGCCGCGGGGGCGAGCCAGCAGGATAACCATACCCCTCGGATGGTCGTGAAGCAGGGTTGGAGTACATGTGTCGATCGGGAGAAGGTTGTCGCCGGAAAGGCGGCAAGTCTGCTCGGGATACAGACGGAAGGCCTCGTCTAGGTGATGGTGGCTGCATACCACTGGGATGGGATGATGAGGGTGGATTGGTGGGGCCACCAGGAGGTGACGAATGTGACTGTGTGTTATGAGGGGGTGCACCGGTGTCACCAATGCCGATAATGGATGAGATGGACATGCTGCTTCCTGGCCGATGTCCTGGACCTAGCCCGGGCGGATCTCGCGGTCCTCCAAGATTATTTAAGGCGAGAGGCGTGCGCAGCCCCTGGGGAGCATGACTCTGTTGCTGCTGCGGCGAAGCTGGCGGCGGCGGCATGTGTGATCGAGAGAATGGAGGAGGCGGAGGAGGCGGCGGAGGATGATCGTGCGACGGCGGATCTTTGGCGGTCCGTTGAGAGGGCAGCGAGCCTCGTGACGTGGGGAGCTCCCCTCGGAAGGAGCTCGGTGGGCTCGCAGCAGCGCCGGCGGACTGTTTACGATGAGGGTCGTAGCCGTAGAGCGGCTGTCTAGGGACGTTTTGCGCGTTGCTCATGGATGGAGGAGGTGGAGGGCCGGGTTGGTGACCGGGGGGAGGAGGATGGGGAGCATGGTGGTGAGGAGGGTGGGAAGCTTGAGCTCCCTGGACTGTTGCTGCTGAAACGCGACGATCGTCAGTTTAGTGCATGGCAGAAAGCGGACTAGCGGCAAGGACAAGGGTGTTGGGGGATCTGTGCGCGCGGCCAGCGGGATTCCTTCGATGACGAGAAAATGGTTGCGAGATGAGATGGAAAGCTTTCGCTGCCGAGGCACGCGCACACTTGACGTAGCCAAGGGAGCCGCGCCTGGCGAGACGGTGATGCGAACAGGATGCTGGTCGACGTGCTGTAGGATTCGCTAGCCGCAGCGGACCGGCGAACGGGCAACGGGCGACGTGGCTCTCGAAGCGCGGAGAGGAGGGGCTGCAATCCGGCTGTTCCCTTGCCTGGGGACTGTCCGGAAAGAGGACGAACATACCTGTATTTCCCCAACCAGGGCGTCTGTCGTCGGGGTGTTGATGTGGCCCTTCTCCCACGTTGATCCCGTAGCTGCTTCTGCGGGCATGGTGGGCTGTTCCGGGTAGGAAAGGGTCGCGTCGCGGCGAGGGATAGGGATCGGCGGTGAAGGCAGCGTGCACAGTCGGCTGCGGCTGGGACGCAGGAGGGTATCCGGCGAAGGATGGCGGCGGCGGAGGGGGAGGAGGTGCCTGCGACGACTGCGACGACTGCAACGACTGCTGCTGAGGAGGATGGTTCGGGTTGTGTATCAGAGTGCGTTCGGAAGGGGCCCGGGGGTAGGGGTGGGGAGCGCGTGAGTCCATTTCTGTGCTGTTTGCGATTTTTGGTATGGGCAGAGGCAGGAAAGGACAGGCGAGTGGAGGGAGGAGGAAAGGACTTTAGCAGCGGCACTGGAGGGCTGTCATGGTTGCGGGGGGGGCAGAGTGCGGAAGGGTACGGATAGTGGTGTAGGAAGAAGAAAGAGTACTGTTAGGCGGAGCAGAGGAGAAATGCTTGCAGCTCTCGAGGGAAGGAGAGTGAAGAGTGAAGAGAGCAGGTGGGCAAGACCAGCACGACCAGCAGAGCAGACAAGGACCAGCAAGGGCCAGGCCAAGAGACAGGGGGCGGTGAAGGCTGCATGGCCACCAGGAACCATCCCTGCCGCCCTCCGCACCGTTTGAACAAACAAGCGTGAATGATGCTGACTGTTCAATCTTGTCCTGTGGTACAGAGTACAGAAGAGTAACTGGAAGAATGAGAGAGGCTAGATGTGCCTCAGTGAGTGGTCCATTTTATCCGTCATGTCCATCTGTACATGGACATCATTCATCCACGACTCTCTCTCTCTCTCTCTCTCCATCTTTCTCTCATGAGCAAGCGTGAAATTCCTCCAAAATATCCATCGCAGCGGCCGGGGCTCCACCTGGGCACTAGCCGCGCGCATGGACTCAAGCTGGGGACCGCGCCCACCCGACCCGACCTCGGGAACTGCCATTCATCTCCCGAGATCCCGTGACGTCGATACCTCCAGATGTCCCAAGGTCCTTCTTAACCTCAACATTCTATGAGGCAGTTCCACGCCGAGCCACTCTCAAACCCCCAACAAGCTGCCGTCGCTCATGCGGCGTAGCTCCAGCTCACTCATGTAGCTGAGCATCACCGTCAGTCCCCCACAGGAGAATGACCACCTTTCCAATGCCAGGATCTCCTGCTGCCTCTTGGGCTGTCTATCGTGCACGCCTCAAGGCTGCCTTTGCAGGTGCAGACCACCGCGTCTATATCGCCTTTTGGCTCTTTGGTACGCTTTGCCATGTGCTCCACCTCTGCACGTCTAGTCTGACTTCCCAGGCCTCCTCAACAATCTCCTCTACGTCGTCGTGCTCTCCGCTGCCCTCGACCTCGTAGGCCCAGCTGTCCCCAAGGGAGTCGTCCTCCTCGCCGATGTCGTCCCCTCCTTCGTCACTAAACTATGCGCCCCATACTTCATACACCTCATCCCCTACCGTGTTCGCATCTTCATCTTCGTCGCCCTGTCAACATGTGGCATGCTCGTCATTGCCCTGACCCCGCCCCTGCACGACCCTCGCACCATTGCCATCAAGATGTTCGGCGTCATACTCGCCAGCCTTAGCAGCGGAGCCGGAGAGCTCAGTTTTCTGGGACTAACACATTACTATGGCCATTTTGCTTTAGCCGCGTGGGGGAGCGGCACGGGCGGTGCTGGTCTCATTGGTGCTGGCGCCTATGCAATTGCAACCACGACGTTACAGATCAGTGTGCGAACAAGCTTGCTATTCTTCTCTCTTCTCCCTTTCATTATGATCATCAGCTTCTTCCTCATCCTGCCCTTGGGACCCCTTCGCACCTCGTACGCAAAACTCGCTCAATACGAAACCATCGACGAGCCAGAAAGTCAGCATTATCACCCATCGCACTCACAAAGCTCGCCCCAACTCCCCTTGGACGAACCAGAGCACGAAGACCTCCTCTCCTCCATCCGCTCCACCCCGGACTTCACGTCCCTCCCCTCGCGCCAATCCTCCGCCTGGAAAACCTTCAAAGCCAACCTCCGCCGTTCTCGTGGCCTCTTCTTCCCCTTCATGTTCCCCCTCCTCCTCGTCTACATTGCCGAATACACAATCAACCAAGGCGTCGCACCTACCTTACTCTTTCCGCTCGAGTCGAGCCCCTTTGACGAGTACAGGTCGTTTTATTCGACGTACAATGCCATCTATCAAGTCGGCGTCTTCCTATCAAGGTCGTCGACACCCTTCTTCAGAGTGCATCACTTGTATCTGCCGTCTCTGCTGCAGGTGGGGAACTTAATCCTGCTCACCATGCATGCCATGTTCGACTTCATCCCCCACTTTTACATCGTCTGCATCGTCATCTTCTGGGAGGGCCTCCTCGGTGGGCTAGTCTATGTGTGAGTACCCAGACCCATATTTATACCGCTCCACCTTTCCGGATCCGTATCTGTGGATGTTGACTGAGTTGCAGCTCTACCTTTGCCGAGATCCAAGACACGGTCCCCGAGCAGGACCGCGAATTCAGTCTCGCTGCCACCAGCGTCAGCGACTCTGGAGGCATCATGTGCGCGGGCTTCATCAGCATGGCCCTGGAGGTGTGGTTGTGCGGGTGGCAGGTTAGACATGGGCGGCGGTATTGCAAGATGGGCTAGTGAAGAGGGGAAATGGAATGTTAGAAATTTCGACAATTTCGACAAAATCGATACGCTGTCTTTGCGCTGGAGAGCGCGTACCTGGAGAGGCTGAGATGATGATTCTGCGGAAGAGTACCGTTCCCACATTGGCCTGTGTTTGCACGATTGAGAGCCAGCGGCCTATGCTACTTTTCTCCCGCCTGGCTGCCAAGAGGGACCGACGCCGCACGAATCGTCGTCCCTCACGACGAAACACAGACGCAGGAGTTCAGACGTCCTCGGAACGTGGACTGCAACTATGCCGACAATGTCTAGGGTCGATTGTGGTACCTCTGTCTCGTGCGGAGAAAAGAAATCGAGGGAAAGGAAGAGCAAAAAGGGAAAAGGAAGAGGGCTTTGCGATGGTGTCGAACAAGGGATGAAGGGGGAACCAGGGAAGGCAGGTCGTCCTAGGCTCGAACAAGGGGATTGGGAATGAACTTGGGAAGTAGGACTCTCTTTACTCCGCATCAGGGGCAAGCATGGTTGGATTTTATGCTGAAGTCAGTAACCTCGAGTTGCTTGAGAGAGATTATGCTGTCTGGCTGCCGGACCGGCAAATGCGCATGTCTAGGTTCACAAAGTAAATTGTCTTTTCGCCCCTCTCATCCTCCTCAATAGCTACCCTCGAAACATGTAAAATACACATCGTCTAACTCCCCGTACGCTGAAAATGCCATCCAATGCACGCACAAACATCTCTGTCTGCGTATATCTATACATCTTCTACAACGTCTCTCTGAGCAGCTTGTTCATCTTGGCCATCTTGGACGACACAGAGAGGTCAATGGTGCGGTCGCCAATCTCGACAATCAGCCCGCCGCGGATGTCCGGGTTGACCTTGGACACGACCTTGAGCTTCTTGCCCTGGCCGACGTACTGCGATTTGGACACGGCGGATTCGAGGCGGGAGAGTGTTCGGTTGTCGAGGGGCTGAAGTGTTGGTGTTAGACTTGTGCGTACGTAGAGAAACTGTAAGGAGGATAGGAGGGAGGGATGCAGAGGGGTCCGTGGATGCGCAGGGAAACCTACCTGAGCGCTGGTAACAGTCAACTCGACCTCCCCACGGTACGCGCCCATGAGCACAGCAAACTTCTCCACAACCCCCTCCAGCACACCCAACCTGTTGTTCTCCGCCAGCGTGGCGAGGAAGTTCTTGACCACGCCGTCCTTATCCGGGCCAATGTGCTTGCTCAGCTCGGCAACCACCTGCTGCTTGTCCGTCGCGGAGAGCGTAGGCGCAGCCAGCACCTGCGCGAGCTTGGCGTCCTTCTTGAAGACGGAGGCGAGCGTCTCGAGCGACTTGGCCGTGGGCTCGAGGGCGCTGGTTTTCGCGGCGGCGGTGTACTGTGGGGATTGGTTAGATGGTGGTCTTCATCATCGTGTTCGGCCTGACAAGGTGATCAAGGATGGGTGCGGGAAAATATCTCCCAGGTCAATGGAGAATCCACATTGACCCTTTCATCCCGCCAACCCACCCCAATTGAATACTAAAAAATGAGGAATCTCGTACCAGAGCGCTGGCATACGTGCCATCGATGCCGAAGAGAGCGACAGGTGGCTTGGTCGACGTGGTGCTCGGTGCAGCGGCAGCGGCGTAGCTTCGGGCCCATGCGGAGCGGGCAGCGAGGGGAGCGCGGGGCGCTGAGGAGCGCAGAGCGGCGCTGGCGACCCGGCTGGTGTACATCGTGGGTTGGCGGTGATGAATGAGTGCGTAGTTGCGGGAGAGGGTGCGTTGGAGGCTTGCGTACAGAGTAGAGGTGATGTTGAGATCTTTTGCTCGGCAAGCTGGAGGAAGGCTTGGCGGGGTGTCGGGTGCAGGGGAGTGGGTTTGCCGACTCGAAGAGGAACAACACCACATCAGTCGTCATGGAGATCGCAAGAGATATACCGGATTGGCTTTGGAATACCTGTCGTTGGGATTGAGAGGCCTTATAAAGGGCCCAATCGAGCATTTGGTCCCGAAACTCGTTGGACATGCTGAACAAAAGGTCCATAAATCTGACAAGCTAACAGACTCACTCGATGAAGCAGCAATAAACAGCTCTCTAACAGTAGTGTTGAATCCACTATGTACCAACTTCTCTTCTCTGGGGATCGATTTCCCACAAACTCAAGATCACGCTAACACTATGACAGTGAATCTCAGTTGTACTCACCCTTTCACATTTCCAGGCGTCCGGTTCTATCGACCGACCTCATCCTCATTCATCCTACACAGCGCTCAACGTCTCACAAATCACCCTTATCTGACACCGTCAAAGCCATGCAGGTATCGGTGAAGCCTAGCTACAAATGTGTGACTCTACCAGCCGAAGTCTACTTCACCTTCACTTTCCCGTCCATATATCAGTGCCTCCCACCCTCCATGACTCCCCCTTCACGCCTACGATCCTCCCCATAGCATCTCAGCATCGTCAGTTCTTTCTTCGCATTCTTGAAGATAAACAGCAGGATCATCTACAATGGCAACTTGCGAGGCACCATCTACTCCCCCACGTCTCCGAACCCCGGATGCAGTAGAGCAGCAGCCGCAGTTGTTGACCCCTCCACTGACCGGAGGCTTCAAGAAGCATGTTCGCTTCCTCGACGAGCTCAATGACCGGGTCACCAAGAACTACATTGGCGGCAAGCAGCTCCAACCAGGCTACCTCTCGCCAGTCTACAAGACCTCGGTCCCTGGAATCGACGCTCCTCCCAGCACTCCGTCCGCCGAAACCTCAGCAGCTGCCAACGCCTCCAGAGCCAACGTCGAGGCTCAGGGTGAAGCCGAAATCGAGAACAGCCAACCCTTCCCCTTCATGCTTCTCCCCCTCCATATCCGCACCCGCATCTACACCCTCCTCCTCACCGTCCCCGGCCTCCTCTGCGCCCGCCAAAACCGCACTCCAGGCTCCTACGCCACAGGCGCCTACATCGGCTGCGACGAGCGCCACCTTCTTCCCGGAATCTCCTTCGTCCTGCACCAGCACGCCGTCGATGGCATGAAATCTCGCTTCTCCCGCGCTCCTTACACCAACGTCGCGATCCTAAGGACCAGTAGCGAAGTCTATGCCGAAGCGAGGGAGATTCTGTATGCCGGGAATGAGTGGGAGATGGCTAATTTGACGCGCGAGACAGCACCCCCGGTCGACTATGGTGTTAAGCTGTTTCCGCCGGGCGTGAGCAGGATGGTGCGTCGCATTACCCTGAAGGCCAGGGCGCTGTATGGGTTTAGGTATATCCTGCGAGAGGGAGGGTATGCCAAACTGAAGAACGTGTATCGTGGGTTGGAGCAGTTGACGCTTGTGCTGGAGGTGGAGAACTTGAACAAGGGCATTGGGAGGAAGCTGGGGAGGGCCGACGGGGACGAGGTGTGGGAGGTATATGTGCAGCGCGTGAAGAAGGTCATGGAGCGGGAGATCTTTGATGGGCAGGGGTCGAGGAAGGCGATTCCGGGGTGGATTGCGTTCAAGGTGATGTTCCCTGGGGACGTGTTTGGGGAAGAGGAGAAAGGGGAGGATGAAGAAGAGTGGAACAAGTGGACGACGAAGAAGGCTGCGAAGGAGGCGTTTGAGCTCTTCAAGAAGGCTACTGCTGCTTGATGGTGTGCTGCGCACTCCTCCGCGTATCGGTCACCGTTCTTCATACGCACGAGCCCGGGGAACATTATGGATATACGGCGTACAGCATGATGCGCAATATGAGGAGGACTCTACATGGAGGCACAGGGAATTCAGAAAGCTCCCCGTCAATCTCGACTTCTGTTATCCTACTCGAACAGTCGCGTGGAAATTGATGGGGTTGCTATGGGGCCAGGTGGTACCGACAGGTTTCTTTCTTTTCTAGTATACTTAAGAGAGTTTGTGACTTGAAAGCGTCTTCTGGTTATATAAGTGTACATTGCGCAGTGGGTGGAAGGCTCAACGCGGAACAAATGGATCTCTGCAATGAAACGTTTTCATGACGAATGTGCGTTAACTTCATCTTCCACAATGGTGGCCTGGAAAAACGTAAGGAGCACGTAAGGCGATGACCTTTGCCCTGCCAGGTGCAATATTTATCCTATCAAAAGTCAAACATGAAGGGACTTGTGCGAAGAAATCCCATGACCGAATGCGTCCCATCATGCAAAAGTGATTAACGCATAATTTCATAGCAAGTCGTGGTATCTAAAGAAGTGGCATTATCCTGCCAGGTTCATTCATGGCATTGGATCTATGACCAGATACACGAATGAACACCCATTTTGACCCGACCGATGCCCCAAAGAATTGCCCGATATCCTCGTCCCCGCCTTTAGTGCTTCCTGAGCAGACGCTGGTAGAAAGCGAGCTCATCACCTTCAAGGATGTAGCCATCAACACGACCGCTCTGGCCGGGCCTGGAGGAGACAACGGCGTACAGACGACCAGCCTCGAACTGCTTCTCCAACGCGCTCTCAACCTTTCCAGAGGCCTTGAAGCGTTCCGCCTGCTTCTTCTCGACAGCGTTGGACTTCTTCTTCTCCTCCTCTTTCTCGGCACCCTTGGCCTGCTTCTTGCGACCGAGAGGCTGGCCGTAGTGGGCCTCGAACCATTGCCTGAACGGAGCAGCGTCAATCTGGACGACAGCGGACTTGGTGAGGGTGTTCGTGCGGACGAGCTCGTTGTTGGAGGGGTGGTAGACGACAGCAATCACGCGGGTCTTCTTGGCGATGCCCTCGGAGCCCCAGGAGTAGTTGCCCGAGTCGAGACGAAGAGCGCGGAATTTGCGGTTGCCGCCACGGGTGCGGACAAGATGGATACGCTTTGGTCCAATACGGGTATTGGACGGCTGGCGACCCTTCTCGAAAGCCCTAAAGTCATGTTAGACATGACTTGTAGAAGCGATCGGGTTATGCATACCTCTTCTTGCGATAGTATGCGCGCTTCGCGCCAGAGGCGGAGCGTTTGTGGCGAGAGTCTCTGGAGATACTGCACGTTGTCAGCGGCCGTCATGAGTGAAGAAGGTGAAGTAAGTGCGAATATACCCCATGATTGCGTTTGGTCAGAAGACTTCTGTACAAATCTGTCAGCACGGTTCCGTATGACCCCATCAGATATCCCTCCAAAGTGAGAGCCATGCGCTTGAAGGATGCCAGTATGTTTCCTGATCCTCCCCACAACTCCGAAGCTTTTCTCGACAATCGTAGGCGATCGGTTCGGATGATTCGATAATTGCATCGGAGGTAGCGGAAGGTTCAAGGAAACGCGCTGCAGTTCCTCGGACGGCGTAGCCATCGCAATGGCAGGAAAAATTGATCCATCGTTGTACTGACCTTGATATGGGTGTCTTCTGGGCAATCCTTTTTGTCGTCGGGGTTGTGGAGGTCGCGGTTGAGGGCAAGTCTGTGATCGGTCGTCGAAATTCAGAAGTGGCCCAGCTAAGCGAGCCACTTTTGGCACTAGTGAATCTTGGCATTAGACCCGTAGTTCGAGGAGGACATTGCTCCCCAGGGCCGTACCCAAGTTTACCATGACCGGGAACTTCGCACCAGGCTCTTCTCCAAGATGTCTTGATGCTTCTCTGCCTATTATTCCTACGGTGATGTTGAGGCCTCTTGGATGGCTCCAGGCCGAACTTTGGAAGGTTGTTTACTATCGTCCCGTCCAACGGTTACTCCGACTTCATCAGGCACTTCCTCCACTTTTTACCTTTACCCTAAACCTTTGTATCAATCGGATATCCCCATTGTTATTCTGTCCTTCCCCATTCACTCTTTACTCTCTGTTTATATCGTGGTACATCTGCCGAAATGCATCACTTCTCGGCATCACACGAGTACAAACTGGGCAACTGCATACTGACCTTGCACAGAACTACCTCGGCGACCTCTCAATCCCGGAAACGGTCAACAAGACGCACTCTTCTACGTAAGCCTCAGTGATACCAATACTTGTGTGCAAGCGCCTATTCCTATCAAATTCAGCGTTGGCAACCTGCATCGAGAGGCTCGAACTGGGGACGCTGCAGTATCCGTGCCTCTCGTTTCTGTCCCTATAGCAGAAAAGCAGTGTCAGCCTTTACCACTGCGAAATCTGCTCATCATGTATGCATACTTTGTCTTGGGCGGGACGGAAGAGATATACCACAATGCGCACCCCATGCGGCCAAGTGTTCTCTCTATCACCCGAGCGCTCGAGTGCTTGACAATTTCAACATGGACTCTCCGGATAAGATCCCAATCGCTCGTTAAACATAAATACCTCTGGAGCTGCAGGTGTACGACGACTGGATCGAAGACTAATCAATGCGATGGATGCCACGACAAAGTGGCTCATTCCAAATCCTCACGATTCTTCCAGTATTGACGCTTGTATACCCCGAACAGTGAGCACGTTTCTGGTGGGATTCTCGATGCATCATCTCAAGCTGCAGGGTCATATGATGCCGTTGACGACGGCAATTATTGGCTCATGGTGGAGCGGCTGATTGACAGAACCCTGGCACGGCCCGCAGCCCCGGCTATAACTGTGAACTGTATGGCCTCCAGAAGCCACAGGCCGAAGTTCACTCAAGACAAGGAAATGGTTTGGAGATTTCCCTTGTTGAGGTGCGCCAGATCGCATGGCCCTGCTAGATGCCAGGTTGGGCACCAGCGCGGCGCTTCCTTGAACAGATATGTGTTGTGCTCATCCGCCCGAACACATTTGAAGAGGTAGAGTTGATCGCACTGATGCAGTGGATCCTACCACCCGCCGCCCTCGAAGGATTCAATACTTTGTACTGCGGCCGGAGACCCCGTTTGGCCAAATATTCCTGCTTGTTGCCCGCTCCCCTGTGTATCCAAACCGCTGGAGATGTTCTCATGGCTGGCCGCTCCTGTGGTATACTCCCGGGCCAGGATTCGGCAGCGGTAGAAGGGCCAGGTTCACTGCGACTAACCAGTTGACGTATCGCAAGCCATCATTGTTCGCGTACAATTTACCCCGTACAACGGGCAATCCCCAATGGGCATAGACACCCCGCCAAATGCTTATGCCAACCTAATCAACGGCAATCTATAATTTCTATATAATAGACTTCTCGACTATCTCTCATTCAACAGCCGCAGTGTCTTGATTGCGGCGGGAGCTTCGCGGAGAATTCTCGTCCAATGTACTTTGATTGCGTTTCATGGCCTTCATAATCCCAGGACATCAGGTACGGTTAATCGTAATTCCTCACTACCCAAGCCCCAAAACGCGTGTTCGTTCTTTTTGATATTCTCTTCTCCTTTGTCATAGCAGATCTGTACCCTCTCGCCACCATCATCATGTCTTCCACTCATCAGAAGAGGAGGAGTAATGCTTTACCTTTTCTATGCCGCACACTATGTATATGGGCAATATGTGCCCAAACGGGTGCTACTCTTCCACAAGCTGGTATGCCGTTTCGCGCTGTTTTGGGCCTTCTTGGGAATCCCGCTCACGTATGACTTAGCAACAAACAGTGGCGCATCACCAGATAGCACTTCAACCGAACTCGCACTTGTACCACGTATGAAAGCCCGTAGCTCGCCATTCAAGAGCTACCTGAACTGACCATGTGCCGCTTTCGAACAAACAGAACTATCCCCGACCAATCTGATATCTTCACAACGGCCTCCTGGTTTAATACCTTCGCAAAATCCTCCGGGCCTGATACCATCACAGAGACCACCCGGGCTAATACCCTCACAAGTCCCTGCAGAGTCGATATCCTCTGAGCTTGTGTCAGTCGCAATTCCCTCGCAGGTTCCATCCGGAATCATTGCATCACAGTCGCCTCCAGATATAATCCCATCACAGTCTCCAACAGCTATTATCTCAACGCAAGAACCAGGTTTGATACCGTCGAAGGCCCCGAGCGGTCTAATCCCATCGGGTTTAATCCCATCTGGCACACCACAATCCGGAATAATACCGTCGCAAAGCGGAATCATTCCCACGCTCATTGCAACGTCGGCGGTAGGCACCGCTTCAGGGGCTCCCAATGTTTCCCTGACACCCATGCCATCATGGTCGACGGATGAACCCCTTAGGCCCATACCAGCGCCAACCACGGCGCCGGGCGATCCTAACGGACATCATGAGATACCGGAGCCCGGTTTCAGTATAACGGGCCCGTGCAGAGGCTGCTCGCCAGTGATAGAGATAACTGCCACAGGCTTTGATGACGTGCCTCCGTCGCCAATTGCCGAACATGAAGGGCCTTCCTCGCCGTTAGGTCCTGCAGAGCCTCCCAAAGCTACCATTACAATAGGACCTTCCCCAATCATTGTCAGCCAGGAGCCGACTGGGTCGAATTTCATCATCGACAAATCCACAACAGTAACGCCCGGCCAGACCATTACGCTAGACAAAACACCCGTTGTAATCCAAACCTCTGCTGGCAGAACCGAAGTCATCGTCGTAGCTCCCACAGGCACAAACACCATTCCACTGACACCGAGCAACCCGGAACCCTTCCGACAGATCATAACCGACCGGCCACTCCTCTCCCCAATCACCATTGGAACGCGAACCATCACCGCGAATCCAGCGTCACAATACGTCCTTGACGGTCAAACCCTGCTGCCAGGCGGGCCGGCCCTCACGGTCGACGGAACCACCCTCTCGCTCCTCCCCTCCGCAACCGCAATCGTCGTTAACGACGTCACCTCGACCCTTAGCCAGATCTACGGCGCCGTTTTCACGACCACCGCCGCGCCCCTACTCACGCTCAACAACGAGATCTACACCGCAAATCGTGCCGGATACTTCGTCCTCGCGCCGGGTACCACGCTCATTCCCGGCGGACCGGCAGTGACCATTTCAGGCACGACGATAAGTTTGGTACCGAAGGGCACTGCGGCCATCATCCAGGGGTCGACGAGCTTCATTGAGCCCGTGACTACGGTGGTGACATTGACCAGAGGAGGTGGCAATTATGTGGGCAGTGGAAACGTCGTGACGTCCATTATACCAGCAAATCCACCGCAGTCGACGAGTAAGCGTGGAGCGGCTGGGACTGTGAGTGTGCCGATGAGTGCTGGGACCGAGGGCTGGCTGGAGGGACTGCTTTTGCTCGTTATGATGGGATTTGGCGGGTTGGCTGCTTGGCTGTGAAGTCAAAATAGTTTGGGAAAGAAAGTGCAGTGGGGTGCTTGACATGAGTATATATGTATTATGAGGATACCCTTATGGCGTTTCGAGGAAAACATGGGGGGTAAATGGCGTTGGAACGGATTTGGAATAGGATGAGCTTCATGGAGATAGCATAATATTGGCTATGTCTTCGATATCCAAATTTCGCATTCTTTGGGAATGCCCATATCGCCTTGACCTTATGCCCCAGATGCGCAACCAATCTATAAACCAACCCAAACGCCGAATATGCACAACAGCCCCTCCAACGCACAACAGTCTATCCCGTAATCTCAATCTCCGCCGCCCTAACGTGCTCCTTGGTCGTCCTCCCCAGCCCCTCCTTCGCATAAAAATCCATCGGATACAGATTCCTCCCCTCCCTCCTCAACCGTTCCCCTTCCCCCTCCCTCTCCTCCAACCACGGCGCCTCCCTCACCCCCAAAGCAACAAGCGCCTCGTACGGACTCAACAGCGGCCTCGGAAACGCATACCCCCAATCGATACTCAACCTGGGACACGCAATCTGCACCCACGCCTCTACATCATCCATCATAGCCAGTTTTCCCGGGAAGATTTCCGACAACAGGAGGTTGATGCATTTTATTCCCCGACGCCTGAGTTCGTTCTCGATGAGCGTGAGGGTGTGCGGATTTCCCTGGCGACCTAGCGAGCCCAGGATGATGCCCCAGGTGCGCGCCTTTCTCGCAGTGAGGATCGCGGTCCGGCGGAGCGAGTACAGCGATTCGTGCTCGTAGGTTTCGTGCGTGAGGCGTCGCGAGTACGGGTCGTAGCGGTATGCGGGTAAGGAAGGGTTGGCGATCATGGCGCTTTCGAGGTGGAAGCGGCCGTCGCCTAGGTAGAGGAGGAGATCGGGGACGACGTCCTCTTTGCCTTTGGAGCTGAGTTGGCCCGGCTTGATGGGCAAAGAGGGTGAGGTGCAGCCTAGGATCTCGCCTTTGGATAAGGGCGCGATTTGAGGGACGATCGGGGTGTAGCCTTCACGGCGGAGGAGGGGGACGATGCCGTGGATGGTGGCGTTGAATTGGATGGTTCCTACCAACGCTATGGTCTTGCCCGTGGGGAAGTTTTGCGTTATGGTGTTGAGGAGGTGCTGGGTGTCGATGGTGATGGAGACGAAGATGTAGAGCGTGGCGATTTTGGTGACGGCGACGGGGATGAGGCAGCTGTGCGCGTAGTGGATGAGCAGATCGCAGCCCAGGGCTCTTGCGGTGAAGTCGTCGATGCAGCAGGCGCCGTAGGTTACGTCGCCCATTATCAGGGTGGAGATGCCGGGACAGAAGCGGGTGAGGATGTCGGAGATGGTGGTTGCGAAGAGGAGGAGACCCTCGGGGAATTGGAGAGTGACATTTTTCGCGCCAGAAGTTCGTATCCTGTGTATGCATTTGTGGATCTCGAAGTTGTAGTTCGGTGGGAGGAGAGCGATGGCATCGTTGATGTCTTGATCGTGGAGGATGGATTCGGGGATTGTATTCAAGGCTCGAGCGGTTCGACGAGGTTGTGGAGCTGCAGAACAGGAATGAATTAGTTTAGCTCTCTTCATAGTGGGCGACAACTTCCGGGAGTCTCACACCTTGTACTGCAGTGCTGTCCTCGATGTTGGTGTTGGGGTCTGTCGGCGAAGTCGTCGCCTTCTCCGCTGTCTTCCTGCCCACGAAGCGGCGCTTTGGTTGTCTCGGGACCACCGGGGGCTCGCCAACTAAGCCATCTTCGGCCGACGGTCCTAGGTTCGTTGCTGCTCTGTCTTCCTCCATGTTGGGTGTGTTGTGAGTTGCGGTGGTTCTGGCGTTGTACGGAACGTGGGGTTACAAAAAGTTCCCACGTTCCCCGCCACAAAACCCAACACCACCACAAATCAACCTCGATTCGAGGACGCAGCAACTATAACCAGCTGGAAGAACTAAGTAACCCTTCCATCCGCCGCACGCTGTTTTGTGTCAAATCAATCAGTTTCGTGCAGAGATTCAGCGACGACAGCATCAAGTCCCGTCGAAACTGGAGGAACTGCCCTAGGGTAGCGGGTATGGTAACGAGTACAGCTTCTAATGACCGACTAGAAATCTATATATCAACTAGTTTCCGACCTTCTTACAGAAGACTTCCGCGGTTATGGTGACGTCCAACAACTGTATCGTGGCAGAATGGGAGTGTGTATAGTATAGATGAGGCAGGCTGTAGGTTGAGACATACCAATCCGCTGTCACGACAAAGGGAACATTCCGCTATCGAGCAATACGGCATGATGGAATGCACGTTAGTTACGGACATTATCTTAACCCTGAAAGCCTAATCCTCGTAAGATTTACCGGATAATGACTTCCCATTGACACCACAGGCAGAAGGCGTGCCGGCTGCTAGGATCTGCTAAGCAAAACCGGCCGTCGAAATGCTTCTTTCTGATGATCATCACGCCATGCTCCACCATCTTCATGTCATGTCGACGAAGGTGAATTCTCCCAAGAAGAGGGCAAGAAGCTCGAGCTCCTCTCCTGTTGCGTGGGTATTTTACAAGAACCGCGATTAGCACTTAGACGCCCGATGCAGGGCCACGAACGTAGATTGAGACCAGTTAGGTCCGAACCACAAACGAAATCAAGAAACCTCTTCAACCATCCTGCCCCCATACGGCCGATTCGATGGTTTGGCGATATCTCCGGCGAACATGCTGCCTACAGGAGCTTGCATCCACTCTTCGGGAACACCCATACGAGCTCCGGAAGCGTTCTGTATATAGCGAACATAGAGGGGATTGGGCTTCTCGCGTTCAGGCTCTTCCTCATTCTCGGAGGGTACAATCTCCTGAATGGCCTTTCGTCCGCGTTTCGGAGGCTGCTTCTTGAGTAGGCGGTTGATCGTGTCCATCTATGAATGTTAATATATGTTACAATCTGTAGCCACTCTAGGTTCGTAGAATGAGCCCACCTTTTCTTCTTCGTTTCGCTTTTCACTGAGATTCTTCCGTCGACGTGCCATCTCTGCACGGCGGATAGCGTGCTCTTCAGCTGTGAGATGTTTCTTCTTCTGAGCCTCTGTGGTTGCTGTTAGCAAAGATCGTAACACACGGAAGTAACGTCTTGTACGCACCGTTAGATAAGGCCATCAAACCAATGTCGCTGTCCTCTATGTGCATGGCCCGTTGCCGCCGTGTCAACTTGCTGAGATCAGGTGTCTGGTCCCGACTCTCGTCTTCGCTCTCCATACCCTCATCTTCATCCTCCTCTTCATTCTGATCCATCGGTTCCTCATCCTCCTCATCTTCGGCATCCTCATCCTCGCCCTCTTCTTCTTCTTCATCCTCCTCCTCTTCCACCTCTTCTTCCGACTCCGGTTCAGAGAGCTCCTCGTCATCGTCGTCGTCGTCTGCCATGACCATCTCCTTAGCCTCCACAGAGTCCTGCGGTTTACTGATGCTGGGCTTGCGCACTCCGTGATTGTTTGTGGCAACGATACGCGGCGCTGGTGTCACATCGTCGTCATCTTCTTCGCCTTCTGCATCGACATCCTCCTCATCGTCCTCGCCTTCGGCGTCTTCCTCTTCCTCTTCTTCTTCCTCCTCCTCATCTACATCCATAGCCTCAGCTTCCTCGACCTCTTCCTCCTCATCCTCACTCTCGACCTCGCGTACGACCCGGCTTGTCCGGGCGCGTTTCCCGGAAACGATATTCTCCGCGCTTACTGCGGTTTTGGAGGTGGCGCCACCCGTTGCCTTTCTCAGTTTATTCGGCGAAGCTTTAATTGTGAGATATATGGACTGGCGAGGATGCTCGGGGGACGAACGTTCTATAACGGCTGCTGGCGGAGGCTGGGTCGCAGTTCCCCGCCTCGGGCGAGTCGTGGTAGCTGTCGGGACAGCACTGCGAGCTGTTAGATTGGCGCGCGAACGCAGTCGAGGCATGGTAGCGGTATGGTTTGTATGGAGGCGAGCGGTTTATTTCAGAAGGCACGGATGTAGTAATCTCGAGTCGAGAAAAGGCGGGAGGATTGCGACCGTGTGGCACAGGTTGTAGGGGAGGGGTGACGTGAAGGGGGTGCGGGTGTCGATTGCAGCGCGGTTGTTGGCGAAAGCTTGCAACCGCTTGTACAACGGGTCGTACTTGGCGACCAATGTGAAGGGTCTCGTGTCAGCCACATACCTGCTCTGATAGCTGATGTCTTTGACGTCCGCTCCATCATTATAGTCGTCGGAATCGGAGCTGATGCGCCGTAAGCGTTTCGCCGCACGATCTGCCATTGGAGGCGTCTTGAGGAAAATTAAAATGCGGAACAAATCAGATTAATAGAAGGATGCAATGCACATGAAATAATACAAGATGCGATACGCGCGACGGAGACTTGTTGGCGGAGGTTTGCTTGGTCGCTTCCGCTCCGCTCAGACCTCCGGAGCTGCCCAGTGGATTCGCTCGCGCCCGCAATCTAAGCCAAGCCTAACAGAGACTAGTGCCCGCTGGAACTCATCAACCTCGGCCTCGGTTCATCAGCCCAATATGACAATGAACCTCCCGCTCCCACAGGTGCTGGCACTTCTCCTTAACTTTACGTTCCCAGACTCCTTTCCGCTTCTTTTCTGTTTTACAAATGGCGACCAAATCTGGAATACCGTCGTGGCAGCGCGCAACATCCTCACAATCCTCACCGACCGGCGTAGAATCAACGTCCAAGCCCGAACAGAGCCAGCCAGAAAAGCAGTCAACATCGCCCCCGACCACCGGAACGGAAAACGCTTCCCAAACGGATGCTCAGCCAGATAACCAAACTTTACTAAAACAAGCATCCCGCTTCTTGGAAGACCCAGCGATTCGAGATGCCCCTCGAGAGAAGAAGGTCGCATTCCTGGAATCCAGGGGAGTAAAAGCGGACGACATAGAAACTCTCCTGGCACCAGCAAAGACTGAAAATAAGGAAGAAAGTCCCGAAGGTGCAAAAGAGGGTGTACTCGCGATGTCTCAGGTAATTTGCCGTTCGACCCCAACGATCATCACTGCTTACCAGTCAAAGACTTCACAAACCTCGGCGAAACCGAAACCTGACGCTCCGAAACCTCGCGACATCCCTCCAATTGTCACATACCCCGAGTTCCTTGCTCAACCCGCCAAGCCACCGCCTCTCATTACTACCGAACGCCTTCTCAACACTGCATATATAACCGGAGGACTAATGGCCACCATGTATGGTCTCTCGAAATACATAATAGCGCCGATGGCACAAACTTTGGCGGAAGCACGGCATGACTTCGCTTCTCACACCAAGGAGAAACTGGACGACTTGAACTCAAAACTGCGCGACGTAGTTACAGTAGACCCCGCAACGAAGCCCAAGTCTTCCATTGAAATCGTGGACGACATGTCTGAAACCGACTCCGACCCCACCGAGCTCTTCCACCGCGACGTTGGCACCCAGACTACTCCTACCCTATCTCGACGGCCGTCGAGAGTGGAATCGCCGGAAGATGATACCAGCACGGTCGTCTCGCAGGAACGGCGGTTAAAGATCCTGAAATCACATTTGGAGGAGATTGAGGATGCGCGGAAAAGGAACACAACATCCTCTGATGCACTCAGGACAAAGCTGTCCGACTTGTCAAGCTATCTTACCGAGATGAGCTATCAGAACCAGTACTACTCAGGAATGGGTGGGCTATATGGAGGAACATACGGGCTTCCCAGGATGAAGGATGGGAAGGAGGATCAGGTCGAAGTGTTGAAAGCAGATATTAGAGCAGTAAAGGGGGTTTTGCTGAGCGCGAGGATGTTCCCTCCTGCAGGACTGAGACCGGCAGGCAGATTGGGGAGCTAGTTGTGCCTTCTTGGTCGCTTTGGATATCGCATCTTCCTCTAGGTATTTGAGCGCCTGTGTTATTATTCGGAGGTTGGGCTGTAAAACAGCGGCCGGGGAAGATCTACGCATGAATTCAGTAGATCTCATGAAAGCACATTATGCTCAGGCGACGAAGCAGCTTATGTTGCGAAGGACGAAGTCATCCAGTCATCCCAACCAGGAGTTCAACTGTGCTTCTGCAGAGAATGGCTCTATTATATCCATGGATACATATAACGCTCATACCTAGGCGCCGGGATCCAACCAAAAGCGGCTAGTCTTTCCGCACCCCCTCCCGGTCCGCCATTCCCCAGCTACGTCATTTCATGAAGTTCAGATGATAGAGACACATTCTAATACTCAACGTCCAGATAGAACTGTGTTATACAGGACCCCCATAAGCTGATATTGAAGCTTATCCAATGGCTTCGAGCTTAACTTCACATCTCCCCTTCGGCGCCTCTCAATCATCGCCCCATTCCTCCAAAGATGATGAAACATCTCTCACAACACTGCTATCTGCAGACCAATGCGCTGATCTAACCTTTCTGATCGCGACTGTGATTGCGACGATGCGGAAATCTCTGCTTGATACATTCACCGCAGAAGAACTCCCCAGTCCCGAGAGTGCAGCTAGGTCCGAGGAAGAAGCATTAGGGGCCGCACCCAGCAATGCAGCAGAAGCAGACGTCGAGAAGGAGGAGAAACTGAGGAAAGAGAGGGAAGAACGAGAAGAAGATGCTCGGAGAGAACTAGCGAGACCGGAAGTCCAGGAACTAAAGAGAGAGATGTTGAAGTACTTCGACGAATGGCGCGGAAGCGTCATCAGACGCATAGGCGAAGTAGTGAATAAGCGCGAAGAAGCGACAGAGCAGAGTAGGGCTGTTTCAGAAAAGAAGGTGGAGGAGGCAGCTCAGAGGCAAGAGACGGGGATGACAAGTCTTTCTGATGTGGAGGGGAAGAAGGAGACTGAGGATGCGATGTTCAGCGAGTTGTATCCTCCGTTTGAGACGGAGTTGGTGCGGTTGGAGGAGAGAAAGAGGGCGCTGATTTTGCACTCTCTGGTGCTGATCCTGCTAAGTCTGGTACGTCAATGTTGGGATGGCGCTAAGTAATGGAAGCTTGACTGACCTAAGAGTGCAGGAACACTATTCAGGGCATTCTCGAATCCTACTCCTACAGCTGACCAGCTCCCTGCACCTCCGTCTCAGCGTCTTGAAGAAAGACGAAGAAGCCGTTGCCAAAGGGCTCCTCGAAGCTGCCCACCAGCAAATGAACGCCGATGCCGAGACCAAGAGGGCCGCCGAAGCTTCCTCAACAGCTCGAAAATGGAAAGTAGGTCTCGCCTCAGTAGCTGGTGCCGCACTCATCGGCGTAACTGGAGGTCTTGCCGCTCCAGTACTAGCAGCAGGCGTTGGCACCGTGATGGGTGGCTTAGGCTTAGGCGCAACCGCAGCAGCAGGCTATCTCGGCACCCTCGCCAGTTCCTCCGTTCTCGTCGGCGGTCTCTTCGGCGCATATGGCGCTCGCATGACAGGCCGAGCAATGGACGACTACGCACGGGAAGTCGAAGATTTTTGCTTCATCCCCATCCACCAGCACCATCGACCTAGGAAAGTCGAGAAAGAGTTCCGTCGCTTAAGGGTCGCCATTGCGATATCAGGATGGCTGACTTCGAAAGAAGAAGTCGTCTCGCCGTGGCGTTACATCGACTCGTCCATCGAAGGCTTCGCGCTACGCTACGAACTCGAAGCCATGCTCAAACTCGGCAATTCCATGGAAACCTTCGTGAAGAGCTATGCATGGAACTACACTAAAGGGCAAATCATCAAAAGGACCGTCTTCAGAGCCTTATACGCCGGTCTCTGGCCCCTGTCCCTCCTGAAAGTAGCCTCTGTCCTGGACAACCCTTTCTCCGTAGCAAAGTACCGCGCGGACAAAGCCGGCGAAGTCCTCGCCGAAGCCCTTATCAATAAAGTACAAGGCGAGCGGCCGGTCACGCTCGTAGGCTACTCCCTCGGTGCTCGCCTCATTTTCTCCTGTTTGCAAACGCTAGCGAGACGGAAGGCATTCGGATTGGTCGAACACGTAGCACTGCTGGGTGCGCCCGCGCCATCGGATGCACTGGATTGGAGGAGGGTTAGGAGTGTGGTGTCTGGACGTGTGGTTAACGTGTTCTCCACGAACGATTACATCCTCGCTTTCCTGTATCGTACGTCGAGTATTCAACTTGGGGTTGCCGGGTTGCAGCCAGTGCTTGGGGTGCATGGTGTGCAGAATGTGGATGTTTCTGAGGTGGTTAGTGGACATTTGCGCTATCGGTATCTCACCGGGTCGATACTGAAGAAAATCGGCTTTGAAGATATTGACCTTGACGAGGTTGAGCGAGAGGAAGGCGAGATGAGGGTTATGGAGGAGATTGAAAAGCATGAGAGCGAGAGGCATGAGAAAGGGGTGAAGAGTGAAGAGGAGCAGAAAAAAGAGATGGAGGAGGAAGTGCGGAGGAAGAATGATCGGACTATTATGGAGTGGGCGATGGAGAAGACTAATATTGGGGGAATATGGGGAGGGAAAGAGGGAGGGAAAGATGACAACGAGGTAGGGCAGACGGCGACCAAGCAGGATTGAGGACGGATATCAGAGTCAGCTACCATTGGTTCTGTATACCAGACGGCGTAGATTGGGGGGTGGAAAACGAGATCATACGCTTTTCCATTACCATTTAGCTTCATATAGCGGCAAGAGACGGAGGGGAAACGGGTACTGCGCTGCGAGATGAACCATATCTTGCTGGAGAAGACGTCAAAGCCTCTTCGCGAGCAACTACCTCACGTTGAACGTGCGGCTGGCTTCTTGCATGAAGTCTTACTGCTTCGTACCCCAACCAGGCACCGGTTTCTATCATAATCATACCGCTGACAGCCACTGCCCCCGTAACCAGATAAGCCCACCCGCACTCTTTCCTTCACTACGAGAAATCCTCGGTCTGCTCCTCAATCCCACTCTTAATCCTCAACAACAGCGTCGTCTTCCACTTATCCAACTTGCTCAACTGATCGTACTGGAACAGCTTATCGGAAAACATCTCCTGGTCACCGTCCTGAACCGCCTGCGCAAGGTCAACGAGCAATTGGTGCTCGCGCTGCTGCGTGAAGCTGGGATCCATGTCTCGGTATCGCTCCATGGCGTTGTTAACGCCGACCATGTCGCCTGTGCAGAGCTGACAGATGCCTGCTTTGAGGAGATATTCCTTCACGGACCAGCGCATCAAGTTGTTGTTGATGCTGGACTTGGCGACCTTTTCATAGAGTTCGCTGGGCCAGGAGCGTTAGTGCTAGGGATTCTAGCTTCATTATGTTGAAAAACGTACATAGCTTTGTAATCTGCCACTTGTGTTAGCAAAGTGCAGCAAAAAGGATCGAGATTTGACTTACAGTCTTTGCCCTCCAAAGCTATGAGGTCCGCCGTCTTCAGCCATAGCTTGTTTGCAAGTGCCTGCGAGGGGTTAATGCTACCCAAAAAGTGTAAACGAGAAGGAATTCATACTTCGGCGTTGTCCTGGGTATGAGTTAGAGTCACTGGTTACGCCTGGAGTTCCAACGGCGCACTTACGCTCTCATACCAACCCGCCGCCTCTTCATACGCAGCTGCAGCCCGAGCATCATCACCAAGTTCAATCTCGTACAGCTCGGCGAGGTTTTGCTTATGTGTAGCCGCTCGTCGGAAGTTTCCTTTGCTGCAATAATGTGCGATAGCTGGAAATGGTCAAAAAGAACCCTTATCATAACAAGTGTTTTACAGACACTTCTCTAGGCATCGTGCCGCAGCTTCTGGGTCGTCTTTCCGGTAGGCCTCTAAAGGAATATCAGCTCACGTGACTGGGTTCAAGTGAGCTCTGCAGCTTACTGAAAGCCTCGACCAATGTGTTTGCTTGATCATCGGGTTCCTTTAGTTGGTCTGCTTGGATGGCGGCTGCTCGTTCGAAGGCTTGACCGGCCTCCTTTCCTGATGGTGGGTTACTGAAAGCTCGGGAATAAGAATGAACGGAACTGAATTCTCATGAAATATTCATAAAAATATCCCTCTCTTGTCTTCACCGCTCGGAAGAAATCAAAATATACCTTGTTTCTGCATGCGGAACGCATTTGCAGCCGCGATGAACTGTTCGGCAGCCTGTTCATCTGTCCCACGAATAAGCAGCAATCAAAGGCGATGGAATACAAAGACCCTACACTTTTCTGTGCGGCCACCGAAGAAACTGAAGCCTCCTGAGGCACTCTGCAGCGTCTTCTCTGCCTGCAAATGCTCTATTAACACTTTGCGCTGGTATTGTGGCGGTGATGTAGATGCTGACCTGGCGAAGAAGAGCTCGCGGATCTCCGGCCATTATACACCGATGTACTATTTGTTCGAATCAAGGTTTGTTTGTAGTGTAATATCACGCAGTCGGGTATATTGTGTATGGAGGCTTTGACGTACTGGTATTGGGATGTGGCTGCGCAAGGTGTCGTTGAGGATGACGACCGAGACTGGTCTGTGCGCAGTTCTTGGAATGAAGAGAAAGGCCATCAGGTAAAGGGGCCAAGTCCCTAGCTAACTCTATATTCACCACACACCCTCCCCAGCCCCATACTCCCAAACGGCCGTTTCTAGCTTCCCTTGATCCTATCGCGCCGTCCACTTCTACCTCTGGAGAATTCCCCTTCTGATTATTAAACTGAACGATTATAGTGCACTATATCACCGGTTGGTGCAGTGGAAGCATCAATTGACATACCAGTCATGTCAGCTATCAGGCAGAAAATGTTGCGAGTTCGAAGTTTGCCATGCAGATTCGCTGTTATCGGCAGATTTGAACGCACAACACCATTTCCCTCTACCAGACGGCGGAACTACGGATCTCACCAAAGTTCGGCCCATGCAAGCCTCGAACCGGTAGACCCTGCCGACCTCGATCAACTTTTGGCGAAACCGACTTGGTCTGTGGAGTCACTTCTCCCTTCAAAGTCGGCTGCCTCAGAGTCTCCGAAAATCTCCACACAACAGCTACATCATCTCCTTCGTTTGTCAGCGCTACCGGCCCCAGAAAATGCGGAAGCCGAACAGAAAATGCTCGATACACTGTCAGCCCAGCTACACTTCGTCGGGGAAATACAGCAGGTAGACACATCGGGGGTTACGCCGCTGCGAGCAATAAGGGATGAGACTGCTGCGGCGGAGGTGGAACAGACCATTACCCTGGATACGTTGAAGGATGCTCTTGCGAAAGAACAAGTTGTCGGCAAGCACTATAAGCGGATACAGAGGAAGATTGATCATGTCGACGCCAAGGATGTCGAAGACTGGGACGTTTTGGGGTCGGCGGAGCGGAAGGCGGGCAGATTTTTCGTTGTTGAAAGCGAGATGCCGCAGGAATGAGCCGCTCCTGAGCGCTGACATGGCGAATTCAAGCCCAATACCGAGTTCTTGGGAAATACACCGTGATCTTCTGGCTGTAAAGGATGTAGAAGATGATATCCACGACCACCCGAGCGGAGACGCGGTTCTTCATTCTCCCAAAGGGGCATGCTACGCTCCTGCACACCCAATCTACCGGACCAGGGGGGGCTTGCTCATCTAGGTGTAAGAGATAGACAGGGACTGAAACAGGGTGCCAGAGACAGGGCGAGAAGCAGGCAAATTCTTGTTACTCGAACTGAGCTGCAGCAGACACTGTCTGTTCTGGCAGACAGAGCCCGCGCGCGCAGGAGGGAGAGTTGTTGCGTAGCTGGTAATGTCGAGGACTGAAGCTTTATCCCTTCACCAAAGTGGGAATGAAGGGTTGGTGGGGAGACATCGCAAGAATGATCTCCTGAACTATTTGCCGTTGAATATGGCCTTCGTTGCGGCGATGTTTCTGTGAGTGGTGACCCCCCTTCTTACAAAGCTCATCAGTCGTATTGATTTATGGCGTTGGAAGCTTCTTTCACCTGTGTGCATACTTCTAATGATTTCATGCTAACCAGCTTTCAGGAGAGTGATATATCGAATCTTGCAAGCTCGGTTTCATGTGCGTTATCACTATTACAATGTCCCATGACGGAGACCCAGCCGGGAGGGTGAGCAGTTGATTTGTTCGGCTGAGTAATGCTTTCAGTATGGTTGGGCATGTGTTCTGCTACGATTTCTTCATGAGGAACCTGTGTGCAGCTGCATGCCCCTGTAAATGGTATCACAACTTGATACTCTTGCAGATGCACGTGGTACCCAACGGAAGTCCGTGATAGCAACGAGCTGTAAGTAAAACGAGGTCTTTCCCCTCACTGCAAAGGCGGAACCATGCAGTTGAAGTGGTAGCCAAGTATTTTCTGCAAAAAGATGGGAATAGAGTTCGTCCAAGGTTATCGTCTCCTAAGCGACGCCCTCAACCCCTCCGACGGCTCGGCCCCACTCATTCATGGCTCTGCGTTTCTTTAAGGTATGCTGATTTTGATAAGGGAAGAGACAGCATGTGGCTTGGGAAATCAGCAGAGTGCGGGCCAAGCATTGTGCTGTGTAAGGAGAAGGCGGAGTGAGCGTTCTTGGTATTGAAACATGCGGCAGCGAAGAAAAATTCATCTTCAACTGTGTGACATGCCCTCTCCCATCGGCCACTCCAATAACTAGCGTTGGGTGATGGTACCTTGATAAACAGCATCCCAATGTTGGTACTGAAAACCTGAACTTACATACTGTATCGCCGCGAGTAGCACGTAACTAGTCGGCTAGTGAGGCCTTTCCGTATAACTCACATGGCCCCGACACTTCTGAATATTTATCTTGTTCTTGTCCTATACTTCCACACGTTCTGGTAGATATCCTGCAGCTTCCAGTGCATTATTCCTAAATTGCGGTGAAATAACAGGTTATAGCTAAGATGAGAAGCATATGTACTATGAGTATCCATAATATGGAAGCTTCAGAATAATTCATTCGTGGTGCGTCTATGTCGTAGCAGTAAAGGAGGAATGGTTCTCAACCTTGGAGCGGCACTTGTTCTAGATTTGCCGGTTGCGTCGTCGCACTGGACTTGGATTTCCAACACGGTTAGCGCCTGGAGCGGAGGACTGTCGCTCCTTCAGCCGCAGCGTGATCTCAGCCTCGATCTTTCCATCACCTCACCTTCTTCTTCGATACATGTCAGTGTCGCAAGAGTAATGGTCTTAGCTACCCCAAACGAACGATTTCGCGCTGTCTCCACTGAATCAGGTCGGCTTGCAGTCTTTCATGTGCGCTCTGGTTGACAGCGTCGATGGAGCCTCTTGCCGCCCTCGGACCATGCAGCAGCATTCTCCAGATCGTGGATTTCAGCTGTAAGTTGCTATCGAAAGGGAATCAACTTCGTGCGTCTTTCTCAGGGGTGTTACCGGAAAATGCACAGCTTGAGCAAGTCATCAGGCACTTAGACGGATTGGTCACGAAATTACAACAACAAAAACAACAACCTTCCACTTACATCCAAGGCCTGGGTGGCGTGATTGATCAGTGTACACACACGGCGCATGAGCTTCTTGATGTGCTTCAGCGCTTAAAGATACAGGGAGTAAATTCGCGATGGAAAAGCTTCAGGGCGGCGGTGAAGAGCGTTTGGAGGAAAGAAAAAATAGAAGAGATATTGTCCAGGCTGGAGTTGTTGAGAGATGAGATTGAATTCGGTTTCATCCTCGACCTTCGGGAACAGTTAATAGGCTTAGCGGCGCAACAAACTATACGCTTCGACGCTTTGGATCAATCAACGCAGGCAGTCTTACAGGCGGTTCTGAATGGCCAAAGTGCATCGAATGCAGCGAGCAAAACGCAGTCAAGGGCCATTGAGCACATGAATAAGAAGCTTGAGACCCTCATAATCAATGAGCATCAGAAAACCCGAACTGAGATCATACACGAGATACGACAGCAAAATAACCACGCCAGGCCGTCAGTCGAAATGGCTTCATGAACATGCCGCATATCAATCCCAATGCGGTACCACAGGAGAGGACGGATATTCTAGTCATGCTCAAATTACCACAATCGATGATCGTCATAGCGCAATACCAGAAGCTCATCGGGCGACATTTGAGTGGATTTGGAGGACGCCATATGGCCACCAGCAATGGAGTGATTTTCCGCATTGGTTGAGAGAGAAACAGGGCATCTGGTGAGCGATTGAAACTCTTACTGGATATGTCCATTTCGGGCTGACATGATGCTGCAGTAAGCACTTTGCTCTTGCCCTATTGCTTAGAATCCCAAATCTCCAAGGAGTTTACTGACAAAGGTTATTCCAGATTGGGTTACAGGGAAAGCAGGTTCGGGCAAATCCACCTTAATGAAATATATCTACCATGATTCGCGCACGCATGAAGGGTTAAGAGCATGGGCAAACGGGTCAGTCTTTGTGACTGCTGGGTTCTTCTTCTGGAACTCCGGTTCCGCTATGCAGAAGTCACTTCTGGGTCTTCTGCAAAGCATACTCTACGAAGTCCTTCAACAGAGACCTGATATCAAAGAGCGAGTGTTTCCTAGAGCAGTTCAAGAGGAGGTGTCAAGGCGTTGGACTTCGCGGCCTTCCAACTCTGATACATTCTGGACCGTTCCGGATTTGCAAGCGGCGTTCGAGAGACTGTTGCGACTACCTTCTCTCAAAATCTGCTTATTCATCGACGGACTTGACGAATACGAAGGTGATCATGGTCAAATCGCAGAGCTCTTCCAGCGTATCCTTGTCTCGTCTAGTGTAAAGGCATGCCTCTCTAGTCGACCGCTCCCCACATTTGAGCGCTCGTTTTCGCTTTGCCCCAGCCTCCGCCTCCAGAACCTTACATACGAAGATATAAGCCGTTACGTCAGGGACAAACTAGAAGGCTGTGATGAGGTCCTACGCATGCGGGTTTCAGATCCAACCGAATTTCAGCAGCTCGTGGAAGAGATTATTGCGAAAGCCTCCGGCGTCTTTCTTTGGGTCACTCTTGCCGTGCGTTCGCTTCTGGAGGGATTGACCAACTTTGACCGTATGGCCGACTTGAGGTTCAGACTCAAGGAGATACCGGATGATCTGACTCAATTGTATTGGCACATGCTGCGGAGCATCAAGCCGGCATTCTATTTCAACCAAGCAGCAAAGCTCCTGAAGATCATGCATGCGGCCTATCGTTTCCCTTACTGGATATCTCCGGAGTTGCTCGCGTTTTCCGAAGACTTTGAGCTGGGTAAACCATTGCTAGAATTTCCCGTAGGGTCACCATCCAAGTTTATGATTACTCAAGCAACTTTGATGGAAGGTCGACTGATGTCCAGATGTCGTGGCCTCTTGGAGGCGAGGGACGGAGTGGTCACGTTCCTACACCAGTCCGCTCCGGACTTCCTTGACCAACCCGAGGTAGAATCTGCTCTGGACGAAAATATTCACAAGCCATTCAGTCCATTCACAAGCATTCTGGCGGGACACTTGACCATAATCAAGAATGGTTCAGGTGTTATCGATATATACTCAACCGTCGGGCAATCACTGGTGCGCATGCTGCTTAGGCTAGCGCTGAGAGCCGATAGAGCGCTTGGAAGTGCTGCGCACAGCTTAATCGATGAGTTTGACTCCATTTTCAGCAAGGCATTCGAAATTCAAGACTTAGACGTTAGGCGAAGGTACCACCTTTCTTGGGCAGGCATCGTCGCTCATATTGGACAACATAGGCCCTACGTCTGGAGTGATACATTCCTTACGCTCTGCCTTCAAAATGGCCTCCTCAGTTACGTGTCAGCCAAACTTGACGCCGGAGAGCCCATGCATCAGGGCTTGGGTCGAGTCCCCCTCCTGCAATTTCTCGTTAAGGTGGAGGTTTTGGTGGAATTGTTTCCTAATTCAGACCCAATTGAAGTGAAGCAACGAATATCCGCAAAACTTCTCGAGTTATTCCGTTTCGTCCTAGGACGTGGAGGGGATCCCAACGAGCCGTACCCGCTCGGCCAAAACGAACATACTTCCACTCCTTGGGCCAAACTCATAGAGATAGCTATGATCAAATCTAACGCCGAGCACTATGACTCATGGCTCAGAAAGGATGTTAAGGATTACCCACACCTCGCTGGAAGTTCCTGCTGGATTGACGTCATGAACCTATTCCTTGACCACGGTGCAAATCCAAGCGCAGGATTGCCGGAACCGCATTCCAAATATCCCGGAAAAATGGTCATGAAGCCCTTAGCCTTGCTTATAACGGATACGGTCCCCACGATAGACAGAACCAAGGCGAACAATCTTAGAAGGAAATTGGTATCCATGGGCGGTGCGACAGCAATTTACACCATCCCGATTTCCATGACAACGGATGTCTTCTCAACGGAGTCTATATGGCCGTTTCTTCCTAATCCTCTCCCTGGAGAGGTACCCGAACCCTTTCGCACTGAGCTTGATCGTGGTGGTCGTAAGCTCAAGCAAATGGATAGGCCGGCGCGGCCTTACCCTGACCATGAAGGACTAATTAATCCCTGTCTGGACTGAGTTTGCTACGAGCTCGAATAGTAACTCATCAGCAATGCCAAACTTGCCGACCGTTACTCGACTGAATGAACCACCGAAAATAACATTCCCCACGCATCTCGAGCCCTCCCCCCAGAGAATCCAAAATATCCCAGGACATGCCATACCAAGAAAACCTGTTACTCCAACAGCATCACCTCGCCCAGAAACAATACCAAGTTATGCGGTGAATGCCATGTCTCAATCATCAGGAACGTCAGTAAACAGCGATACAGTGCCTATTTCAAACTCATCGTACCCACCGCAGCAGTTTGAGACTCATCAACACCTTTCTCCAGCCATGATGATGAGCCCTTCCCCGGCCCCTCCACTATCTCCATATCGGCCAGCAGCACCAATGCTCTACTCCCCTGCGGCATCTCCACAGCCTGTGTACGCTTACCCTCCATCGGCGCATTATTCTCAAACCGCCGCTCCATATACGCCTCAACCGCCCGCACCATACAGCGTTTCAGCACCGGGGTTGGGCCTCCGGGGGACTTCATATGAGTCTATGTACAGCCCTCGTCCCAATTTTTCACAAGTGGAAATTCCAGCATATGCACAAGAGAACAGAGCATATGCTCCGTACGGGGACTCGGCACGGAACCAAGCGAACCAAGCCTACAACAATACCACGTACTCGGCTATCCCTCCTGCTGGAGTGCATTCAGCTCAACCCGCCCCATCGCAACATCTCTCTTCTTCGACGAGATTTGCTTACCATCCACCCGCCAGATATGACCTATCCCGTCCAAATCCGGAACCATGGTACACAAACCCGGACGCTCGTGCAACTTCGGGGCCGTCACAGCTTCAATCCCATTCCCAGGGCCTTCCTTATCCTGAATATCGCTATCACAATAAATGACCTTGCCTCATAGACTACAGTAAAACTCCAAATCCTGTGCCGCTTGGTTGCTCTTGGGTGCAATATGAAGCGACCGCCGTCCAGCCTGATAGTCCCGGATAACGGCTTGATTCTGGTCGACAACGTCTCTTCCAATTCTCGATGCTAGGGTTAAAGACTCCGTGTCTGTTCAATAAAGACAGCCGATGACTCATTGATAGTTTGAACCCCGGCTCCGCGGGGGCGCACTTGAGCCAGGGAAGAGGTCTGCATGCGGTGGTGCGGACGGGAACATGTTGCGGAGGGGACTGAGTGAAGAATATGGCGTGTAGGCACTGGAGCGAAGCGATGAAGGATATGAAGTACTGCAGTATTCGGGCACGGGAAAACCGAGGGACGGCAGAGATGATAACCCGAGTGATGGTCTGCAATCAGAAGAGACGGAATTACGCAGGAACAAATAAGCTTCAGACTTCTTTGAAAAGGAGCTTTCGAGGCTGCTTGTAGAAGTTGAAGCATTTACACTCGTCTTATCAAGTGTTTATATAGCCTAGATACAGAAGTAGACACTTCGACAGTTTAGAAGTCATTTGCCTGACGTCTTATAGGCCAGACAAGGGAGACGCACATTAGAAGTATAATAGGAACAAGCAAATGGTTTCGAAATCTCTTGCACAGGTGGGAATATCCCGTTCCAGCGAAATGAACACAGGATGTATATAACATCCAGAATTTTGTTATTTCTAAGATCCTTGCACTCAACGCATACATTTCCCATGTTGAAACCCCGGCCTTGCATATAAGCCTCTCCCTGTACTACACCGTACATAGCTATTCGTCAGTGATCTGGCCTCCCAGCCCCATGTGCTAAGAGTAGCCCCTTCTTTCGGCGCGTGGGCCGGGTGCTATCTTCAATGTGAGGGTGAAATCAACGCGGGACACGGCACGATTCTTGTTCTCCTGGTGGAGGGTCACATGGCCCCTACAATGGGCCAAAACTATCAGTACGTGTATAATGCTGCATGTTCTCATAATATCATAACAGCAGACCATCAACTCTCATCGTTTTTCGTGCGGTCGTTCAATCATTACCAATCGTCACACATAGCCATAGCCGCAGATCCTTCACCGAGCACTTTCAAACCCACCCCCACACCCTACTCCACGGCCTCCCAGTCTTCATAGTCCCGCACCAACTCCCTCCTCAACCGCTCCACCATCCTGTCCGCATCATGGGCCCCTACCCCACTCGCCGCTCTCCTCTTCCACTCTTCAATCTCCATCAAGCCCCCGACCAACCTTCTCTCCACCTCTTTCCTGTCAGTCGCCTTCCGCCTCAAATATCCGAAATCCTCCTTCTCAATCGCCCTATCCCACACCTTCCGCATCCTCGGACTATACAAGCAGCAACTCGTCCCCGTGCTATCTTCCCCGGGGACAAGCTGAGTCGTGTAATTGAACAGCCTAGCGATGGGATTCTTGCGCTGAAAAGCGGGGCAGACAACATCTTGGTAGCACTCTTCGCAGACCGTGAACTCGGGGAGGGAGGGGATGAAGTGCCAGGGACGCCGATGCAAGGGCTTAGAGCGGGCGCATTGGTTCTGGAAAGCGTGTTCCCGGGCCAATTTGAGGAATGGAGAAATGTCTGGGCCGCGGCCCGTGTTTCGTGCTTCTTCGTCAATTTCCACGAGGAGGTCGAGGTACTTGGGAAAACGTTTTGAGCTTGTGCGGAGTGCGCAGATGTAGTTCTGTTGGGTGAGGTTATAGCCCTGAGAGTAGGGGAGTGGCGTAAGATAGCCTCGTAGAGTAGGGCACAGGGCTTCGAGCATCTTAACGTCGCAAGGACACACCGAGAAGTTGGATACATGGATGCCATCCCTGGGGTCTGGAAGGCCGTACCACACGGCATCTCGGACTTCGCGATCTTTGGGACAAGGAGCCTCTACGTCAAGAATGGTGGCTAGCTGATAGAGAAGGTCAGGAGTCGGGCGTTGCTGCTTGATGGTAAGCAACCAAGCAAGCCGCATCCAAGGGGAGGAGAAGTCGCAATACCGTTCGCCGTAACGGTGAACAGGTCTGAAATAATCGGAGAATTCCGTGTCTGCAAAGACGCCGAAATAGCAACTGGGGCAGATGTCGAAGTTAGGACAGCTGTCAAGGGTATACCAATCGTCATATTTAGGAGAGGCCTCGCTCCTGGGACAAGATGGCATGGGCCTATCAAGGCTTAGAGTCCGTCGCGGCCGTTCGTTATTGTGTGGGTGTTTTCTTGAGAATCGATCCCTAGGAGAATTGGGCGCGGGCGATGGGGGTAGTTTTTGCGATTCTGCATAAACGGGATTAGGGGACCTTGCCCGGGTCGAATGGTCAAACTGATACTCTTCTTCAGGGGGCATAAAGGCGTCAAGAGAGATACCGTCTACCGGATAAGGCAAAGGGTGCTCTGGCTTGGGCGGTCGAGCTGGAGAAGCGGATTGCACATCGATTCGGGGCCCGCGAGTGGGCAGGCTATCATGTCTGCTGACGCGGGATGACGCTCTTGGCCTGGGAGATATGTTTGCTGGAGGGTATGTAGAACGCCAGTCCGCATCACCGATTCTAGGAGACGGAGGTGGATGAACGGTAGAAGAAGAGAATGGTGATGGAGGGCCATGGCGACCTGACCTGGAGGATGGCCTGGAAGTCGATGGAGAATCGGTCCGGCGTGGCGTTTGGTTCGGTGAGCGCGGAGGGGACGGAGCAGCATCGCGATGTAGGGGCGAGCACGGCCGTGGCGACGAAGGGCATGAAGATTGGGACCCATAGTATGAGGACTTGGAGCTATCGTGTCTCTCAATCGGCGCAGGCGGGACCTTAGCTCGTGCTGGATATGCGCCGCCCAGTGAAGAAGTCGACGATCGAGGAGATTGAGTGCCAGGCGTTTGGAGTGTGGAGGATCCGGAACTGGTTCTCCCTTGGACAGACGGGTTTGCCTTGGACTTTCCTTGACTGTCCGACAGGCTTGCTCTCAGGTCGTCCTTCTGAAGGTCACTCTTCACGAAACTGTAGCGGGCCGGCTTGCGCTCCGCATGCAGGTACGTCGTGTCATCATCGGTGTCTGTGTCCTCGAACACATCGTGTTTGGATGTCCGTGGGGACTCTGCAAAGGAGTCATAGCGGCTATTATGCAATTCCACCTTGGATGGGTTCTCCCCCTGATCTCGGTGACCGTCCCAAGCGTCCCGACTCGGAACGGTTCTCGGAATGCTAGCATGGCTTGGCGTTACTGGCTCCGGCGAGAGGGTGTACTCTCCAGATGGAGTGAGGACCTCTTTCTGAGGCTTTGTATACGCGTACGGTGTACGCGTGCGGCCCGTAAACATCGGAGGTTCATCGACTTGGGTCTTAATGTGGTGCATATTCCCTCGCTCAGCGAAGCTCCTCCTGCGATTCTTTGCGCTATCCTTGTCTGGCGAGTCGGCGCTGGGATTTGAGAGCAGTACGAAGCGTCGGTCATCATCAGGTCGCTTAATTTCCTGGATTATGGGGTACTGATCGATGCTGCCGCGCGATTCAACATCGCGTATGTCATCCTCCGGGTGTACGTCCTGGGACGGGACCTCCTTCGCGAGCGAGTCCTTCTCATCTTCGACACTAGGCGAAGGGGGCCATGTGCGATCCTTGCGATTGTTCGGACGGTATGAATACTGCGTTGAGGGCTGCCGAGGTACAGGTGGGGCGGTGGCATAGGAGGGGTAACGGGGGTCGTAGGAGTTGTAGGAAGCGGCAAAGTTGGAATACCCATTCGGGTTCATACTGTGCCCCATACTTGTCAGTGCAGTGTTCGGGAGTAGTTCAGATGGATGTTCATGCCTGGAATAGCCGTAGGAGTCATGACGACGGGGCGAGTCGTGCTGGTCGTAGCTGTAGTAAGCCATGCAATGTGCAAGTGGGTAGGTCAGGCGGGTAGGACGTGTGGCCGCTGCGAGACAATGGATATGCCAGACCACCACAAGTGGATGGCGTGGAACGAGGGAGGGTAAGGAGAGAAAGAGCAGAAAGCGAGAGAAAATGAGAGCGGTTACATGTTTAGTATGTGCGGATGGGCAAGGCCAAAAGATGTTGAGCGATGATGAATGGGTGCAGTTCGCCCCGCCAGACGCCATTCCCTTTGCGGTTAAGACGGGATTGATGGTGACCGCAACTCCAAGCTTCCTCGAGCGATGAGAATTCGAAGCACTTCTTTGGCTTCACTTCGCAGTTCTCGATCTTCGCTGATCGCATGATAGCATCTCTTCATTCTCCTATTGTTTCCTGCTGGTTGCCGATCCTCCCTCCACACAGCGCGCCCAACGTGTACTTTCTATCTGTTGTGTAGCGGGCGAAAAAGTCTCCTGTCCGCTGTCTTCACGCAGTGCGACCGAAAGGATGTTCCCTCAAGCATCCGTCATTGTTCCATTGATCCAGCTTACCTCTCTACGTCCCTCTACAGCGCCAAAGTATGTCCGTCACGTGTTGTGCGGTGGCCTCCGAAAGAGCGGTGGAATCTCCACTCCTTCATCTACCACAGCCACCACCAGCGTCAGCCTCATGTAACCAAGCCTTACAAGAGCCGCGTGCCACAAGGCCCAGCCGCCATACACGAGCCTGACCCCGGTTCGGCGAGCTGCTTGCAGACTCACAACCAAGGCAGACCCGATGGGCGTGCTGAGCTCATGCCTAGCCGGACAAGACAAACCTTGCTCGGGGTCGCTCCAAAGCAACATGCTGTGCTTTTGGAGTTTCGATACAGATAATGTACACACGAATTATGTAGGTATAATTTCCATTTGTCTGCAGTTGTGGTTGCGCTTCTTCTTCCCTCTCTGTGATGCTGCCTTTCCAATGCGAACCCTCAGTCACTTCTCAGAGCATATTGCTGGAAGTTGTTCGGGCGTAAATATCCCCTCAACGCAGTTCCCCAAACTAGCCATGTCAGTGAGAATCTCCTTCACCTTCCTCAGGCCCTCTGCCCGCCTTTCATTCCTCTGCTTCTCCTCCTTCAATTCGTTCTCAAGAATCTTGATCTTCCCTTCTCGGCCGCTCACATGCAATGCAAACTCCCTTTTCATCTCATGCATTACCCCTTCTACCGCCTCAAGCTTGCCTTTGAACCAAGCACTTGTGCCGATGACCGAGTCACCCTTCAGTGAGGCATTCTCCTTCTTGAGCGCATTGATTTGCTCCGCAAGATCGATGTTCGAGTTGTTGAGAGCGGTGCACCTGTCCTTGAGTTTCTCCATCTCTTCGTGAGCAAGTCGGATTTCTTGGACTTCGGGTGCTCTTGCGGAGCAGAGGCGCTCGAGTACCGCCACACGGTTCGACAAGGAGCGGTTCTCTTCCTTGAGGTCGTCGATCTCTTTCTCATAGGGTCGGATGAGCTGTGTTTTGATGAGATCTGTCACGTCTTCCATCTAAGAATCAGCTGTGTCAATCACGTTGATCTTCAATATGTGGGTATTGGAAGGGCAATGAGCTTACTGTAGTCTTAAAGTTATTCTCCTTTGTGGCATTGCCGGCTGTATCTTTGGTGACAGGTTGGCCAAAGTTGACCGACAGTGATCGCACAAGCGGCATTGTTGTCGCTATTGGCACTTTTGCGCTGAGTGGGTGACTTTTTTGAGGAGGTAAAAAGAACTATCTAGACGAGGAAGGGTTATATGACAAGCGTTTGTAGCGTCCGCGCTAAAGCGCCGTTTGAGCGGCGGTGAAGGCGGATATCGTTCACTATAAAAACATTGATCACTCTCTCACTTCGCCGTAGACGGATCCGTGAGTACCCTCGGGTATTCAGTGAAAGCATGACGGCAATATTGTAGATTGGACAATCGCGACAAGGACAAGATTCCATCGACGATTGAAGTTACTGTATTATTTCCCAACTCTAAAAACTGACTTGTGGGGTTAGGGACCATGCCCCTGTCCTCCGTATCGTTCTCACAATGCACCGATCTTCACCCCGATGTATACCTTAGCTATCGCTTAGGCCGCATACTGACCGTCCAACACCGCCAGCAGCAACGAAGCGGTCAAAGTCCTTCGAAGTTTGCGGTCCCTAGACCTCCAATGCCCAACCCAGATTCATGAAAAGATTAACCCCTCTAGATCCGGCCTTCAAGAAACTCCTTGAGCAGCTTCTCGAGCGTCTTATATTTCTCAATCCTTTTCTTTTCCGACCCCAGCTCGGACGTCAGCCGCATTATCGTCTGCCATAGTCTATGATTCTCCTCTTTGAGGTCTGCTATGTGCCTCTGATACCAATCCGTACGTCTTTGTTCCCCCTCTTCCAGTGCTTCGACGGTGGCGGAGAGAGTCTCTTTCTTCTGCTGCAAATCGGCGACTTGTTTCCGAAGACTGATGTTTTCGTTCGTGATTGTCGTAACAAGTTGCGCACAGTGAGATAGCGTATCTGAAATGGAGCGATCCTGCTCAGATGATTAGCAAGATCTCGACGCTCAGGTTATGGAGCTAGTCCTGTAATGAAGACTTACCGCAATGAGAGCAGGCTCTTGACCGAGTGCCACCTCCTCCCCATCTTCAGAGGCAGTCGTTTTGCGTTTCTTGGCTTTTGGAGGCATCTGTTGCAACTGACAATATATTGTGCTGATTCGGAGTAATGGCGTCGTGTCGTGTGACGGAAACTGCAACAAGCGGGTGGACGGGAGTGTTCTGCCCCAGGGTGGTGAATGGCTCAGGAAAGTAAGAGAACAAACTGTCGGACAAGTGGGAAGAGGTTCACCTTATAGCAGAAGGTACTACATAATAAAAGTGAGTAGGGTGAAAGTGGGGGAGAAATGAAGTTCACTTCACCTTCACCATTGCACCCTTACCACGTGCTCGGGTATCTAGAAGATGGGGGAGAAGTTCACCATTGTACTCACCCTATTCTGTCGCAACTACCGATCAACTCAAGCGCGTGGTCCTTACTCACCTGCCATCTGAACAGGGAAGATCTGGGAGGCAGACAATTCTTCGCACCCCGCGGAGCATTCTCCACCTCAATGGGGTATTTGGGGTTTGGGTAACGAGTTCTAACAAGCGTCAAGCTCTGCAGACCTAAGATTCTCTCACTGGTGACCTATTATAATACGGTTTAAATTTCTTACTCTTTGCCTACCCTATATAGGAGGCCTTCGGAAAGCGTTTTTGTGTTCTCTACCAGCAGTGATATTTACTGTTGACCATTGCGTGGCGGGCCAGACGGATAAGCGCTCTCTCAGCGACGAATCCCTGATCCACTGAGCCATTTCGTAGTTGTCATGTCACGGTCTTGAACGATCTCCTTTCCACCGGAGGTGTCTGTTTAACAAGCCCAGTCCGTTCATTGATCACGGAAGTTGTGCCGATAATACGATTCTTTGCTCCTTACACAATCAACTCAGCAGGGTCTTCGGTACCCTAGAGTACTACCGCCTTTTCGTATACAAATTGTGTATCCTCTGGTCTAGCCAGTATTGGGAATCAAATATTTTATTATTCTAAGATTTTGGCGTCGCCATCCCTTGTGTAGTATGAGTAACGTATTCCACCACCGAGTGTCGCACACCACCGAGTGTCGCAGAATCTCTTGGCATAACCAACTCATTATATAGAATACCATATTATTCGCTATTAAAGAGAGAACCTTGGTATACTGTACTTCCATCTAACTTAGAAGACACCTCTGTATCCTTCTTGCATGTTCGTGCGTTGTGCCCAGTCCTGCCGCAGTTCCCACAGCGCCGTACACCTAGCTGCGACGTCTGGTGACTATCCTCAACCTGAGCCTTCTTGGATTGCTGAGGCACTAAAGAGGCCTCAGCAGCTGCCTGTGCTGCCCCCTCGCCGTACTCTACTGTACCGCCGTGCTGGATTCGCTTTC